GGGGGACAGCAACCCAGATACCACTTGATCTGCAGGGAGAACCCTAAAGGATACTGTCTGACAAGAGGGGAGAACCTGTGATGAGACTGTCTGGCCTACATGGAGAACCCTGGACTGGACTGCTTGACCAGTGGGAAGGGCCCCAGAAGCTGCTGTCTGTGCAGGGATCACAGAAGCAGGGGTTATCTGACCTTCAGGAAGGACTGCCAATGAGACCACCTGGCCCACAGAAATTGTTCCTGGTGATGTGGTCTGCAGAACCCCAGGACTGACAGAAAGTCCAGAAGATAGGGTACCAGGCCTGATCAGTCTGCTTGTGGGCTCTACTGGCCTGCTTGTAGACCCGACTGATCTGACTGAAGGTCCTGCTAGTCGACTTGCAGATTTCATGGGCTGTGTCAGGGGTAAAATCTCAAGTTGGATGGCTTGACTCATTGGGACATTGCTCATTCTAACAGACTTGTTCACAGGCCCAAGTGGCTGACTCACGGGTAGTGCAGGAGTGTCTACAGGCTTATTAGATGAAGCCCTGCCTGAGAAAAAGACAGTTGAATGAGCTGAAGGCTTCTGTGTGAGGCTGATCTGGCCCACTGGTAGAGGGCTGGAGACAAAAGCCATGTCGGACTGGACAGCAGCGGATTGAGACTGGGTATGGCTCCAGGAAGGACCTGGGACCCCCACCGGTGGCTGTACATGGGCAGAGGTCACAGGCTGTACCATGGCTGAACTTGGAGTATTCTGTGACAAGGCAAGGTGGGACCAAGGTGGCTTTGCTGGAGCAGCTGTATGTGGAACACTGCTGTTTGGTGGCCTGGACAAGCCTGCCTGTTTTGGAGCAATGGGCATTTGCTTCAGAAGCCCAGTCCTCTTGTTGTGTTCTGAAATCACAGACCTCAACTTATTCTCCAAATCCTTGTGAACATCTGATGTCAAAATATGGGACATCAGATCATCCTGGCTGCACATACTGGCACTACACTTTTTACAATAGTATCGTTCAGGTGGTAGAGTATTTGTCACAGAAAGAGTATCACTGGCTTTTGGCCACTGCTGTTCTTCCTTAGGTTGAAAGCCAATGTAGGCATTAAGTAAGGAGTGAAAATGGGTGATCAGCACATGCTTCTTCATGCTACAGAAGGAAGTATTGTAAAAGTTACATTTTAAACATGTAAAATGTTTTATATAACCCTTCAATGACTTCCCATTGCCTGGAACTTTCTCCTTGGGGCTGTGAACTTGCCCAGCTGGCTCATGGAATAACCAGAAGTGCGTGCTCACCACATTAGGCCGTGAAGCAAATGAACAATCTGGGCACTGGATCTGCAGCTCTTGGTCTGCCTCATCTTCATGGCAACGGTGCAAATGGTTTTTGAGAGAAGCAAGCACATCTGCTGAGTATGTGCAAAGGCTGCAGCAGTATGGCTTGAGTCGGTATCTCATTTTCTTTATCAAATGTCCCCTTGGAGCAACATCTGGCCAAGATGTATTATAAAAGTACCTGTCTCCTGGGCCAAAGCCTTCAAGGTCCCTCGACAGTTCTTTGCAGTTGTCAAGTCCAACCTTCAGAAGAATGCTCTTCACCCATGGCCGCATAGTTCTGATGTAGTCCAGATTTTCCACAGGAACTTGAAACATTTTTGAAATGTTCTGCCCTGCAATAAGGGAGCCTCTGCCTCAGTGCCCCAGCTCTCCACCTCAGAGGTGGGAACCCGGCCTGCACCCGCCTCCTACTGCCTCCCCCACCATGCCCTCCAGCAACACAATGGCGGCCTGCGCAACCTTCCCCGGCCTCCAGCCACACACTGACCTCTGATCACACACCGTCCTCTGGTCACACACTGACCTCCGGTCACACACCAACCTCCGGTCACACACCGACCTCCGGTCACACACCGTCCTCCGGTCACACACCGACCTCCGGTCACACACCGACCTCCGGTCACACACCGACCTCCAGCCACACTGACCTCCGGTCACACACCGTCCTCCGGTCACACACCGACCTCCAGTCACACTGACCTCCGATCACACACTGACCTCCAGTCACACACCGTCCTCTGGTCACACACCGACCTCCAGTCACACACTGACCTCCGATCACACACTGACCTCCGATCACACACTGACCTCCGGTCACACACCGACCTCCGGTCACACACCGACCTCCAGTCACACACCGTCCTCCGGCCACACACCGTCCTCCAGTCACACACCGACCTCCGATCACACACCGACCTCCAGTCACACACCGTCCTCCGGTCACACACCGTCCTCCGGTCACACACCGTCCTCCAGTCACACACCGTCCTCCAGTCACACACCGTCCTCCAGTCACACACCGTCCTCCGGTCACACACCGTCCTCCAGTCACACACCGTCCTCCAGTCACACACCGTCCTCCAGTCACACACCGACCTCCGGTCACACACCGACCTCCAGCCACACTGACCTCCGGTCACACACCGTCCTCCGGTCACACACCGACCTCCAGCCACACTGACCTCCGGTCACACACCGTCCTCCGGTCACACACCGACCTCCAGTCACACTGACCTCCGATCACACACTGACCTCCAGTCACACACCGTCCTCTGGTCACACACCGACCTCCAGTCACACACTGACCTCCGATCACACACTGACCTCCGATCACACACTGACCTCCGGTCACACACCGACCTCCGGTCACACACCGACCTCCAGTCACACACCGTCCTCCGGCCACACACCGTCCTCCAGTCACACACTGACCTCCGATCACACACCGACCTCCAGTCACACACCGTCCTCCGGTCACACACCGTCCTCCGGTCACACACCGTCCTCCGGTCACACACCGTCCTCCAGTCACACACCGTCCTCCAGTCACACACCGTCCTCCGGTCACACACTGACCTCCGATCACACACTGACCTCCAGTCACACACTAGCTTCGAGCCCATGACCTTCCCCGGCCTCCAGACACACACGGACTTCCGGTCACACACAGACCTCCGGCCATACACTGACTTCCAGTCACACACTGTCCTCCGGTCACACACTGACCTCCAGTCACACACCGTCCTCCGGTCACACACTGTCCTCCAGTCACACACTAGCTTCGAGCCCATGACCTTCCCCGGCCTCCAGACACACACGGACTTCCGGTCACACACAGACCTCCGGCCACACACTGACTTCCAGTCACACACAGACTTCCGGCCACACACTGACTTCCGGTCACACACTGACATCGCGCCCAACCTTCCCCAGCCTCCAATCACACACTAGCTTCGCGCCCATGACCCTCCCTGGCCTCCAGTCACACATTGACTTCCGGTCACACACCAGCCTCTAGTCACATACTGACTTCCGGTCACACACCGGCCTCCAGTCACACACTGACTTCCGGTCACATGCTGTCACACACCGGTCTCCAGTCACACACTGACTTCCGGTCACACGCTGTCACACACCGGCCTCGGTCACACACCGGCCTCCAGTCACACACGGGCCTCCAGTCACACACTGACTTCCGGTCACACACTGGCCTCCAGTCACACTGACTTCCGGTCACACGCTGTCACACACCGGTCTCCAGTCACACACTGACTTCCGGTCACACGCTGTCACACACCGGCCTCCAGTCACACACGGGCCTCCAGTCACACACTGACTTCCGGTCACACACCGGCCTCCAGTCACACTGACTTCCGGTCACACGCGGCCACACACCGGCCTCGCACCCCAGACCCCCAAGTCCTCACTTACACGCGGAGGCGCTCACGCCCCTCACGCCCCTCACGCCCCTCACGCCCCTCACGCCCCTCCTCAGCTCGCGCGCGGAGCCCCTCCCCACCACTCCGTCTTCCCGCACAGACGCGAGAAAATGGCGCCCAAAAGCCTCAGGAAGTGACGTCTCCTCATTTGCATACTCACACCAGGCAGCCAATGGCATGAAGAGCTCTTGAGGCCCCCCCCTGGCTCTCGGCTCCTCCCCTTCCGCTCTCGCCCTTCTTCCGGCCGCTATGGCGCCCCGCGGTCCTAGCGCCGCCTTCTAGCACGTGCTTCGCTCCTCAAGGGCGCGATGCAGAGCTCAGATCCGCGTTTGCACAGCCTGAGCCCCACCGGGCCCTCCATAGAGTCAGTCCAGGACCGCAGGAAGAGAGATGATAAATGTTCCAGCGTTAGGCCGTCCGTTTGACAAGGCTCTGGAATGGGAAGACCGAGCTGGCTAGCTTGGCCCGAGGGTCCGCCATGCCGGGCTTGTAAACTGTAGAGCCCGTGTGCACCAGCTAGAGGACGGTATGAATGGGCAGGGCCTGGTTGGGAGATGGGGAGGAGAAGCAGCGTGTACCCACTCTCTTCACAACCGAACGTCGTCGATGATGGCAAGGGAGACTGAAAGAAGTCACACTGGGGGTGGTGACACATGCCTCTAAACCCATCATCATTCAGGGAGCTGAATCCGGAGCACCGCAGGAAGTTTGAAGCCAGCCTGCACTACATGACAAGATCTTTTTCAAAAATGGGAAATAAAAAAAAAAGGAGGGGATCAAACAGCTGGGGGGGGGGAATGTCTCAGCAATCGATTATTTGCCCTGTCTGCACAAGGCCCTGGGCTTCAACCCTAGATCACGTGTTCACACAGCCAGAAATCTAGTTATTTATGTAAAATTGTCCTATCTTTTTATATTTATCAAGCAAAACATTTTTCATAAGACAAATTCAGGTCACTGGCTTATGGTAGACTTAAGGTTTCCTTAGCGAGATCTATAAAAGAGTCTTTTTGTACAAATGGAGAGTAAATTTAGGGAGGAGACTTAAAATTGAGCTAACATTTCCAAATTTCTTCCAGCGCAGTTATTGCATCCTGGAATAACTTATTCTGTAAATTACCAAAATGTTTTCAGTCGATTCTGTTAACTGCCTAAAGAACTCAACAGGACTTCCATAGTTATTAGTGAACGGCAAATGGTACCAAAATTTGCTGAATAGAATTTTGGGGCTTCTTTTCCTAGGTGCTGATCCCCCAAAGAAGTCTGACTGGCTCTTTACCAAACCTGCTCACCCGTCTGGACCAGATGCCTGACTATTCCATCTTCCGAGGCTATATCATTGCAAGTACCATGTTCTCTGCATAACCATCTTGTCAAGCTGCCTGGGGACTCGAATCCCTCACTGGCTGTCCTGTCTCTGCAGCAATACAATCTGGCAGATGCAATCGAGGCTGCAGACGCTTACACTGTGTTTGCTCCAAACAATGAAGCCATCGAGAATTTTATCAGGGAGAAGAAATCCACATCTCTAGTAAGTGTCAGCAGCAGTAATCAACATTTTCTCTTTAAGATTTGTTTTTATTTTTTAATGGGGTGTGTGAGCTGAGCATGGGTGTGAGATTGTGGGTGAGTGCATGTGCGTGTGTGTATGTGTGTGTGTGTGTGTGTGTGTGTGTGTGTGTGTGTGTGTGTGTACATGTATACATGAGAACTGATGCCTACAGAGGCCAATACAGTTATATCCAGAGGTGTTATCACTCTCCTGGGACTGGAGTTACAAGTGGCTGTGAGCTACCTGATATGGTTATTGGCAACTGATCAAGGGTCCTCCTTGAGAATAGTACCCACATTTAACTACTGAGCCAGCTCTCCAACCCCATCAATATTTTCAATCCATCAATCATAAGCCATTTTCTGTTTTTGTCAAAATCTGTTCATCCAGCTCTGTATACTTAATAGAGACCCAAGCAGAGACCCTACACACAAACCTCCCCATGTCACAGCAGCCATAAACACAAAGACAGGGAGAATAAAATATTTAACAGCCAAAAAAAAATTTAAGCTGAAAATATGTACCTAGTGTCTGTAAAAGTATGTGTTCTCTTTTTATGTGAAAAAAAAATGGCCTTAACATCTCATTAGGGATATAAAATAAAATCAGTCGAAAATGTTAATTTGCATATCAAAGAAACATCTATAATTACAGCCCAAACCATTTATGTAGTTAGAGACCACTTGAGGATTTGTTTGTAGATTTTCTCCATGATGACACTTTTTAATGTCAGAAAAAAAAATACCCCTTTGGCCACTGCAATTCTTTTTTATTTTTTTATTTATTATATTTATTTATTGATTTGTTTTTGTTTTTTCAAGACAGGCTCTCTCTGTGTAATAGCTCTGGCTGTCATGGAACTTGCTCTGTAGACCAGGCTGGACTCAACTCACAGAGATCTGCCTGCCTCTGCCTTCCAAGTGCTGGGATTAAAGGTTTTTTCCACCATCTCCCAGCACAACTTTTTTTTTAATTTCAAAAGTCTTTGCATTAATATAAATAAGTGCAGTTATTTTGGATAGAAAGCATATTTCTACTTGGGGTTATTTTGTCTTAATGGTACTAAAATACTTAAAATAATTTTCATATTCTTGTCACTAGTATTTTCTATTTTATATAGAAATATGTAATTTTTATGACTTTTATTGCTAAAGTTCAGTTTATGTTGAATTTTTGAAGCTGAAATCCTTGTAATAGCAAAGAAATCATTTTTCAAATCTACTCACTGCTTTCATCATGCCTGACTAGATAGATGTCCTTGACCATCCTACCTGGAAATTCACAGCTCACCTTATTATCTAATACTTCTGGCCCTGAGGTCTTGCACATGGACAAGGCACTACTTCTGTTTGCAATCCCATAGTTCTGGCACAGTAGAGCCAAGTGTAGCCAACTGGCTGACTTCTCCTTCTGTGTGTGACACAGAAGGAAGACATACTTCAGTACCACGTGGTCCTGGACGAGAAGCTCCTGAGGAACGACTTGCACAATGGCATGCACCGCGAGACCATGCTGGGGTTCTCCTTCCTCCTCGGCTTCTTTCTCCGCAATGACCAGGTACATCTCTCTAACAAACTCAAGAGCAAGTGTCTCTGCTACTATCTACCATCATCTCTTCTATGCTGGAAGAATATTTCCAGTCCTAAGCCTTATCAACAAGAAAAAGTTGTTTCCGTTTGTTATGCCCAGATGGTGGGGACCCCCAAAAGACCACCACAGAGACAGAGTCCCATATGTGAAAGCAAAGAGCATTTATTTTCAAACTCCAGAGCTTGGTCTCTCTGTCTGATACAGCAGTGAGAGTAGAGAGCCCTGAGCTCAGGCAGGTAGAGAGCCCTGAGCTCAGACGGGGTAGAGTTTTATCGTAGCAGAGGCTGGGGTGAGGGGATTTCCACGGTTCAGGACCCTGATAGGCTGACAATTGTCTAGTGCGTATCTGTAAAACAAAGAGGTATGTGGTAGACTCAGGGACATCTGGCCACCTTATCTAATGGTTGGAATGTTTGAGATGTTAGGTACTTCCTCAACCCTAGGTGGATCCCTGGGCAGGGTCAGCTTATGGCTTTTCCTAAATCTGAGTGTTGCCTGCCAGTAAGCCTGTCACAGAAGCTGTGTCTGGGACTCTAAGCCTGTCATGGCGGCTGTGTGATCAAGCTGTTTTGGGGCCCCCTATACCATTGAATCAAAAAGCAGTGAATAAACTACATAGTCAATCTCCTACTCTCCTGTCATGTAATCAGCCTTGAGATAATCAGTGTAGCCTGTAACACGAATTACTAAATAGTCTTACTAATAAAAACCCGGAGCCAGGTACTGGGGTAAATTCTGAAAGATCAGAGAAGCAGAACAAGCCACAGCTAACCTCACCTCGCCAACTTCTCAGCCAATCCTGTTTCCTCAAACTGGAAGCCTCTGAGTCTTCATCTGAATTGATCTCAACTGAACTGCTGCTAAAAGCCTAAAAGCTTAAAAGCCTAAAAACCTCTAGTTCCTGGTCCTCATGCCTTATATACCTTTCTGCTTCCTGCCATCACTTCCTGGGATTAAAGGCATGTGTCTTTCCCAAGCAAGACATGAGATCTCAAGTCCTGGGATTAAAGGTGTGTGTCACCATGCCTGGCTCTGTTTCCAGTGTGGCCTTGAACTCACAGAGATCCAGATGGATCTCTGCCTCCGGAATGCTAGGATTAAGGGTGTGTGCCACCACTGTCTGGCCTCTATGTCTAATCTAGTGGCTGTTCTGTTCTCTGACCCCAGGTAAGGTTTATTAGGGTACACAATATATTGGGGGGGACACAATATATCACCACAGTAGCCCTACCAACTGTAGTACTGGAGTCCTAGCAGGAACAGGCACTCTTCAGCTGGTACCACAAACCCAACAGATAGTCTTCAGTTTCCAAGATGGAAAGGAGCTTTGTTTCTCAAAATAACTTGCAGGATGTGTCACTGGCTTCAGGAAATCAAGAGTCTAGTGATATATATAAACTCCTGCAGTCAAACAAATTAACATTAATATTGTGCAATCACAAGGATTGTGATGTGATGTGCAATCAGCCACCACACTGGCATTCCAGGGATTTCATCACACAATTTTTTATGAATGCTAAAGTGTAGCTAGAGTTTTCCTGCCTGGCCCACAGTCAGGACAAATCTCTCTCACCTGCCAGTCCCACAGCCGCTCAAACCCGACCAAGTAAACACAGAGACTTATATTGGTTACAAACTGTATGGCCATGGCAGGCTTCTTGCTAACTGTTCTTACAGCTTAAATTAATCCATTTCCATTAATCTATACCTTGCCACATGGCTTGTGGCTTACCGGCATCTTCACATGCTGTTTCTCATCGTGGCGGCTGGCAGTGTCTCTCTGACTCAGCCTTCCACTTCCCAGCTTTATTCTCCTCCTTGTCCTGCCTATACTTCCTGCCTAGCCAATGGCCAATCAGTGTTTTATTTATTGACTAATCAGCAACACATTTGCCATACAGAACATCCCACAGCACTAAAGGGTTAACATTCATAAAAAAAAAAAAGATTTCATGAAGCTAGTTACTATAGTTGTAATATAAAATTCTGCTCATGTAGTTCAAATGCCATATTTTAAAACTGTGTGAAAATTTAACAAGAAACTATAATTCTAAAATAAATTATCAGAAGAAAAATTAATTGCCTGACCTACACAATGAGTTGCAAGACAGCCAGTGCTACACTGTCTTGGGAAAAAAAAAATCACTAAGAACCAGGCTTGGCACATGCCTGTAAGTAATCCTAGGATTACAGAGACTCTATTTGTGAGGTGTTCTGTCGCCGTGATAAAACACTATGACCAAAAGCAGCTTGGAAAAAGGTTTTATTTCACTTTATACTTTCAGGTAACAGTACAACATTGAAGGAGGGCAAGGCAGGATCTGAAGCAGAGGCCACAGAGAAGTGCTGTTTATTGGCTTGTTTCTGCCTTGCTCAGTTTGTTTTCTTATATACCCAAGGACCACCTGTCCAGAAGTGGTACCACCCACAATGGGCTGGGCCCTCTCACATCAATCATCAAGAAAATACCCTACATACTTGCCTATGGGCCAATCCTATAAAGGCATTTTCTTGATTAAGATTCCATCTTCCAAATGATACTACCTTATTGTCGAGTTGATATAAAAACTAGCCAGCACAGAGGCTGAGAAAGAGGAATTACAATTTGAGGCCATCCCAGGGTAACCTGAGTATCATGGTTTGCATGAGAATGGCCCCCATAGGCTCATATGTTTGGATGCTTGGTCCCCAGTTAATGGAACTGTTTGGGAAGAATTAGGTGTGGCCTTGTTAGAATAGGTATGGCAGTGGGCTTTCAAGTTTCAAAAGCTCAGGTCAGACCCAGTCTCTCTCTCTCTCTCTCTCTCTCTCTCTCTCTCTCTCTCTCTCTCTTTCTCTCTCTTTCTATTTCTCTATCCCTCTGTCCCTCTATTCCTCTCTGTGTCAGTCTGTCTCTGTCTCTCTGTCCTTCTGACTCTCTGTCTCTCTTCGTGTCTCTCTCTGTCCCTCTGTGTGTCTCTCTGTGTCTCTCAGTCTCTCTTTGTATCTCTGTCTCTCCATCTTTCTCTCTGCCCCTCTATCTTTCATTGTGTCTCTGTCCCTCTCTGTGTCTCCCTGTCTGTCTGTCTCTGTCTCTCTCTCTGTGTCTCTGTCTGTCTCTCTGTCTCTCTGTCTCTCTGTCTCTCTCTCTCTCTCTCTCTCCCCCTGCTGCCCATGGGTCAGGATGTAAAGCTCTCAGTTACTGCTCCAGTACCATGCCTGTGTACTTTCCTCCATGATGATCATGGACTAACTCTCCAAAACTTAAGCAAGCCCTCCATTAAATGCTTCATTTTATGACAGTTGCCTCTTCACAGCAGTAGGAGAGTAATTAAGACACTGAGCTACATAGCAAGAACTTGCCAGAGAGAGATGGAGGGCAAGCACACTGTATTGGAACAAGCATTTAATTGTGCAATCTTAGAAGCAATAATATTACTTAATCCTTTTTTTTTTTTTTTGGTTTTTCAAGACAGGGTTTCTCTGTGTAGCTTTGCGCCTTCCCTGGATCTCACTCTGTAGACCAGGCTGGCCTCGAACTCACAGAGATCTGCCTGCCTCTGCCTCCCGAGTGCTGGGATCAAAGGCGTGCGCCACCACCGCCCAGCTTACTTAATCCTTTAAAAAGGTAAAATCTTTAAAAATTTCTTCTCTGATGCCATCATTGAAATAAATAAATTTTTATGTAAACTTGAAAAACATTTATGTAAAAAAAATCCAGCTTTTCACCATGAAGGTTGAGCTGTGCAGTTTCAATGAGTATAATATCTACCCCGACACGGGCGGCGCCATGACAGGACCGACGGGAAGGTTTTCCAGTTTCTTTTTTTTGTTTTGTTTTGTTTGTTTGTTTCGAGACAGGGTTTCTCTGTGTAGCTTTATGCCTTTCCTGGATCTCGCTCTGTAGACCAGGCTGGCCTCGAACAAAGATCCACCTGCCTCTGCCTCCCGAGTTCCGGGATCAAAGGCGTGCGCCGCCGCCGCCGCCGCCGCCGCCGCCACTACCACCCGGTGGTTTTCCAGTTTCTAAATGCAAAATGCGAGTCCACATTCCTTTCCAAAAGGAATCCTCGGCAGACAAACTGGACTATCCTCTATAGAAGAAAACACAGAAAGGACAGTCGGAGGAAATTCCACAGAGAAGAACCCTCCGCGCAGTCAAGTTCCAGCGGGCTATCACGGGTGCATCTCTTGCCGGTACAATGTCCAAGAGGAATCGGAAACCAAAAGTCAGGAAAGCTCAGCGAGAGCGGGCTATCGGGGCTGCCAAGGAAGCAAAAAGGAAGCAAAAAAGGCTAAGCAGGCATCCAAGAAGACAGCAGTGGCTGCTGCCAAGGCCCCTACCAAAGCAGCACCTGAACACAAGCCTGGGAAGCCTGGGAAGGGCTCTGCTCCCTGAGTCGGTGGAAAATGCTAACTTGGTAGATCAGAGTTTTGAATAAACATCGATCTCTAACTCTTAAAAAAAAAAAAAAAGAAAAAAATATAGCTAGAGCCAGGTGTGGTGGCGCAGGCCTTCAATCCCAGCACTTGGGAGGTAGATGCAGATGGATCTCTGTGAGTTCTACAAAGTAAGATCCAGGACAGCCAGAGCTGTTACTCAGAGAAATCCTGTCTCAAAAAACCAAAAATACAATTTTAAAAAATCTAACTAGAGATTTTTTAAGGGCTCTTTTACTTTCTTCATTACTTGTAGAATAATCTAATTCCAAACATTTTTCTCCATATTGGTGCTCAGAGTCTAGCAAACACATTTTCCTTTTAAACAAAGTTATTTTTTTCCAGAAATAGCAATTATCTTATTGATAGAAAGCTTTTCTTTTCGTTGTTATTTTTAATCTGTCCTCTCTATTTCACAGGTAGAGATGAATATTCAAATGCTGTTAACTGAGTTATTTTCAATGTTGTGATGTTCATTTTCTGTTAGCCCAGAAATTTCCTGAGTTAGAGCAAACATCAACACAACAGAAGCGTTGCTTTTACTTTCTCTGTTCAGTGCAAGTACAGGGAAAGTGCTTTCTAATTGAGTAGGTGTGTTTATGTAAAATTTTCAATGCAACCCATAATTCTCTAGATAGATCTCTTGATGGAAATGATTCAGACTTTTTAAATGCCAAATTAAGTAGGAATACACCAAATGTTCTGCTCTCTGGGTATTCAAAAATAACTCAACATCCTAGAATTCTGGAAATTTGTGCTACAATCACTATTTGAGACTGAATGAGTTTTCCTCATGATTTTCTCACTGTGCACTGACCTTGAAACAGCATTGTGGAGCTCAGTCCTCACTTACCCCAACGTCTAAACAGAAGACCACTTCGCTGCCAGACAGTCAAATAAGAGACTCTCGTATTCAGTAGCAATTTCAACAGGGAGAAGTGTTATGATACCATTTGATATTGTCCTATGAATTTTCTTTTTTTTTTTTTTTTTTTTTTTTTTTTGGTTTTTCGAGACAGGGTTTCTCTGTGTAGCTTTGCGCCTTTCCTAGAACTCGCTTTGGAGACCAGGCTGGCCTCGAACTCACAGAGATCCGCCTGGCTCTGCCTCCCGAGTGCTGGGATTAAAGGCGTGCGCCACCACCACCTGGCGAATTTTAAGTCCTTATTGAAGACTAGCACATTGCTCTGTGGAATAAGCTTTTTCCCTATCCTATCCTCAGTGTGATTTCACCTTTCTAAGAGTTGCTGGGAAACTGACCACAAGATGGAGATACATTGAAAGATGCATTGCGTTCTCTGTGTCTTAGTTAGGGGAGACACCCATACCTTGTGGACCACCAGACCACAGCACCGCTGAGCATGTCCATAAAGCCAGCCTGCCAGTGGGCACAAGCCTGAGGATCTTAAGGCGGTAATTTTTAAGCAAACATAAACCAATTAATTTGAGAGATGGAGAATACCCTAGAGATGATTTAGAGCAACGTTTTCCTTTTACAAAGAGGAATGTTGAGGTTCGGGAAAGCAGTTGACCCAATATCACACAGCTTCATGGTACCAGTTGCAGGACTATGGACTCCCCTCTTTCAAGGACTCTTTCAACTACATTGTGGTACTTTCCAGCCAAACTGGAATATCTCCTAGACCGTTGTCATATTGAGGGCCTCTACTTCCTGTCTTCTGCATCTCCCTTAATACCACCTTAATAAGACCATATCTGATTCTCTTGTTCACAGCTGTATGTAAATGAAGTTCCAATAAACTACACCAATGTGGCCACTGACAAAGGAGTGATCCATGGTCTGGGGAAAGTTCTGGAAATTCAGAAGAATAGATGTGACAGTAATGACACCATTATTGTGAAAGTAAGTTACAACAAGGGTGAAAGTGTGGGTTATGGCTTTTTTTTTTAATTTTTAAACAAGGGGCCAGGGAGATGTCTCAGTGGGTAAAGACACTTGCCACCAAGTCAAAACAACCTGAGCTCAATCCCCAAGACCCATATGTTGAAAGGAGAGAAGTGAATTCTGCAGGTCGTCCTCCACACATGTACAGCCACACACACACACACACACACACACACACACACACACACACACATGCACTTGCACACACACACATGCACTTGAGCACATACAAAATGTAATAAAAAATGTCTAAACAATAATAATTTTAAACTTAAGATTTTCTATTAGGTTATCTCAGTTTAGTTCAAAACCTCCTCATTCGTTATGATTGGCATTGTATCTCAGAAGTAGAACACTTGCCTGGTATGCGTGAGGCCCTGGGTTCGAGCCTCAGTACTGAAACTTAGTGAGCATCTCTAATGTGCCAAAAAGAGTACACGGTTATAGAGGACGAGGAGGCGCAAGACAGAGCCCAGAGCTCCCTGGGCTCGCCATCCACTGGGATGGATGGCGCCTAGCATGCCTGGGGAAGCACAGACGACTGTGCTGAGCAGGATTCTGAAGCCCTGGGTCCCCTGCAGAGTGGAACTGTGCTGGGGAGAGGTCCACGGGTCAGCTCTGACAGGTGTTGACTAAGGCTGGTCAACCAGAAGAAGAGTGTGGAAATGGTGAATCCAGTGTGCTACAAATGCAGTAGTGCAAGCCTGTCCCTGCAGGCTGCGAGACAGCGTCATGTCTTTTAGTGATCGTAACAACTGCTGATGTGCATTAGGCGTCACTCTGCACATTGTACACTTATTAAACCATGTAATCCTCACAACACCCTGAGCGGTAGGGACTTTGTCTCCAGTTTACAGAGGGGAAAATGAGCCACAGAGAGGTATATTCACACGGTAGCGAGTGGCAGAGAAGAGATTCAGATCAGGGCAGTCTGGCCCTAGAAACAAGAGTTCACAGCAGTGACACTCACTGTCGAGTGCGTACCAATAGCTGGACACTGATAACACTCAAAAGTGTCTGCCAATCTGTCTTTTGTTCTTTGTATGTGTTATTTCAGTAGAGGGCTCCAGATCCACAGCCCTCAGCCACACCATATTTTTGTCAAGACAGGCACTGTGTGTAACAGACACACAGTCTCTTTATCTGACCCAGTTCAGTAAGCAAGGGCTCCAGTGCATCAATAAATTGGTGCTAAAGAATGCTGATTTAGATAGGTGATGTCTCCCATGCTTCTTGTGGGGAAAGGCTAGGGGGTGGGAGGAAAGACAGGGGAATCTGTAGTTGATATGTAAAATGAATAGAAAATCTCTTAATTAAAAAAAGGGTTATTGCATCCTTAGACTATTATAGATGAAAGCAGTGTTCAAACAGGCAAGACCTGGAGTAAAGAGCTTGTCTCATAGAACATCAAGGAGGTTGAGCAGATGCTCTCCCCTGATGCTCAGCTCTGTGTTCTAAAACCTGCATCTCCTAACTCTTACTCGCAGCCTCATTTTGCACTGAAATTAATAACCTTGACATGACCTCTTTTTATCTCTACACTTTTTACCAAGGGAAGTTGTGGGACGTGTTTCCAGCAACCAATCTGCCCACTTGGAACAAAACCATCCGTAAGTACTTTTATCTTGTTTTGTAAATAAATAAATAAATAAATAAACAAACAGCCTCCAGAGAATAGAGACTCCAAACCATCTGTAAGTACTTTTAGCTTATTTTGTAAATAAATAAATAGCCTCCAGAGAAGAGAGACTCCAAATTGGAAAGCATATATTTTCTTCTGTTCCCCTTCCCTCCTTGGTTTAATTCTAGCTTTTTATATGCAGTGCACTTTTTAAGGAAAGGGCTTATTTTGGCTTCCAGTTTGAGGGTACAGTCCCTGAGTTATGGTAGGGAACTCACAGCCGCAGGAGCATGAGGCAGCTGGGCATGCGGCATCCACAGTCCAGAGCGGGGTGGGGTGCTTGTGGTCTGCTCACTTCCTTTTTATTTTTTTACATTTCACTTGATTTTTTTTATTAATGAAATTTATTCTTTGGCAGTTCCATGAATACATATAAAATACATTCTGATTAAACTCACCACACCCTCTCTTACCTGTCAACCCACACAAGCAAGGCCCTTTCCCACACCTGTGTCTTTTTGTCTTGTGTCTCGCTGAGTTTAACCAGGCTGTTAATGTCACCATGGATGTAGGACTGTCCACAGAGCCTGGTGGGAATGTGTCCCCAGCAATGGAGACACAACAGAAGACAGTGACTCCCCTGCACCCCGTTCATCAATAATGAGTGGTTTTCTTGGGAGGGGTAGGGCCCCAGGGGCTCCTCCCCCATCCTTGACTGACAGGCCCAGACTTGTGCAAGCCCAGTGCAAACAGCCACCACTGCTGTGAGTCCACAATTGCGATGGCTGTGTCCTGTCCAGAGAACACTCACTGATGGCCCTTCTCCCTGTTGGTGTACATCTCCATAGCCTTAAATGCGGGTCTGGGGGGACTAAAGGGGATTTAATTCATAGTTAAAATAGAGATGGGCCCATAAACCACCGTGCAATCCAAGAAAGTCTTTTTCCGCTTTCACATTCTTTATACTAACCAGTTAAGGATTGCAGCAAGCTATTCTATGGGAGAAGACAGTCTCCACGTCCCATAGCCAGCTCCTCCTACCTGGTTCCCTTTTATAATTGAAGTCACAACTGACCTTCTCAAAGAAACAGATGTAAGCATTACAAAGGTAGACATATCTCTAAATTAATTACCAATCTGTTTCTTATAACTAACAACTGTTATAGAGAATAAACACCCTGTGGCCCCATAGCGTAGTAATAATAATTCATGGTAAACAATGAATGCCGAGTCTCTCGTTTGGGTTTTAATTTGGTAGTAGATGTTATAAATCTTTATGAGCAAACAATTCTTTCTTGGATTTGGCAGACTATGAATCAATAAACAAATTAAAGCTTAAATTTAATGACTGGAAGAATATTTAAGGACTAGAAGAATATTTTTATCTGGCTTTTTTAATTCCTCTAAAATTGATTTTGTCTTCTAGAGAAATGTTCTTCTTAGAGAGCACTGCTTTACAGTATAACTTTGGGTTTTGCCAGCTGCCCTGAAGTAGCCAGCACTGTGAGGTTGTGTTCTTGCTTATGAAGTCGCACCAAGAAGCCACAACCACCCTTTCCAGAATATGTTATAGAAATGGGGAAGCTTTCTTCCTAACTACAGGGATGACAAAATCCTTATGATTTCATAGGGCGAGACAAGGAAATGCATCTATACCATTTACTTCATGGGGAAGCGCTCCGTATTCATTGGGTGCCAGCCAAAGTGTATGAGAACCATCATCGTGAGTATGCGCTAGCCTTCCCCAACACTCAGCAACGGTACAGTCATTCCTACACTACATTTCTCAGAATGTTCTTCCTGCCATCTGCTCCTCAGCTCATTGTTGCCATCCAAAGTAGCACTGGTCACAAGAAAATTGGGGAAAGCCTGTAAATCAGAAAATGGGGAGCCGGGCAGTGGTGGCGCACACCTTTAATCCCAGCACTCGGGAGGCAGAGCCAGGCGGATCTCTGTGAGTTCGAGGCCAGCCTGGTCTACAGAGTGAGTTCCAGGAAAGGCGCAAAGCTACACAGAGAAACCCTGTCTCGAAAAACCAAAAAAAAAAAAAAAAAAAGAAAGAAAGAAATAAGAAAATGGGTAAAAGCCAAAGCACTCACCTGAGTAAGGAAGAAACTGAGGGTGTGGAAGGTGAAGGGAATGCCCCTGTTCTCACAACACATGCTTGCGCAATGAAACTTAACTACATTAATTAGTTACTTAAATGAAACCAAGAGACAAAGGACGTAGCCAGCAAGGGAAGGCAAGGGGTACTTGGCCATTCAGAAAATGGAACCCCAAAACCCAGCATCTCTGGATGTCACTTACAACTTACTGTCCTGCTTCTTCCCGAGAGGATGAGCCCTCTTCTTCTCAGGGTTTACACTGCAGAGCGTGGGGCTGGAGAGAGTTTTATGTCTTAGTGTACTTAAGAATAAAGTCATTGAAGCCAAGCAGACCTCCTATGGGGCTTCCCTGAACCACAGTAGGCTCTCAGAGCATGCCAGAGCATCTGCTCCTTCCATAGATGAAGCACCATCCAGGAGACGGGTCCCTGGTTTGGAGGTGCTGAAGGCTTGTTGGGTCCCACCACTCCTCTGGTATCACCTGTGTTATTCTTTGTTGCTTGGAGCCGGTGAGGAGCACCAGCCTGTATCCCAGGCTCAGGAAGTAGAAGAAGATGAGATGTTCAAGGCCAGCACCAGCTAAAGGAGGCCCTGTCGCAGCAACAACAACAATAAATTTGTTAATCCGGCCCAAACTGGCTCCGCCCTGGCCACCCTCCTAAGTACTAGGATTACAGGCATGCACCACCAGCCGGGCTTCCTTTGCCTTGTTCTTCCTGCCTCCCCTCCTTGACATTCTTCATCTTCATCTCTTGTCTTTTTATTCTCCCTCTTCCCTGCCTGCAGGGCTGGCAAGTGACCTGGGAAATTGCGGAGCCTCACTCGGTCCTCAGAGGGCTCCATCCCCTATCCCTTAGAAATCCTGGAGTCTTAAGAAACAGGCAGGCTCACACAGAACCCCAGGAGTCCCCAAAGCAGAAGATAAACACGTGCACCACCTTGTCCTTCTGTTTCAGACGAGAGGATGCTGTGCTGGCTTCTTTGGCCCACAATGCCAAGCCTGCCCCGGAGAAGGTCAGAATGTGTGCTCTGGGAATGGCTTCTGTCTGGATGGTGTGAATGGCACTGGCTTGTGCCAATGTGGGCAGGGCTTCAATGGGACAGCCTGCGAGACCTGCGCAGAGGGCAAGTATGGTGTCCACTGTGACCAAGGTGAGCATCACTCCTGCCCAGACCCTGGCTCCCCCAGTCCTCCCAGACCCCAGCTAGCCAGCAGCATGTTAGAAAAGAGCAGTAGCTTCAATGCTTTCTCCCCAGCCTCTCCGGCAGCAGGACTCACCCAGCATTATGATTGCAAAGTATAAGCCTCTCTGTGACCAGGCACAGTGTTCCTGGCATTCGGGAAGCTAAGGGAGGAAAACTGCCCTGAGTCTGAGACCAGCTTGGGCTACAGAGAGTCGCTGATGTTTGTTTGTTTGTGTTTGTTTGTTTGTTTGTTTGTTTGTTTGAAACCTCTGCTATTTCATTTGTATAGAGCAGTGTCCCAAACCATTTCCAGTCACTGATCTGGATGTACCTACCCATCCTCCAATTTGTTTGCTGACGTTTCCAGCCCAACTCCGTCTCTCAGTTTGCCTGTATGTGCTAATCACCGTGATTGAACGTCCCTGTGGACTTGCTCAGTAGTTGAGGGGGCAGGGGAGACAGATTTGTCCTAATGGCCCATTTAATCCCAGACGAACTGCACTGGTGTGCCGTACCCATTTTACAAATAAGGATATTAAGGCCAGGACCATGAATGAGTTCCCCCAAGGTCAGCTGAGGAGAAGCAGACCTCAGGTCTGAATACATACCTTTCTTGACCCCAAAGCCTGGCTCTTAAACTGTCCTCTTGGGGAAGGTCACTCCTTGATCACCATCAGCAAGCTTTGATGTTTAATCAGTCTGGGGACTCTTGAACGTCCTCTTGAACGTCCACATCCTGGCTTCCTTGTACCCAGGGGCACCAGGAGACAAGTCCTTGTTCCAGCTGGTCCTAAAACCATCAACTCAGCTGTCACTGTTTTCTTCCCAGCCTATCTAAACCAGACAAAACTAATACATAACTGAGTGGCTCAAATTTGGCCATGTGATATATCATTGAAATTAGAGTGTTGATTTATCTTTCTGTGTTGTTTGGGAGACTTGCTTCCATTCATACAATACTTCCTAACCTAGAATCTGTGGGTGACTCCATGGAGTCCACCAAGACCCAAAGCTGAATGCTTTTGGTTGAAGGTGGTATTCATAGCTTTCACCAAGTTCTTATTTATTTATTTATTTATTTACAATTCTTTTACAATTTCCTAAACACGTATCTATAATGTTCTCTCATCAAGGTTCCCACCTTTATCTGCTCTCTTCCCCTGCCCCTCCCACTGAACCCCTCTTCTTCACAAGTCCCCCTCCTAGTCTCATATCTATTTTTAATGAACCACTGCATTTGATTAGGATTGACTGCATGAGCATGGGTCAGTGGTTACTTACTCGAGCAAGGGCAATCTGCCAGAGGCTACCCTACCTTCTCAATGTAACCTTTAACCCCCTGTGGCTCCCTTGGGAGGAATAGGGCCTTACAAACTCTTCCTCCGTCTGTGGAATGTTGTGAGCCCAGCGTCATGCAGCTCTTGTGGAGGTAGCAGTGGCTGAACCACGAACTATAACAGTGCCAGTTTGAGTTCATGGGTGCCAAACAACCACATCATGTCCAGAAGACCACCTTTATAGCACTCCTTCCCATTAAATTCTTTCCACTTCCTCTTCCACAATGTTCTCTGAGCCTTGACGGGTGTCTTAGCTACTTTTCAACTGCTGTGACAAAACACCATGGCAAAGACAACTTATAAAAGAAAGTGTTTAATGTGGGGGCTCATGGTTCCAGAGGGTTAGAGTCCATGACTATCATGTAAGTGGTGGAGCATGGTGGCAGGCAGGCAGGCAGGCAGGTATGGCACTGGAGCACAGCTGAAAGCTTACATCAGATCCACAAGCATGAGGTCAAGAGGGAGATATCTGGGAATGGTGTGGGCTCTTGAAACCCCAAAGCCCATCCCCAGTGACACACCTCCAACAAAGCCACACCTCCTAATCCTCCCCAAACAGTTCCACCAACTGGGGACCAAGCATTCAAATATATGAGCCTATGGGGACCATTCTTATTCAGACCACCACAAGGTGTGATAAAAGTGTGCTGTTAAGGCTGAGCACTCAACGGTCACTTGTTCTCAGCACCTAAACCAACTTTGAGCCTCTACATTAACCAATTAACTACTTCTCACTGTCAATAAATAAATAAATAAACAAATGCTTTTCTGACCAAGGCTGAGCGCAGCGCTAGTCCACAAGTATACACATCAATATTTAGAGGATGGTTTGGCACTGCGTCCATTCAGCAAAACAACAGTAATAAGTTTCCCTCTAGACCATTGCCTCCCTAGCTCTTAAGTTTAACCAGGTTTACAATACCATGCCTGGGCTTCTCTTGTGGAACAGTCCTAAAATCCAATGAAAAATGTGTCAGTTTCCCCTTTAACAGAGGACGTTGTTGTACTAATGGTCACGTCTTGCCTGGAGTGGCAAGAACCTGCATAGTTTGGGAGCCTTTGGGGCCCCCCTGACCAACAGCTCACAAGGAGGTACCCCACACCTGGCACTGGAGTTTTTGTTCAATACCCATGGCTTTTAGAAGTAGCATTGTCCACAATCCTTTTTTTAAATAGTATTTTTTTTAAGATTTATTTTTTTATTATATATACAGTGAGTGTTCTGCCTGCAGGCCAGAAGAGGGCAGCAGATCTCATTGTAGCTGGTTGTGAGCCACCATGTGGTTGCTGAGAATTGAACTCAGGACCTCTGGAAGAACAGCCAGTGCTCTTAACCTCTGAGCCATCTATCCAGCCCTTAAATAGTATTTTTAAACTGGCTTACAACATGATAGATCTCACTATGGCTTTTTCATATTTTAATCAAATCTTTTTTTTTTTTGGATTCTCATGTCTGCATGTCATCTGCCTTACAATAATGTCACTAAATCTTACATGTAAAGCTTAGTGAATTTTTTATATGTCTGTCCCCATAAACCATGACTCAATTCAAGACAAGAAACACTGACTCCTCAGCTTTCAACAAATTCATAAGGAGATTGGGACCCTGCTATAAAATGAAGGAACCATTAGTTCTGTGTCTTTGGAGAAGGCAGAGCAAACAGGTTTCTACAAACCTGGTATTAAATAGAGATTTTTTTTTCTTTTGAGACAGGGTCCTGGCTGGCCTGGATCACTATGTCTACCAGGCTAGCCCTGAACTCACAGATATCTCCTAAGTGCTAGGATTACAGGTGTGCACCACCATGCCCAGCCAGATAGGCATCTTTTGAAGTCTACTCCCTTAGGGCCCCACATGATCCTGGATCCTCAAGTGACCTTAGCTGAGGATAGTTTGGTACTGAGTCACATTCCCACAGTGCCACACAGTCCCAGAACCGTGGCTTGAACAGGATAGAGTTGACCTGATAACCTGCATCCCTGTGTCCTGTGACCACAGGCCTGCACAAGACCCTGGTCAGAGCCTGGGTGCAGAGAAGCACACCCAGGAAATGATAAAGGGGATGTTGAACATGAGTCAGAGTCTGGTCATGTTTTCTACTTAGCGTGCTCTTGTGTCCATGGGAGATGTAACCAAGGACCCTCCGGAGACGGCTCCTGCAACTGTGATGTCGGCTGGCGAGGAGTGAACTGTGACAGCGGTAAGTGTCCTCGGTGCTCTGTCCTTAGCCTGCCTCTCAGAAGACACATTGTTTTCCTTTCCAGGGTAGAAACAATACCTTTAGTACTTCCTGAGAGTAAATAGAATTCTCTGCTACCAAAAGTGTGAAATAAGGAAAAGCACACACAAAAAAAAACCAAGTTACTCATATGCCCAATGCTGGAAACTCCTATTAGCGATCTTCTGTGTGACTTAGTACAGAACCCTATGTGTGGGGGATCAGACTCCATATTTTATAACCTCTTTTCTCACTCCACAAAAACAATGGGCATTTTCCTCCGTGTGAATGCACCTAGATCAGCATCTTTAATAATGTTATTAGAAACAGAACCGTTTTGTGCCTGTTTGCCACAGTGCTGGCAAATGAACGGCCGCCTCACCTACCCGTGATATATAGGCAAGCCGTCTGGCCCTGAGTTATATCCCTTCCCTAACTGCACTTTCTAAAATCAATTGTCTACTGTCGTAAACAGTGTCACAATGAGTGTGTATTATATGCCTCTTTCCACATTTGTCTTCTTAATTCATGTGTCTGACAGGAGCTGTTCTCAGCAAGGTTTTTGGTGCTCATTGCCAAACGGTCCAGTAGCAACGTATTATTTTCCTAACTTCAGGGTCTTATGAGAACTCATTTGCTCCAGTCTCACATGTTTCTAATTGTACCCCAGGGGTCAGTGATGAGAAGAAAGGGAGAACTTCACAGATCCAGAAAATCTGCACACATTTAGAGGTCTACACAATTGCAGGGTGTGAGAACAGAGGCAAAGAAGCAAGCTGAATGAGAGGTTAGAGGGGAGGCAAGAGCCAGATCTCTAAAAGATAGGCACGGTGGCTTCCCAACTCAAGCTAGTAAGAAGCCATTGACAGTTTTAAACATGGTTGCAATAATATCTTCTTTGTATTTAAGAGAAATCAATCAGGCACCAGGTTGAAAAGAATGACCTTGGAAATCAGTATCAGAGACCTTATTGTCCCCTCTGAGGCAGGAGCTAGAAAGAAGGTCACAAGTGCCTTGTGAGGGCTCCAGTGATGTGGTTTGTCTGAGGGACTGTCATAGTCAAAGCTCCAGGAGAATGCTAAATCCAGAAGACAGAGCTATAAGAACACCAAAATGGGGAATCTAAAGGATTCCAGACCAACGGGACATCTGATACCAAGAGCAGGTATCAGATGTTGGGGTGCAGAATCAGGATTCAGACAGTCCTGGAAGAGAGCCATGGAGAGTAGGCGGGGGTCATATAAGCAGGAAGATATCCTGAGTAAATCCCCAGAGTAAATGCAGTGCCTTACCCCTCACTGTCCCTTTATACTTACTTCTAAGAGCATGGGGCATGACAAACAACCTCATTTAAAGGGACAGGGAGCAGCCTAGAAGCTATGGCAACTTTCCAGGAGACCATTAGTGCAATTCCTAAATAAGGCAGCAGCAGAACTCTGATGTGGACAGTGAAGGCCCCTGGGTGTCAAATGATGCAGAGACTGGGAGGTGCAGGAGGTGCTGAGGATGGTGTCCTGAGGGTCAAATGATGCAGAGACTGGGAGGTGCAGGATGCTGAGGATGGTGCCCTGGGTGTCAAATGAAGCAGAGACTGGAAGGTGCAGGAGGTGCTGAGGATGGTGCCCTGGGTGTCAAATGAAGCAGAGACTGGGAGATGCAGGATGCTGAGGATGGTGCCCTGAGGGTCAAATGATGCAGAGACTGGGAGGTGCAGGATGCTGAGGATGGTGCCCTGGGTGTCAAATGAAGCAGAGACTGGGAGGTGCAGGAGGTGCTGAGGATGGTGCCCTGGGTGTCAAATGAAGCAGAGACTGGGAGATGCAGGATGCTGAGGATGGTGCCCTGAGGGTCAAATGATGCAGAGACTGGGAGATGCAGGATGCTGAGGATGGTGCCCTGGGTGTCAAATGAAGCAGAGACTGGGAGGTGCAGGAGATGCTGAGGATGGTGCCCTGACCGTGACTCAGGCAGCAGCATGGATGGTGGTCAATTATGGAAGACGACAGCTAGACCACTCAACCTCGGAGCCACCCCTTGCTCTTTAATGTCTGCCCTTCACTAACATCATCTCGGAGTATTCTACTTGTCCACATCTCTGGAATCTCTCTTCCACCTGCCCTCTGTCACCAGGAGCCTTGTGATCCAGCTCTCTACTTTCAATCCTATGGCCCATCCCTCTCCTTTCTGTCCTCCACATAACTGCAAGAAACCTAGACAGAAACCGGTAGCATGTCTCACCCCACTCCATCCCCAGGACTTCTTGACAACTTGCTATGGCTTTTCAGTCACCTACAGAACAAGAGTCAGAGACTTCATCGGGATCTTTCACAGGCCAGCCACCAGCTGGCATCTAGCTGGTTAGCAAGTGTGAGCACCTACCCCATCCAAAGTGTGTGGTCCTCACCAGGAGCATCCACTCTGGGAGATGCCTCCTTAGTATGCTTGACCTTCAGGCTTGTCTCTGGGCTCCCTGGCAGCAATTTGAAAAGTGTTTACGCAATGGCAAGGATTTACATAGCTAAAAATGACTTCAAGGAACTCAGTCTTTCCTGCTACTGGGGACTAAAGCAGGAATTCTCAGACAATTGGTTTCTTTTTCAGAGATCACGAAAGACAACTGCAATGGGACCTGCCACACCAGTGCCAAGTAGGTGTCCTCTGACCTCTAGGGACAAGACAAGCCCAGTAGTTCTCACCTCGGGCCCTTTGGGGGAGGGGAGTGTTTGCCCAACATCTTTGAAGAGAATGTAGATTACATTTAAAAAGAAACTGGGAGCCGGGCGGTGGTGGCGCACGCCTTTAATCCCAGCACTTGGGAGGCAGAGCCAGGTGGATCTCTGAGTTCGAGGCCAGCCTGGTCTACAGCGCGAGATCCAGGAAAGGCACAAAGCTACACAGAGAAACCCTGTCTCGAAAAACCAAAAAAAAAAAAAAAAAGAAACTGGGTATCTCTGAAGAAACGACCATGAGTTGGCCAGATCCAGCATGTTCCATGAGCAGCCAGTGACTCACCTAGCACATTGACAAGAATGCCAGTTGTCACCCCAGCCCATACCACAGGGCTCTCATGGAGGGGGCATCACTCTCAGTAAGCATTGCCCCCAGTCCCTTCCTGTTCCTTTCTGCCACAAGGCACATCCTCCTGTAAAACAGAAAAAAGCCTAGTAGCTGGAGTTAGACCTGAACCCAAAGTCATCCTCCATCACTCATCACGTGACCTGGAGTCAATTCTCTACTTCCTCCCTGCCTTGGTTATAAATGACAATCATAATTAGGCTGCCCTTCAGGGGCTGTTGTCTTGCCTGGGGACGACATTCGGTAAGCCCAAAGCTCAGCGAAGCACGTGCCTAGCACTGTGAAGATGAGTGGCACACGGTCCAGTTTGGCTGGAATGGCGGTGGTGGGATCACGCCAGGAACCAACTGTCCCCTCAAGCCGTAGGCAGAGCCTCTGGGTGCTTCATAGAGTCGGGGCCTGGATGCTGGGCTGCAGGGGGATTAGAAGTCACATGTGGGACGTTGTGTCTCTCTGAAAATGTCACCTGCCCTTTCCCACTGCAGCTGCCTTCTCGATCCAGATGGCCAGGCCTCGTGCAAATGTGCGGCGGGATTCCAAGGGAATGGAACAGTCTGCACAGGCAGGTGGAGCAGGGATCTGCGAAGGGCTTGTGTGGGCTGAGAGACCCGGCCGGGCCTCAGGAACTGCTGCCAGCCACTGGTGGGACTCACATGTAACTGAGCAAATGACGGTGCCCAGCCCTGCATGGCTGGGGCGTGTTGGTTTGGGATGGGCAAGCAATTGCATCTGGTTTTCACTGCATCTGAGCAGTGGTGCGCAACCCTGAGAGCAATTGGAATCGACTCTTGGCTTTAAAAGCAATAGATATGATTGATAAATGGTGCAGCTGAGTCATCAGGACTCAAGGTGGGCCAGTAAAGGGTTTAAGTCCTGGTTCTTCTTCCTGCCAGACTTGTAAGATTGCATGGGTGTCTAACTACCCTGAGCCCCTCTGCTCATCCGTAGAGGAAGCGTCCAGCCACCTTCCTTGCAGAGTGCTAGAAGGGGTGAAATGGCCTCTCTGAGTACAATGACAGAATAAGGCAGAGGTCAGAGGTTAGGCCCTTGCCTCATTATTAGACCCCTGAGTTTGAATTGAATGTTTACAGTCTGTGTTACTTAGGGGATGTTGCTTGGCTGTGCCTCTCACCATTTGCTCCTCGGAAAGTTGTGATGATAAGAGAATCGTTAACATTGGGTAGTTGTAGATGATCCAGATTGTACCTCTAAAGTGCTGAGACATGTGAGCTATTATTCTTAGGGTACATACACAAATTTAGCACTAGAAAAGGAGGAACTCAGCCACGTTCCAGTTGCCTGGCGCCGGGACAAATGCTGCTCTCAGCCTTAACGAGAGAAACCTCTCTTTGCAATGAATGACGGTGACTGCAGACTCATGGATGTTCACGGTGCTGAGAATAAGCGAGAGTTGAGTGCTCAGCCTCAACAGGACATTCAGAGCACCGCATCTGAGGCTCAGGGAACACTGAGGAAGAGAGAGCAGAGAGAATGTAAGAGCCAGAAGATAGTGAGAAGGGCTGGAAATGCTGTCCTCTGAGCATGGATGGCCCTCACAAGCATTGTCCCAGCCTCAGCTGCCTGCCCTGGGCCTGCCCAAGGCTGAGCCTGTTCTCACCCAGTGTGGATAGGGGAGGGCCTCAGAGGGCCCCTCTCTCGGCTGAACTGTTGACTGTTGATAGATTCTGAAATACGGACAGTCACTGTCTTCAGTTGTGTGCCTGCTGATGAGCCTACCAGCCTCCAGTGGAGAATTCCAAACCCGTGGTCACATGAGTTTCCAAACAAAAAGATAGGAATGTGGGAAATGGACTCATGAAGAGGTAGGAGTTAGCAGGGGTAGGAGGGAGATAGGAGAGAGTAGGGGTGAGAATGACCAGGGTGCATTATTACACACACAGTCAAGGATGAAAATGCAGTCTTAGAAACCCAAGTTCAGATAAGAACTTGGAGCCGTCACACTTTCTCTGCTGTGAGAAGAACACAGAAGGTGGGGTGATCCACGCACCGTCAGGCTCAACTCCTGGAGGACGAGAGGATGCAAGAACTGGCTCCAGTGACATGTAGGTCTCCCTTCATCTTGTTCAGTAAACATTTATGAGCTGTGGTTTGTAAACACTAACGGATCCATTCCGGATCAGAAAAGAGTGCGATGGCATGCGACAAACTCGTGCACCCGCCAACGCAATCAAAACACTGCGCTAGCTGGCATTAGCCCTCCTAACCCCTATCCCTGCTCAGGGACCCCGATCGTCTTTCTAGGACATTGGAGAGTTTTGTCTCTTCTAGAATCTGGTGTGAATGGAATTATGGATGCTAGTGGGTGTGGCTAAATTCACCCCTTTTGATGGCTGAGTTAATTTCATTGAGTAGATAAAGCACCACCTCCACATCCGTTTACCAGCTGATTGGTGTTTTCAGGCCTTGACTATCATGAACAAAATGTCTGTCACACACACACACACACACACACACACACACACACACACACACACACACACACACACCACTGTTTACCATTGAAAATGGTCAGGACTGGAACTCAAACAGGGAAGAAACCTGGACTCAGGAGCTGATGCAGAGGCCATGGAGGGGTGCTGCTTACTGGATTGCTCCCAATGGCTTGTCCAGCCTGCGTTCTTATAGAACCCAGGACCAGCAGCCCAGGGATGGCACCACCCACAGTGGTCTGGGCCCTCCCCATCAATCACTAATAAAGAAAATGCTCTACAGGCCTGCCTACAGCCTGATCTTAGGGAGACATTTTCTCAATCAAGGTTCTTGCCTCTCTGATGACCACAGCTGTCCCGAGTTGACATAAAAACATCCAGTACACTCTCTGTGTTGAGTCATTAACCACATTGATCCAAGGCCGCTGGAGTTGGTCTAAAAGCTTCCTTTTATCAATGGCTCAGGTTTAAAAAGAAATGTCTCCTTCTTCTGCAGCCATCAATGCCTGTGAGATCAGCAATGGAGGATGCTCTGCCAAGGCTGACTGTAAAAGAACCACCCCAGGAAGCCGGGTGTGTGTGTGCAAGGCGGGCTATACAGGAGACGGCATCATATGCCTCGGTAGGCGACCATCCCTTGCCCATGTGGTGGAAATGGTGTCAGTCAGAGCCCTGTTAAAATGTTCTAGTGTATGAGCTCTTATTGTTAGGACTGCTGCTGAGATCAAAATACAGTATGCCTTGGCGGGAAAGCCCAAGGGTGTGGAAATGTTGTACCCACAGGGGCGTGAAGGCATGTGATGAAAAAATTCACTTTGAATGGAAGGAGAGACCTTTTCCACTTAAAAATTCTAGTGGCAACTGATGTTTTGGCCTTTCATTGATTTACAATGTTACACATCTTTAGAAAATTGCAAAAGATTACGGACATGTATCTAGAGACAGGGACTCTTAAACTATTTTTACATTACCCCATTTTATTATATACATAGATATTTTCAGCAAAAAAAAATGGTATCTTATGATACCATTACACCATTCTGTTACATCATTATAACAGATGTATATTAAGTATAAACACACTATAATGGTGTTTATACTTAATGATGTAACAGAATGATTCCTTGAAAGTACGTGTAGCCTGCTTGGGCAACAGCACACAGCTCTGTTCTAGAGGTGTGCCCTAGAAAACTGTCTGAATTTTAACCCACCAAAAAGGGTTGCCACCATCATTCTAAAAAGAATCACGTGCTCTTGACCTACATTAACAGTCTACTGCTCACGTTTTCCTTTGCTCTCTTGGTGTATTTTCATATTGTTCCTTAGGCATCTGAGACTAAGCTGTGTAAGTCATGTTGTATTTGTCCCAATAACTGAGTCTGTATTTCCTGAGAATGAGGGCAGCTTGTTCTGTAGCCACACACACTTCCTGACTTCAGTAAGTTGATTATCACTATAATACATTTTCTAGTTATATTCACATGTTAATTTTATCAATTGTCCCAAAAGTTCTCTAGTCTGGGGTCTTTGGAGGACTGCATATTGCATTTAGTGTCTTAACTCTTTGGACTATTTCTTTGATAAAGTGTCTTTTATTTGGGGTTTGAGGTTTTATTGTTTTCTTTTTTTTTTTCATTATTAGATTCCACTTGTATATTCCAGGCCAAAATGTCACAAAAATCATGTATCCTTTGTAGGCTGTCACAGGTCTCAAGGTTTCCATCAGCCCTTGTTTATGATATGACCAGGAGGTCATAGCGCTCCCGAGTGACCCACTGCACGGTCCCTCTCCCCTCTCTGCTGTGAATCAGTGGAGAGAAGCTCTGCCATCGAGCTGTCTGCTCCTCTCAGGATGGCCTAAACTGAGCGTCTGTTGACGAGTCTCCTCTAAACTAGTCTTTGTGATGTTGCAGATGATTGTGCTTTCGTTCCCAAGTCTCCTCATCTGTTGCACTGGTGGACTGGGTCCTAAGATTCGCCTTCGATACATTCATATTCATTCCACAGAGGGTCAAATTTAACCCTTCAGATGGTGCCTCTACTAGAATTTGCCCAACCGGGTGGGAGGGTCAGTTTTGAGAAACCATCCCCCCACCCCGAATTATTTCTGCCCCTGAAGTTCCAGAAAACTGAGTCCCACGTAGACACCTGCTGCTCTTGGCCAGTTATCCAAGCTGTCTCCGGTCCCTGGGGAATGCCCTCAGAATGCCTCTTCACAGACATAAAGCTTGACTCTCATAACACACGTTGGCTCTTGTTTTAAAGAGATAAACCCGTGTTTGGAGAACAATGGCGGCTGTGACAAGAACGCGGAGTGCACACAGACAGGGCCCAGTCAGGTGAGTCGCCTCTTGGAGGCTTCTTGGGAGGAAACTCCTGAGTCGTAAGACCCAGGCCTAAGGGAAAGAAGTGCGGAACAGACCTTGGACCAGTTGCAGCCAGAACCACTGCAGGGCAGACAGTGAAAGCACAAGAGGCAGTCTGAGGGGCGGGGACTAGGAAAAGGGCTTTCTAAAAGTGGGGTGGACTCACCTGCAACCTCCGTGATCCTAGAAGCACCTAGAAGTTTCACCAAAAATGTTGCCCATTCTTTCAGCTTTCTGATCCCCAGAATGCCTCCCATTTTTCTTTGGCTCCAGGCTCTGGAGGGCACTGTGCCAAGCCAGGAGCTCACAGTTCAGACTTCTGCATTGATATGGCCCCAGCACAGACAGTTGTGCAGCTACCCTGGGGCAAGTGAATTTGGGGGAGTAGGAAAATAAGAGGACTCCAGCAAGGGGTGGTGGCCATGGAGCAAAAGGATACAGGGGCAACGGAGGAGCAAAGACCCACACTCCACCTCTCTCAGTCCCAGACACATGGTAAACACACAAAATGACCAGGCAGGGCAGTGCATACGTCATGACCCTGGGTAAGAAGTCAGATACCCAAGAAATGTCCCTCGGAGCTCACCGAGCCTCTTAGGAGACTGCAGCGCTGCGTCCCTCAATGGGCAGATCGAGCAGGTGCCTAAGCATCTTAAGTTTTAAAAAAATCTTTAAAAAAACATGGAAGGGGTGTGTGTGTGTGTGTGTGTGTGTGTGTGTGTGTGTGTGTGTGTACATTTAATCATCAGAAAGTCTCAGCAGACTCTGTTGGACTTTTACTCATATATTTTCATGTCTCAATAGAGTTCCTATATACATGGAATGAGGAAATTGTTCTTGTAAGGTTTCTGGCCCCTGGGCCCTCTAACAGTGTTCCTGCAGACCTGGAAGGCAGCGATGGTGAACTGAGCTCTAGGAATACCACCCCAGCTGAGATGAGACAGCTGCTAGGCCCATTGGGAAAGGCTTAGACAAGGTTGGGGCCAGTGCTGAAAGAAGAGGAGAAACAGTGGGAACCTGCCCAGGTTGCCCTGGCTCGCCCCGCCTGCGGATTCCAGTTCTAACAAGTGGCCATCAGGCCTGTGGGGTTCTGCTCCCAACCCCCTGAAAACAGCATCCCCTTCCTCAAGCTCCGGCTGCCTTCCTTGTCCATGGAACGGGTGTGGCGGCTTCTTTTCCTGTGTATATCCCGGGAGCTGCAAAGCCTTCCCCTCAGCATATGCTGGCACTGGTGTCTGAGTTCCTTCTTGTTGGAGATAAGACAGTACTCCAGCTTAGCTCTCTTCCCATCAAAAAAGAAGGTATCTTGGTGATAAGGGTGGGATGTCTGTGAGATCTAGAACTCGAGTATACTATGTATTACAAAGAAAGGAAGGAAGGAAGGAAGGAAGGAAGGAGGGAGGGAAGGAAGGCAGGCATAGTCCCTTCTCATGCCTCCATTCCACAGTCAAATTCCAGTCTGAGACCCAGAGCACTAACCTGCTGTTCAATGACCGTTTGCCTCTGCTCCCGAACAGGCCGTCTGTAACTGCTTGCCAAAGTACACTGGAGATGGGAAGACCTGCACACTCATCGATGTCTGTTTAACCGTGAGTATGCTTCCAGGCCCGTAGCCGTGGAGCCTTCTACCTTCTGGGGAACAGAGGCCAAGTGTCCTCCCCTTGGAATCGCAGAGCTGCTTTTCAGTAATGAGGCTCACTTCTCCTCTTGTGTGTCATGGTCATACTGGAGAGAACAGACTGGTACCCCACAGCCTGCCCCCTTGGCTACAAGATTCTGAAGGGAGGGACCTAGTTATACGGAGTTGGTCCAGCATTCATCTAATGCAAGTGTCCCAAAACCAGCTTAATTAGTATCCCAAAGTATAGGGAACGCTAAGAAGCATTCAGGAGTCAACTAACAAGCCCTAGCATCCTGCTCAGAATCTGGTTCCCTAGCCACAGTGATGGTTGATGGAGTGCTGATCTATTGCCCAAGTTTGTTGTTTCCTGTTTCTTCTTTATGTACCGAATAGGGAAGAAGAAAAGAGCAGTTGAGACTAACCCTGACAGAAGTTAGTTTGTGGGAAAGTAAAAGCTGCAGGGGCCGTGAGGAGACCAATTCGTGGCCAGGAGTTGAGAGAGGGTGGGGTGAATAAGGGAGCTGTGAGGAGTTCTTCGGGCTAGGAAACGACTCTAAGGAAGCTTTGATGTTGGGCACAGTATACATTTGTCAAGACCCACAGAACGTACACCAGCAAGAGTGGGCCAGCACGCAGGCTATGGACTTCAATATCAGTGCATCAATTCCAGCCAATGTACAACTGACCAATGCAAGGTGTTATGATGCGGAAAACCAGGGAGTGGTGGTGTCTCTATAGGAATGTCTGCACTTTCCATTCTGTTTTCCTGTAAACCTAAAACAGCCCTTAAAATCAGTTTAAACAAAACAAAACCCACCACATCCATAGAGAAGCCAACTGTCAATTTTCTTATCTTTTATGCGCACGCACACATGCGCGCGTGCTCTCGCGCGCGCGCACACACACACGCACGCACGCATACACACGCACGCACGCACACGCACCTGAGCATAGCTTCTACTACCCAGATTTGTATCTTTCCTGCTTAAGCTACCTCCGTGCTATTAAGAATGTGCCCAGGGGAACACACCATTTTTATCCTGCTTAGCTCAGATGTGTTGCCCCTCGTCAGTAGACAGCTAGAGAGATCTCAGGACCCAGGAACATGAACTCCATGACCTCTGCACAAGCATAACATCTTGGCAATCCTGTTGTGAGCAGCCTCCATTGCCTGCCAAAACATTTCTTCTTGTTCTCCCATGACTTTTGACTGCAGACCAGCTCCATGTTGTACTAACCTAGTAGGAGCTAGGTCTGAAACTGGACAAGCTGTCTCCTGCTGTTCAACCTACCCCAGGCCCATGCCTCCAGTGGAGTAAGACGTTCCATAAGCTTCATGCCCCGGCATGTCACATCTGGGACACTTTGGTCATCCAGGCCTCTGACAACCTGCATCAACATGACATTGCTATGTGCTGCTCTCTAGACATCTGGGTTTCCATGCTTTCTCTCTTCTGATACCCAGTGGGACCAGGACTAACTTGTTTGTTGTTTTTTACTCTTTGGGGGGGCCTGCCACCCAGCTCCCAAATAAATCACTCATGGAGGCTTATTCTTAATTATGAATGCTCTGCCTTAGCTTGGCTTGTTTCTTGCCAACTTTCCTTAACTTAAATTATCCCGTCTATCTTTGGCCTCGGGGCTTTTCTCCATTCTCTTACTTCTGTAAATCTTACTCTTACTCCATGGCTTGCTGTGTAGCTGGGTGGCTGGCCCCTGGAGTCCTCCTCCTTCCCTGGCTGCTGCTTCTTTCTCCCAGATTTCTCCTTCTATTTATCCTCTCTGCCTGCCAGCCCCACCTATTTCTCTCTCCCGCCTTACTATTGGCCATTCAGTTCTTTATTTGACCATCAGGTATTTTAGACAGGCACAGTAACACAGCTTCACAGAGTTAGACAAGTGCAACATAAACAAAGTAACACACCTGAGAATAATATTCTACAACACTAACCCCAGTTTACTGATGAAAAGACTCTAGCTGTGAATTATTTTCTTAGGTATCATAGTTTCATTTCCTGTTGATACCCTAACAAAGCAAACTAGGGCCGAAGGGGTTCATCTGGGTCACAATTCCAGGTCACAGTCCATCATTGCAGGGAAGTGACAGTGGCAGGAGCTTGGGAGAACTGGTGACATTACATCATAGTCAAGGTCAGAGAGCAATGAGCTAATACATGTTCTCCTGTGCTGAGCTCACCGTTTCCATTCATACAGTTCAGAATCACCTACCTAGAGAGTGCACCGCCCACAGCGGGCAGATCATCCCACCTCAGTTAACTTAATCAAGATAATCCACCCATAGGGGCTAGAGAGATGGCTCAGCAGTTAAGAGCACTGGCTGCTCTTCACAGGACCAGGGTGCCATTGTCAGCACCCACATGGCAGCTCACAGCTGTCTGCAACTTCAGTCTCAGAGGATCCAACACCAGTCCCTGGGCACCCGGCACACATGTGGTACACAGACATACATGCAGGCAAAACATCTATACACATAAAAATAAATAAGTAGCTTTTGTAAAAAGCTATCCCCCATAGGCATGCTCACAGCCAGCCTGATCTAGGCAGCCCCTCACTGAGGCTCCTCTCCTGTTGATTCTAGACTGTGTCACACTGACAGTTCAAACTGACCATCACAATAGGGGCTGCTGTAAAATTTAACACAGGCAGGGCACAGGAATTTATGTATGATTCTCGAGGGCTAGAATCTAAAATCAGTGTGAGCAAGGATGCGTCTGAAAGTTCCGGGGCAGAACCCTTCCTTGCCTCTTTTTTCTGCTGGTGGCTCCAGTATTCCTGCCTGTAACTGCAGACTGCAGCCTCTGCCCCTCCTCACCTCCATGTCTGCCTTCTGTTCTTCCACAGACACCTTTGGGTTTAAGGAGCTTCATCTCAAGACCCTTAATGACATTAAGTGCTTTTCTAAATAAGGTCACAGTTACAGGTGACTTGGGGCTTAAGGACCAGACATGTTTGGAGTGGGGCACTTCTCCCTGTCTCTGGCTGTCGTAAGATCCTTATCAGAGACCATGGAGCTAGTCCATGATACAGAGCCCAAACCCCTGTGTGTCTAGCCCTGGGCCGACACTGTGGACCAAATGCTTTGGTGGCATGTTCTGCCTGAGCACTTCCAACTGGTGCTGTGAGAACAAGTGGACTTCCTCCCTAAGCACGTCCATTTGCCTCCTTGTTTTGGTCTGGCAAGCTCAAGAGAGCAATGTCCTCTACATGAAATGACTGTGAGGCCAAACGGGAGCTGGGACACAGAGGCAGCTGGGATGTGGGGCCGTTGTTATGACAACCCTAGCTGGCTGTTTGACACCAGCTCCTCCATGTTGTATTGGCCAAAAGACTCATCTGCCCTGGAGGTCCAGAGGCTCTTTTGCTGTCCTCTTGGAGCATACGTTCAGGAACTAGCTCTCAATTCCAGTCATTAGGGGCATCGGGTACTGGACAGGGACCACAGCAGGAAGGTGGAAAACTCGGTTCTTCTCTAATGAGTACCATCTCCAGAGCCTCAGATCTCTGTTGCTCGGAGCAATGCCAGCCAGCGTTGGCTGTGCAAGAACAACAGAAATTTTAATGTGAATTTTTCCAGTTTTTAAATGATAGTACTCACTCAAAGCAAAAGGCAAAAATTCTCTAAACATTGGAATAAGCGAACAAAGTAGTCATGGAGCTGTCCAAGAACCGTGAATTTCTCCCCAGTTCTACCACCAAGAGCCAGGCAACAAGGCTTCTGTGAGGGACTCTCCGGTTCCAAACCATTTAGTGCTGCCACCATAGAATCCTGGAAACCGGGTAACTTGAACAGAAATTTAATCCTCACACTCCAGAGGCCCAGGATCAAGATGCCAGCGGGTGGTACAGGCCTCCTTGGTGTATCATAACAGGGCTGAGTGAGTGAAAAGGAAAATGAGAGAGGGGAAGAGACAGAGGAGGGTGGATAGAAAGACAGGGAGAAAAAAAGAGAGGGGGAAAGGGAGAGAAGGGAGGGAGAGGGAGAATGTAAACCTCCACAAGAAGAGAAGAAGGCTCCGTGAGGCTCACAGTGCTGGGGATGGCGCTGGTGTTCAGGGTAAAGGCTTTGTGAGGACAGGAAGGAGTCGGTGTGTGGTCACACAGAGCAAGTGCCCTCATGGTGAGGGATGCCCTAGGGCTCCTAGGCCTCTGGAAGGGACAGAGATCAAGAGGGATGTGACAAGAAAGGACCTCTGTGTGGCCTTGGAGCATGCTGGGTATTGCAGCTGTCAAAGTCTGGGGTCATTGGCTGGAAGTTTCATGTCCTCTGGAGTCCGCTTTTCTAAGCAGCAAATAGAAGTTTATCCCCTTGGGGTAGGAATCTGGGATGCTGACAACCATCACACTTAGCAAATGATTTTGGAAAAGAGTCTAGGGGAAAGGAAGATTTCCCGGCAGGGGTGTTGAGCCTGTTGAGCGGTTCCTCTGCTCCTCACAGGAGCTTCTCTTCCTGGCTCCATGTTCCTTCCTCACTGGAGTCTGCTCCGGTTCAGAGCCCATGCAGATGCCACCATGGAGGCTCACTCTGGCTGTGTTTTGTATTTTGGCCTCCTCTTCCACATCTTATGAGCTCTTGAGGGCAAGGCAATGGGTTCTGCTTTATACTGGGTTTTTGTCATCTTTCCTATGACCCAATCAGAGTTTAGCGTAAAGGTGGGAACTGTCAAACGTGAAGGGTACTTATCCATAGAGGACTGGAGATCTGGTTATATGAACTTGCCCTCTTGGGATATGAAGCTGCCTGAATAAATGGCCAGCAGCCAAGGCCCTATAAGGCAAGTTCAGGAAAGCCAATGAAGACTGATCAAAGTTGGAGAGTAAGATGAAATATGTGTGTGCTGTGTGTAGGTGTGTTTGCACATGCACATGTGTGTGTTGCTAGGGATTGAACCCAGCACTTTGCAGATGCCAGACAAGTTTCTAACACTGAACTGTACCCACATCCCTCAAAATATAAATTTCAGCACAAAATTGCTTAACAAATATGAACAAAGTTGGCAAATGTACTGGTCTGATTGAGCCCCTCCTCTACCTCTTGGCAATTTTACCAGAATAATGGCGGCTGCAGCCCATTTGCCACCTGCAATCACACCGGACAAGGTCAAAGGATATGCACCTGCAAGCAGAACTACAAGGGAGATGGACTCACCTGCCGTGGCAGCATCTACCGGGTAACAACACGTCTCCGGGAAGTCGACTCTGCTTCCCAAATTGCTGAGAGTCCAGGTTCCCCGGGGACTTGTAAATCGCTTGCAATGAAAAGAGCTGTATCTACCCAGGAAACTCCTGTGGCCTGGGAAGGGAGTGGTGTCTCTGCTAAGACTGACAAAGCTCTGGAGTCAGAAATACCTGGGTTTGGACTCAGCTCTGCCAGGAAGTAGCACTGTGACTCGGAGCAAGTGATGTCACTTTTCTATGCATCCCTCCGAATCTGGAAAAGAAAATGATCAGGACACCAGCTCTATCAAGTTCTTACAAAATTAAATTTAAAATTAAATGATGGTGGATGCCAAGAACACCGAGCATGCAGTAATGCCAAAGCATTGCCATGCTTTGGGTTGGTATGTGAATAGATGTATGTGGTATGTGTGATACATCTGATGTGGGTGTACAGAATGTGGTGACTGTGTATGACATACTATGTGTAGTGTGTGGATGTGTGGTATGGTATGTATGAAATATGGAGTGTGTTTGTGGTATATGGGATATATGTGTGTGTGATGTGTGTGTGTATGTGTATGGTATATGGTATATTTTGTATGTGTGGTGTATGGTATGTGTAGTATATGGGGTATGCGTGTGGTATATGGGCGTATGTGGTATATTTGTGGTGTATGTGTGGTATGTGTGGGTGTATGGGTGTGTGTTTATGTGTGTGTGTGGTGTATGGGGAGGTGTGGAGTATGGGGGATGTGTGGTGTATCTAAGGTATGTGTGTGCCCGTGTGCATACATGCCATTCACCCCCATCTGCCTACACTGCAGATAGAGGAAGAGGCAGGGTGATACTTTCTGGTTTCTACAGACACTCAGAAAATTGTTAAAGAGAGGCCAAAGCATTCTGACTGATTGAACATTCTTGTCAGGGAGGCCAATTCTGCCACATGCAATAACTGACCTTCACAGGATCTCAACTACATTTGTGTGTTTTGTAAAGATTTGAGATCCTTTTGAAATGCTTGTAAAGTTCTGTGCCTTGAGGAGTGGTTGGATCTTTCTTTCATAAATTGGATAAGATTCCAGAAAGGACCTGGGACTCAGTGTGTCGCTCGGTCATCCTGAGCATCAGCTACAAGCCCCCCAGTGAGGCTGGAAGAGAGCCATCTCGTGGCTTTCTAGTGGACACATTGTCACATACAACTCTATATTACTGTGTGTGATTCCCAGATCAAGTGACATTTCCCTGTCTTTGTTTGCAGGAACTTTCTAAGGACCCAACAACTTCACAATATTTCTTCCAGTTGCAGGTAAGAAAGTATCTGTCTACTTCTGAGGCATGTCTCAGACCCTGCATTCAATTTCCACCACTAGAATATGTGTATGTTTAAATTTGTGTGTATACTATGTATACGTGTATGCATAAATATATCAACATGCCGGGTCTCCAGCAAGCTATAAGATAAAGCTGTAGCCTCCGGAGTCAGGGAGGGCAGAAGAAAGTCTAGAACTAGGATCAGTGGCACCAGCCCCATTGCTGGCCATTTGTGAACTCTGTCTCTCAAGTCTTAGGTGTAAGCAATCACATAGCCATTAGTGTTTGTGACTCTCATCACATCTAAACATTGAAAGGGTACAGTAAAAATACAATAGGAAAGATTAAGGAATACGTCACACAGGGCTCTTACCATGAGCGGGGCTTGCGCTGTGTGAGTCACACAATAGCAAAATGGCCTAAGAACACATTTCTCAGAACATGTCCCATAGTTAAGTGACAATGACTGTGTATGAAAATGTCTATCACAGCAGTGGAGAAAGAGACATTATGGGGTGTGTGAGCTACCTGTTCCCAGCTGTTACACCTGACAGAAACAACCCAGTGGAGGATAGCTTTTGCAAGGGTCCATGCTTCTGGGCCAGTGTGAGGCAGAGCGTCATAGTGTCAGGAACGTGTGGCAGAGGAACTTTGTCATGGCGGACAGGAAGCAGAGAACACAGGCTAGGCATACCCATCCGAGAAGGAGCAGGGCAAGATCCAGCTCCCAGGGAAGCTCTCCTGCTCAGCCCATCCCCACCTCCAATCTTTCACCTCCAGCATGTCATGGGTCCCTGGAGGAGGTAACCTGTCCATTAGGTCAGACCTCAGCGTCTCCTCTGTCTATGAAGACGGCCTCTCGGGCACACCCAGCAGTGTGCTTCTCAATCTCTTGGGGGCTTCTTAACCCAATTAAGTTGACAGTCAAGAGTCACTCTCACAGTGGGACAGCTGGTGAGGTGAAAGCGTGCTGGCCTTCTGGGAACCAGCCACAGGAATCCCAGGTGCACTGAAGGATGAGGCTTGAGAAACTAGCAACCGCCACAGCAGCCCTACAGTCTTGGGACGGCAAGCAGACAGTCAGCCAGCCAAGTCGGTCATCTTGGTTACTACAGTCACGTGATTATCACAGTGTATAACTATCACATGGAAGGAAAGGCTGGAGTCATCTTTGATGGGGCTCATGGGTAGGGTTGTCACCTCTGCTTTCAGAGGCGTTTATCTAATAGCCACATGTTAATTTTATACTTAGAAAAAAAATACCATTTTGACAGCATAGAATCTGGGTTTACTTTGAGTCTGAGGCAAAAACCCTGACTCTGGCCTATCTTTGAGCCTCACCCTGTGTCTGTGAGAGAGGAAGCCGCTAAGCTTGTCTCTGAAAGAATGACCTGTGGCCCCGCCTGCCTTCCTGCAGGAGCATGCTGTCCAAGAGCTGGCTGGACCCGGTCCCTTCACCGTGTTTGTGCCGTCTTCTGCTTCCTTCAGTCAGGAGCCCAGGGTGAGCACCAGGCTGGCCCTGTGGAAGGGCTCGGGGAAAGGCGTGGCCTGCAGCCCACCGTGGTGATGTTGTGAACAGGGCATTGAGTCTCAGGTAGAGCTGACCGGCAGCAGAAGGGCTGCCTGTCTGGGTGAAGATCCCTGACAGGCCTTTGGGTTTGGGGCACCACTGGCCAGAGGCTTTCTAGACAGAGTAGGAAATTGGAGAAGGCTCAAGTGATCAAGGAATCCAAACTCTCTAGAGACCAAAAAAAAAAAAAAAAAAAATGGATGGGCAGAGAAGATTCACAGTTAAAGGGATTGAAATAGTTCTTGACTTGCAGGAATGACCAGACCGGAGCTTTCACGGCTCTGTCATTCCCTGTGCCCCATATGAGATCTCCTATAAATACTACTAACAACTAACATCTCCATAGACAGCCACACTCAGAACGGGGCCTGGCCAACATGTATTCCATCTCCATAGACAGCCACACTCAGAACGGGGCCTGGATAACATGTATTCCATCTCCATAGACAGCCACAATCAGAATGGGGCGTGGCCGACATGTATTCCGTTTATACTCATATCAGGCCTGTAGCTAAACGTCATCCCCATTTTATAGTGGAGAACACTGAGGGAAGTAACTTTGCTGAGGTCCCATGCAGGAAGGTGGTTGAGGAAGGATTTGTTCTCAGCCACTGCACACACTGCCCCTCTCTATATACATATATTTTAGATACCAGCAAAGCAAAGGCACAAGAATAATGTTTAATATCATTTAACCTTTGGTTATTTTAACTTAAAGCCTCAAAGGAGGGAGAAAAATTTTTATGGGATTGTTGTTGTTATTGTTGGAGACAGGGCTTCTCTGTGTAGCCCCAACTGTCCTGGGACTTGCTCTGTAGACCAGGCTGGCCTCAGTCCACCTGCCTCTAGGCATGTACCACCACTGCCTGGAGTTTTCTGAGCTTTTTATTACAGTGACTTCATAATTGTAGTCTTTGTATTTTGAATCCAAATAGAAATGTACCACAGCCTCCAATCCGGAAGACTTTATCCTGCCTCCTCTCTAGGAAGGCCCTCCTATGGTCTCTCCTAGCATATCTCCCAGCAAAGTCCTTTTCTGTAGGACATTGTAGGACGCTGGCGTCCTTCAAGCAGTGCTGGGACAGGCTGGCCCAGAGCCCCCTCGAGACCCCTTCCACCTACGATCCTCACCCCCTTGCCTGAGCAGACACTAGCTCCTCAGAGTGTAGGAACGAGGAGACAGAAAGGTTCTAGCAACAGGCTCCTCCCTCTGGCCTACCTCCCTGGCTTCTTTTCCAGATCAAAGACTGGGACCAGCAGGGCCTCATGTCCCAGGTTCTTCGGTACCACATGGTCGCCTGCCAACAGCTGCTGCTGGAGAACCTCAAAGTGACCACAAATGCTGTGACCCTCCAGGGCGAGCCGATCTCCATCTCTGTCTCTCAGGTAAGAGCAGCCACTTGGGAAAGGTGCTGTCCTCACCCTCCACGTCTGACTTCCCCTCCTGAGTGACAGCCTCAGCGATAACAGCTAACCACTGAGTGATTTCTACTGTAGGGCTGTGCAAAGGACTTCACATGCACTGATCCAGTCTGTCCTGTAGCCCCATGATGGGAATACCATCATTGTCCTCAATTTCCAAATACAGATGCTGAGCTCAAAGAGGAGCTTGTTCAAAGTCCCATAGCAAAAAACAGTTGAATTGGAATTCAGACTCAGAGGCAAGACAGCTCCAGATAGCGCAGATGGAGTGGAGGATGGGTGATGTCAAGGACACGTTGATGAGAAACCAGCTGTGAGCTGTTTATTCCGTGAGCTTTCAGAATTTTGTTGAAATAAGCAACCAGCCAGGTTGGCTGATCATACATTATTTGCTGTTAACCTCAGAGGTGAAAACTGTATTCTCATCTCCATTTTCCTTCTAGGACCATAATAAACAATGTACTTAAGTCACATGGACCTTCAGGCTCTGCCCCTGATGATGAGCACATCAGAGAAGCATCCATCCTGTGGGAAAGGATTCTGAGTGGTTTCTCTGTGCTCATGCCTCTCACGGTTTTCCTTTGTCTTCAGGATACCGTGTATATAAACAATAAGGCAAAGGTCCTGGCTGGTGACATCATCAGCACCAATGGAGTCATCCACATCATCGACAAATGGCTGTCTCCCCAGCACTTGCTTGTCACCCCCAAAGATGCTTCAGGCAAGGTTCTGGTAGGTACCCCACTGTCACCCCCAGCACGTGATGTCTGTCTGTCAGCTCAGCTGCACTGTCATGCTGTCGCCTCAAACAAAGGTTGTTCGAGTCAGTCCGTGGATTTTAATGCTGGGGGGCAGTGGTGTGTGCCACAGTCCCAGCTCCTCGGCAGCTTCAAGTAGGAAGATCATTTGAGCTCAGGAGTTTCATGCCAGCCTTACCAATATAGTAAAACGTATCTCCTAACAAAATTTTTAAAAATAATTGATTTTATGTTTTTCTTTAGTGTCCGCAAGGGAGAGTTATCTTATATAGATTTGGAGAAGGAAGGGGAAGGGTGAGAGGGAAAGCAGGAAGGGAAGGTGGATAATTAGATACCCCTAAAGCTAAACCTGGAATTAAACTTCTTCTTAATGGATAGAAAAAATTTTAACTATTTATTCATTTATTCTCTTATTTCTTTCTTGGTTTTTTGATATTGAGGATTGAACCTGTGCCTTGTACATGGTAGGTGAATACCTTCTTCCTGAAGTACAAAATCAACCTTTTTTCATTTTCTATGTTTTGACATTTCATTTTCTATTTTCTATTTTGAAACAAGGTCTCATTAATTTGCTTAGGCTGTTCTTAAACTCACTCTGCAGCCCAGATAGGCTTTAACTTTTCATTCTCCTGCCTCAGCCTCCCAAGTAGCTAATATTACAGGCCTCAACCACCAGGCCCAGTTCACTTTGTTTTAATGTAATGTATTGGCCGCTCTCCTTCATTGCAGGTGGCAGAATCCATTAAACCTCACTTCTAAAAAGGAGTTTCTTAAGATATCATGTATATGAAAAATCTTTTGGAGGCCATAGTCTAATTCAGTGATACACAGGTGGAAACAAAGGACCTCTAACTTTACCCTAGAGCCATTCTGACTGTTACAGCTATTCAAATTCCACCTCTCCAACCTCTCCTCCCAGGGGATTAGAGACCGAACTACTCACACCCACATCACTGTGCTCCAGGTGGCCTAGCATCCTGCTAGCTGTACCTCATATTGTTCCTTTCCACCAACAGATCTCCACAGTCCTTGGGTTTGGTTGACCCTGCATTGCCTGTGGGCTTCTAGCTGCAAGGGAGTCTGGAAAATGTTGTGTCCAGCTTTCCAGCCTCTGCAATGTGGAAAAACATGGTCAAAAGAAAGCTGCTATGGTTGCTAATGAGCCAATGGATAGCCCAGCCCCTGCTGTGTTACTGCTGTTGAATGCAGTTGGGTTGTTAAAGTGCTTGGTAAACTGTCTAAAGTGGGCATGTTCAACCTACAGATGTGTCCCAGGGTAGCCATAAATGTGGCCCAACACAAAATAACAAACTTACTTATGATATTAGATTTGGTTTTGTATCTCTGTCTCTTGAGTAAGAGTAGTCACCTCAGGAAGGTGCCATCTTCTAGTCATAGAAGATGTAGTGTCCAGCTTTCCCTGCACCGTTCTCAAGTATGGACTTTGTAGATAGCAATGTCAAATGGTTGGACACACTTGCAAGATGAAAGGTTTTATGCCCTTTCTTATCTTTGCAGCAGAATCTTACTACAGTGGCAATGAACCAAGGATATACCAGATTCAGCAAGTTAATACAGGTAAAACACTAAGGGGAAAGAGAACTGAGGAACAGCCCATCCTGAACTCTGCTTTGTTAGGTTTGCTTGTGTTTATATCTGAGAGAGGCACCCCACACTGACCAATAAATATTTTTTAAATGAGACTATCCAAGGATGTTACAACTGAGTAAACCTTGTCCACCTAGCTGTCCTCAAACCTCTGTAGTCAACATGTACCTATTCATCAGGGTCTGGTTGGACAGTTTTAGAGCAAACTAACAAGCCTGTCAAGGGCTTGATGAAGGTCATAAAGCCGACTTCACAGGGGAAATTAATATATGGGATGTTCCCATACCACATAAGGCTCTCAGAATCATTTCTCCTATTCATCTTGACATTTCTTTAGGGTACATTTTATCTCAAAACTTTATAAGCAAACATATATGTCTCAATATTTTCTAAGTTTTTCTTAATGAAATGTGAGAAAAAATAAAAACTAGTCTTGAGAAGTTAAAGTATTTGGACAGAAGTAGTATCAAAAGTAAGATACTCATTGGTTTACTCTCCTACTAACAAGAGCCTAGAGTCTGAGTCTCTGGGTTGCATTTTAAGGAAATGGGGTTCAGAATGGTTGGGGCACAGTGCTCTGGCTTCTGGCTGTGTCACTCTGGGACCTTCGGAAATTCTGACAAGCCACAGTTCAGGTCCTGGAGATACTGGCTCAGGGAGGCCCTCTGCCCGCAAGGAGGGGCCTCACCACACAGTGCGCGCGTGCGCAGTAAGGATGACAGCACCTCTGTTTCAGGACTCGGGCTTGCTGAGTGTCATCACTGACCCCATCCACACCCCAGTCACTCTCTTCTGGCCCACGGACAAAGCCCTCCAAGCCATACCCCAGGAGCAACAGGACTTCCTGTTCAATGAAGACAACAAGGACAAGCTGAAGGAGTATCTGAAGTTCCACGTGATCCGAGACTCCAGGGTAGTTTATCCAGTGTCCCAGAGAAAGATGCTGTCTATCCCTGAGGCCCCATGACCCACAGTTCACTATGTGTCCCCACACCTCCCTGGGGGGCGGGGAAGCTTCAGCCCCTCTGCCCTGTGAACTGTGTGCTGCCTTTTTACCTTCCTGTTTCATACGGCAGAATGGCAGCTGACAGAGGTCCCCTCGAGCTTTTCCAGGTGTCCTCTACCGCTCCTGATTCTGACATCCCGACACAAATGACTTAATGCATCTTAACGCAATCAGCTGTCAGCCCTGTGAACTAGCCAACTGTCCTGATCATGTAGGGACATGAAGCCAGATCATGTGGAGACATGAAGCCAGTCACTCTGAGTCCTCAGGGAGCACTCTTGTGACTCCGAGATGAAGCCATCCACTCCAAGATGCCCGTACTCTGACCAAAGGACACTCAGTGTCCACGTGACTTCCTGGGCCTGCATAACAGATTGCCACAGGCTAGGTGCTTTGGAGCTGCAGAAACTCATTCCCTCCCAGCAGTAGAGGCTAGACCACTGCCATCAGTATGGCGAGGTCATTTCTTCCAGGGGTTCTGAAGGAAAGGCTGTCCCCTGAGTCTCCCAGGGCACCTGGTGGTTTCTGGCACTCTCTGGCATTCCTTGGCTTGCAGGCACATGCATCCATGCAGTTTGCCTCCATCTTCCCACAGTCATTCTTTCCCTGTGTCTCGGTGTCCCTCTGTGGTATTCTCCTCTTCCAACAAGGACATCGTTTATATTGTATGAAGAGCCCACCCTACTCCAGGGTTAGTTTATCTTGCCTAACTATTAACTGTATTTGCAAAGACCTTACTTCCAAATAAGATCACATTCTAAGGTCCTTGGGGTCAAGATTTTCTATCATTTTGATATTTTTTTATTTTCTTGAAACAGGGTTTCACTATGTAGTCCTGGCTAGCCTGGAACTCACTAAGTAGACAAGACTAGGCTGGCCTTGAACTCAGAGATCTGCTGTCTCTGCCTCCTGAGTGTTGATATTAAAGGTGTGTGCCAAAATGGCTAGCTCCTGTGACTTTTAAAGGAGTGCATTTCAGGACATAAAGCTGCCCTGGACCATTTCCTGGTTAACCCCACTCATCCTTTCTTTGGCTTCATAAACCTAGACAGCCTCTTCCAGGATGCCCAAGCACAGATGCCCATCAGGCACAGACCATGCCTAGCGGAGGAACTCCCAGCCCCTAGAAAGTCCCCGTCACCCTAACCTTTGATTCCAGTCCCTGGTTGCTTTAGCAGAGTTATTGTAATAGGAAATCTTCCACCTGAACTTGGTTTGCTGGCAAACTCCTCTGGCCCTTAAGCCCCAGGGCAGGTACTAACATGGTTCCTCTCCCTCAGGCTCTGGCTTCAGACCTGCCCAGGTCTGATTCCTGGAAGACACTGCAAGGTTCAGAGCTGAGTGTGAAGTGTGGGACTGGCAGTGACATCGTGAGTGTCCTGGGGGTGACCAGATGACGTGAGAGCACTTCTCCAACCATTCCCATTTTGAGAGGCATTGGGGTGTCTTGGGGTGTGTTTAGGGGGGCTGGGTTTCTGTTTTCCATTATCGCAAGTTCTTTTTCCCTCACTGCCTTTAAGGGTGGCTATAAAATATCTGATACACCCTGGCACTCCAGGCCCTCGTGACAGGTGCAGGAAACCCCCTACGTGTTTATTTATTTTACTTCTTTCTGAGCCGTATAGGAGCTGGCCACATTATATCCTGTGGGAAGAAGAAATGTTTGAAGGGATTGTTGATCTCTCTTTCTCTGTCTTCCAGGGCGAGCTCTTTCTAAATGGACAAATGTGCAGGATCATACAGCGGGAGCTCCTGTTTGACCTGGGCGTGGCCTACGGCATCGACTGCCTGCTAACGGATCCCACCCTGGGTGGCCGATGTGACACCTTCACTGCCTTCAATGTCACGGTCAGTTCTACAATTACCAAAATGGCCAGAGACCAGCCCTGGTGGTCCAGCATGGGCTCCAAGGAAGGGCCATGATGAGACCAGGTCCCAAGACACCTGAGGGCCAATGGATGACATTCTTCAAACCCAGAATCAGCAAGCACCTGCTTAGACACTTGCAGGCCTAGAAATCCTTGGTTTGCTTCTCACCATCCTCCCGTTATTCCTTCATCACCAAGGAAACAGTGCGGGTACCAAATGTTAGCCCTTCTACTGTGCCATTCATTTTCAGACCCACCCATCCACTTACTCATTCAGCAAACATCTCTTTGAATTCCTGCCAGATTACATCATCTAGAACTGACATACTTGGCAATGAACAAAAACGGTTCAGCGTAATGTATAACATGTGCCCTGTACCCCTCCATTCATTTTCCCACTCACTCGGTCTGCAACACTGAATGAACCTGTGTCCTGGGCCCGCCACCACACAAGATATGACTGGCTTCTCTCACCCAGCCACTGCCACCGGATGAATGGCGGCTTTGAGCTGCTCTGCTCAGTGCCCATCTGACCCCACAGCAACCCAATCATGAGAGGCGTCCCCACCAGCTCCCGGTACACGGACTTGGAAACTGGGGTGAAGTGGCACCATAGCAGCGCTCGTCACTGCTCAGTGTCAGTGTCTGGCATCTCTTGAACAATTTAATAAGTACCCCACAGTTTTAGGGCTCCAGCCTAAATGAAGGTGAAGGAAGACTCTTTTCTGTTTTAGCGGGTGTAGCCTTATCTTCCAAAGTGTATCTGTGTACTGTTGTCTTCCCGCTAATCAAACACACTTTTGCCAAGTCCCCAGAGGTCAAATGGCAGCAAGTATTGTTCCTGAGCTATACCTTATAAAGAGTAAAGTTCAAAATGTGTCAGTGATCAGTCAAAGGTCACCTGCCCCGAACTCCCCGCTGATACAGTCTGCCCATGTCACACTGCCTGGGCCCAGCTCTGTACATCAGGGACTTCTTCCAAATGGGCATCCAAGACCTTCAGAATTCTCCAGGACAAAGTGAAGTGTGTGTGTGTCTGTATAATCCTGATCATAGCCATATCTTAATCAAGATGAAGGGGTGTGTGTGTGTGTGTGTGTGTGTGTGTGTGTGTGTGTGTGTGTGTGCAGTTGCCTGTAAAAACCAGAGGTCAGCCTTAGGTACCATTCCTCAGAAGCTGTCCACCTTGTTTTTGGAGACAAGGTCTCTCCCTGGAAACTAGGCTTCACTGATTGAGCTAAGCTGGCCAAGCAGCCATCAAGCCCCCACCTCCCCAGTGCCGGGTCGACAAGCATGCACCCCCATGCCTGGCTTTTTATGTCATTTCTGGGAATTGAACTCAGCTCCTCACGCTTGTGCGGCAAGCGCTTTACCCACTGAACCATCTCCCCAGCCCCAGGTGAAGTTCTTAATTAGCTCGTCCCGACATGAGCCAGGGGCACCTCCTCATGGTTGCCCGTGTTCTTGATACTGAAGTCTCTCGTCTTCCACACTAGGGGGACTGCGGGAGCTGTGTCACTACGCCCGGATGCCCGCCGTGGAGCAAACCAAAGGTGATGATGAATCCTGACATCTGGAGGTTTCATTTCATACAGGGACAGACTCACTCACTGGGGTGGTATGGCCATAGACTGTGTGTGGGATGTGCAGACCTCAGTCTTCCGGTGGGGGAGGGGTACCTGTGTAGGGGTCCGTCAGTGTGCTTCATATGTGTTCATATGCATGTTCTCAACCCGGGCAGCCTGTCAGTTTACTACCCATCTTTTAGGAACTATCTTGAAAATTTATGGAATTACAAATACCTAGAAGAGTAGAAAATTATTATAGTAATGAAAAATAGTGGATATTGTTGGCTGTTGTGTGCTGGGAGATGTATATATGATAAGAAAATGAGTTTCAGAGAAAGAGGGCAATCAGACCGAGGCCACACAGCTGGTATGAAGCAAAGCTGTAACTAAATATCAGAAAGCCATGTGGGGAAACAGCTAAGTCTTGAAGTCCGTGGGTACGGGGACAGACTCCAGTAGTCTTTGCCAAGTTACATGACCTGCCAGTGTTGTCTCTCTAGAACAAGTGAACTCACAACTCTCTGTGTGGTCACTAGGAAAACACCACTTTCAAGTGGAGGGCCATCTAAGTGGTTGGCACAGAGTAGGTGCTCATGAAGTACTGTTTGTATTCCTTATCTAGAGTCAAGAGCTGGGGCTGGGCTCGGTGGTAAAGCGTGAGCTTAGTCCTCAGAAGCACACACAATAGTCAAGGCCTTTCTACTTGTAAAGCGTCTACAAAGACAAACCCCCATGGTCGTGGAAAGGCTCAGCCAGTCAGGGCTTGCTTAAGAAGCTGAGGACCTGAGTTCAGTCCCCAGCACTCACGTAAAATGTCAGAAGTGTAAGCTGGTACCTGTAATCCCAACACTGGGAAATGGAGGCAGGAGGATCCCTAGGACTAACTGTACAGCCAGTAAATCAGTGAGATTTACTGATTTCTAGATTCAGTGAGAGACCCAGTCTCAAAACATAAGATGGAGAGCAATAAGGAGGAAACCCACATCAACCTCTTCCCTACATGCACACACACATACACCACATACATACACATACACACGTGTCCCTCACTCACACACACACACCACATACATACACATACACACGTGTCCCTCACACACACACATACACACACTCCACAAACACACACACACATATACACATACTACACACACACATACACACACATACACAGACACACTCATATACACACACCCCTCACACACACACACACACACACACACACACACACACACACACATATACACACACATGTCCCTCACATACACACAGGTACACACACACATATACACACACATACACCACATACATACACATACTCATATACACACACACCCTCACAGACACATAGACACACATACACACACATCCCTCACATACACACACATACACACATCCCTCACACACACACACACACACACACACACACACACACACGTCACACACACACAAATACACACACACACACACACACACACACACACACACACGTCCCTCACACACAAAGTGAATCTCACCCCTTCCTTGCTGAGGATATATATGATAGCAATCTGCCTCTCTCCACACCATCTCCAAGCAATCATTTCATTTGTAAACAGCTCCCAGGGTGAGAAATTCTGTTCAGGGCCCCAGTTCTGCCCCTCCCCCTTCACTCTCGCCTGCCCTGAAAATCTTCAACCTTGGTAGTGCCAAGACCCTCCACTGGGGGCGGGGGTGGGGTGCGCTGGAGCCCCAGCAGCCCAGCCCAGCGAGGAAGGTGGCAGCGACCAAAGACCAACTGCACAGCTCCTCTCTCCCTCTAGGGTGTGACGCAGAGCTGTCTCTACAACCCACTGCCGTTCAGGAGGAGCCTGGAAGGCTGCCAGCAGCTGTGCTCCCTGGTGATCCCGCTCCCCAGGTGCTGCAAAGGTTACTTCCTGCCACACTGTCAGGGTGAGGGCACCCCTTCTCCTTGCCGTTCTAAAGGGGTACGGGCAGGCTGTGCTTTTAAAAGTACCCAAGTTCTAATGAGGTGGGGAAACGCCACCCTCGTGATCCCCATGCCCCAACCCAGCTCTCTGAACAGCTGTGTGTCCGTCCCTCGTACTGTCTTCAGAGTTAGTTTTACTGAGATCCTACTGTGCATCTGCCTTCATGTTTAAAACCAGACTATAGCTGGGCCTGAGGGCACAGGCCTGTAATCCCAGCTAGTTAGGAGGCTGAAGCAGGGTGACCACAAGTCCAGGGCCGGGCTGACTTACAAAGTAAGTACGTGCAAGGACAGCCTGGGCAACTTACACCCTGTCTCAAAATAAAAAGAAGGCTTGGGAAACCGTTCCTTAGTAGAGCACATGGCCAGCATGTATAAGACTTCATTTCCAGGACTGCAGAAATAATAATAAATAATAGTAATAGTAATAAAATTAGAATAGGACATTTTCCCTGGTGATTTAAAATGCATGCCGTATTATTTATTGCTGATTTCTATGCAATGTCCATAATGTTGGGAAGTATGTCCGTATAAATACTTGGACATGATTCTTGAACAGTGATGACTGATAGGGTTTTGTGGGCCAAGTCTGCAGTTACAGGGTGTCTCTTTGTCAAAGGGAGTTTGATCTCAATTTGGAAACCTTGATATAACTTCTAGTGACTTCAGCAGCGATGCTTAACAAAGGCCTACAAGGCACGTCCCATCGGCTGGACTTTGCTCTAGGTAGGCACACTGTTGAAGGCTCACAAGAACCACATAACAACCCCGCCGCCAGCCCCTGTAATAGCTGGGAAATAGACACTTGGGAAAAGGAAGAAGTAAGCCCAAGGTCCCAGACTCCAGCCGCCATGATGTTCTTCCTGCCGCGTGTAGCCCACTCATGGTCTGTACGGTAGGCCACCCTACAAACTCTATGGGCACATGCTGGCCTGAGTCCAGTCACCAGCTCCCAGCCTCCGTCACTGAAACATGGAGCACCACTACTAAAAGACCATTAGAAACGGTTAGATTTGTTTATCTTTGCGGATTTGTAAGACACTCGCAGAGGTCAGAGCTGCGGCTCAGTGGGTAGAACTCTTACCTGGAGTGTACAAGGCCCTGGGTTTGATTCCCAGCGCAGCATTGGAGGTGTGGGGGCACACGCATCACCCCAGCACTCAGGAGGTGGAGGCAGGGGAACAAAAGTTCAGGTTCAAGGCCAGCTTGGGATGCATAAGACTTTGCCAAACAAATAAAAACCAGTATTCTCAGATTATGCCATCCGATCCTCTCAGTAATAATGTGGTACAGGTCAGGCTGGCAAGATGTCACTGTCATCGCCGTCACCACCATTGGGCGCTACAAATGGCTCAGAGCAGGTTCATGACTTGGCCCAGGCCTACTCAAAGCCAGGTCTCCTGACCAGCACTACAGCGTGCATTCCAGCCCATGGCCCTGCCAAGGCAGCATCAGATCAGACACGTGAGACTCAGTCCCAGGCGCCGGTGGCTGGCCGGGTAGGTGCCCTGACACCCAGGGCCGTGAGAAGATGCCAGAACTGACGGTGTTTACAGCCGTGCTGCCCTGCCCTGGTCTGGGAGTCTGTGTGGTCACTGCTGTTTCATTTTCTTCCAGCCTGCCCTGGAGGACCAGATACGCCATGTAATAACCGGGGTGTCTGCCGTGATATGTACTCGACCACAGGACAGTGCCAATGCAACACCGGATTCAATGGGACCGCCTGCGAGCTGTGCTGGCCAGGGAGATTTGGGCCTGACTGTCAGCGTATGTGGCTGCTTGCTTGTGTTAGCCTGTTTGTAGCTTATGCTCCCTGTCCTCATCCACGCCACCCACTTGACCCGGGAGGAGTCGCTCTCCATTTCTCTCATCTACCTGCTTGTATGCTTTCCCTCCTTGTACGTAGTCCTAGTATCCATCCCTTGAAAGAGCCTCGCGTCTGCAATCGAAACTGGCAGTCCCTAAAGCCACCAGTCCCTAAAGAACTTATGGCTGAGCCTCCCCCACTCACTGAGTCATTCTACACACATGGCGACTACAGGCGTTTCTCACGTGCCTATCATGCAGCATGCATGTACAGTTCTGCATTTAATCCTTAGCACAACCTTTGAGGTGGGAACTGATGTTGATGAAGAAACTAAGGTGGGAAGAGATGAGCGATGCACTTGGAATCGTCCTAAGATTCAGGGGAACAGAGGTTCGAGGGGTGTGCAGAGAAACAAAAAGAGTCATAAAAGCTGTGTAGGTGTCTAAGCAGGTAACAGACCTGAACAAAAGGACTCTCACACAGAGAACCGGAGCTCCTAGGACTGCTGGCAGACAGATCTGCCGGAGATGCTGTGTCTTCACTTAGGCACAGGGCCACTGAGCACTCAGAATCTGTGAGGAGGAACTGAAGTTTTCACTCTAGTTCGTTAACATTTAAGTGGCCTGTGTCACCAGGGGCCACTGTACTCACACAAATCAGTGACTTTCCTGGAGGAAAGCAAATGCAGAGGTCAAGTGGGCCTGACCTGCAAGGAAGAGCAGGAGTAGGTGAGGCAGGGGAAGGACAGAAGGCCATGAAGCCTGCAGGTCACCAGGAGCCAGAGCACACAGAATTTCTCTGGAAATTCTGGACCAGAGAAAATGACTCAGCATCTATTCTAAGTGTGCCGGGCAAGGCGGCCGGCGGTAGAACTGTTGTGAACAGATTGAAAGGACTGCTGTCACTGCCCTGTGGAGCACACACTGTAGGGGGCAAGTGCTGAGACAGGCCACCCTCCGGGGAGGCTGCAGCAGCCTTGGAGGCTGGGACTGATGGTGTTTGACGTGGGCCATACTGAAGTGGTAAGCAGAATTGGTGCGTGGTTTTCAATTTTCTTTTTAAATAGATTTCTCAAGAAAGAAGCCACCAATGAAGTTGTCACTCCCATTTGTTCTGTGACGTGCCCCATGGCACGCTACTTGTGTGACCACAGCGTTTGTGACATTTATTGTCACACATTCAGAAGCTATTTGGGCCTACAAAAACAGGGAGGGGCCTTATCGTGATTTTCCTATACTCCCATTGTGTAGTAGAGTCTGGCCTGTGGATAAGTTCTTTTTGGAATTTGGGGGGCCAATAGTGACTACGGTAGAAGACTCACCCTGACTATGCCCAGTAGCAGGCGGCCAGTAAGAGAGGCTGACCAGACATCAGCTACGGGTCACTAACCACTGGGCACTCTGATTTCTCTTCCAGCCTGTGGCTGCTCAGAGCATGGACGGTGTGACGAGGGAATCACAGGCTCTGGGCAGTGCTTCTGTGAAGCAGGGTGGACAGGCCGCTTCTGCGACACTCTCACAGGTCTGTTGGGGGAGTGGCCAGCCACTGGCCGTCCTTGGCTGCAGGGGACCCTAGTGAGGGAGTGCAAGTGAGGTTGGAATCTGAGTGGTAGCTGAGAAAGTGCCAGCGTGGGTGTTCCCACTTCACCTGTAAGCAGTGGTTTGTACTGTGGCCTGGACCTCGGGAGGTTGGTGGGTCAGAAGAAAACCTGGTGAAAGGATTTTACTCAAACCTAAAAGCCATACAGTGAGAATGCCTCGCTATGGTGGCACTCAGGCCCAGATGCGTGGTGCCAGAAATCAAGTGGTGTCAGGACAGCTTGGTCTTTGGAGTCCTGAGAGCAGGACATGGTCCCTGGTCCACTACTTCCTGCGTGAATGGCCTTGGCCAGCCCACCCTCACCTTGCTCATACGTACTGCACACTGTGCAGGGGACGGGTTGCTGGGGTTACTCTTACGTTCCTGGTGTTTATCTGCCATATCAAACGCTGTCACTTCCATTATTATTGTGGTTACCATCACCATCATAATCTTGATCCATGCTTTTTGTTTTCAGAAACCCAAGTCTCTATGGTCTAAAAGGCCTAAGATGTGAAGGCCAAATTGTTCTGCCTAAATTAATGACATTTCCTCGTCCCCAGAGTTAGAAGGGCATCACTAGACTCTTACATGGGTTCCAACAGAATGGCTGACCTTGCTTCCATCCCTGCCTACCCACCTAAACCCCCCTCAGCTTCAGGCTGCCGTGCACACCACAGTCCCATCCAATCACCAACGTTCCAGACTTCTCCCCAGCTCAGCAGTGCCCCTGGAAGACAGTGAAATTTCTCTTCCAATTTACCCACCTCCACCTGGTAGCCCATGTTCTTAGGGCAGAAGAGTCTGTTGGCCAGGTTCCTCCCTGCTTGCACATTTGGAGGCAACCTCTGCATTATAATCTGAACTGCTTAGCAGATGTATCTCAGAATCTCCAAGGTGGGAGGGTCTTCCACTAATCACCCCCCTCTCCCTGCCATTTATGACATCTGAAGAGTCGTGGGAAACTGCGTGGGTGAGGCTGACTGCAGCAGGGGGCACAGGGTGAAGGGCCGCCTCTCTCTCTCTGCAGTTGTGTTTCCGGTGTGCATCCCTCCTTGTTCTGTGCATGCCACGTGTACAGAGAACAACACGTGTGTGTGTAACTTGAATTACGAGGGTGATGGGATCAAGTGCAGTGGTGAGTCCTCTTCGCATCCTCGGGGAGCAGCGGCGGGCACTGGAGGGGGGCGGCGGTGGGCACCGGAGGGGGGCGGGGTGGGCACCGGAGGGGGCAGGGTGGGGTCACTGGCTGGGCTCCACTCTTCTGCTTTCTGCTTGTGCCTCCGCAACAGTGCCTGTCCTCTTTAGGACTCAGTCTCATCAGTAGTTTGCTCACAGTTGCCCTGCCTACCCAAGCCTCCCAAGCCATGGTTTTAAATTTTTAAATTGCTTTGCAAAGCAAGGTGTCCTGTTTTTTATAGTGTTTTTCTAATTCAACAAGTAGTCAGTCTTGCTTCAAAAATTCCGAAGCATTAAGATGAAAAAGTTAAGACTAAAGACATCACATATCCTCTGGCACCCCCTGCCCCAGCAGTGAGCATGAACCCAGAGCCTTTCAAATGCAAGGCACGCACTCTGCCACTGAGTCCCACCCAGCATCCACACGGCCAGTCCACAGGGGCTTAGATGTGTGCTTGGCACACAGAGTCTCAGGTGAAGTAAGCAAATGTTCATTCTGTCTTGTCTGACAGTTCGGAGGGAGCGTCAGAGCTAGCACACTAGACTGTAGGTGGAGAAGGGAGAAGGAGGAGGCAGAGCTCCATCCCAAAAGCTGCTAAAAATCAGTTCTTCTCCCATCCAGTTGGCTGGTGCTCATCATCTGTCATACCTAGCTGCAGGAGAGCTGGGAAGTGCCACCATCTTGTTAGACAAGCCATAACACACTCCACCCACAACTCTGTTTACCACAGGAGAAAGAAGGGGGGTGGTGAGCAGTCTCAGGCACTTGTCTTTTCTGAAGTTTTCTATGAGTAAAGACTCCCACAGAGAAATATGCTTCATAAACAACAGATCTTGCCACGCCTGCCCTTTTGTAGCCTCCTACAAGGCATTCCAGAAGGGTCCACACTCAACAATGGTAGCAAAGGCCCAGCTCCCTCACTTTACCCTGCGGTCCGAGGGGAGGCTCTTGCACCTCAGGTTCATGTCTCAGAGTCTCAAGTGACTCCAGTGACTCTGAGCGTAAGTGCAAGCAAAAGAAATACAACAGCTTCCCAGCTCCCAGCTCCAGATAGACGAATACTGGGCTGAAATCTGGCAGTTGTGCAAACAAAGGCCCTAAAAGCAAACCCAACACAGTGAGGCCATGCAGCTGAAGTTTTCCTGTGTCCAGGCCTGCCGGCAGTCGGGACAAATCTCTCCCACTAGTGTCCCCCAAGTAAACACACAGAGGCTTATATTAATTAAAACTGTATGGCCTAATGGCTCAGGCTTCTTACTAGCTAGATCTTGCATCTTAAATTAACCCATTTTTATAACTCTATACCTTGCCACATGGCTTTACATCTTGCTTCTCCTGGCAGCGGCTGGCAGCGTCTCCTGACTCAGCCTTCCTGTTGCCAGAATCTCTTTGTCCCACCTATACTTCCTGCCTGGCTACGGGCCAATCAGCACTTCATTTATTAACCAATCAGAACAACACATTCGCAGCATACAGAGCGATATCCACAGCAAGGCCACACCAACCTAGGTTCAGGTCCCAGCTCTGCACACTCTACCTGCTTTACCTGGTCAGGCAAGCAAGCTCTCTGAAGGGTTGGAGAGTCTGTCTCACAAGGTGTCCGTTACTGTACTAACCTTGTACCTACACACACACACACACACACACACACACACACACACACACACACACACACACACACACAGTTCTAGTTTGCCTTTCTATTGCTGCTATAAAACTCTGACCAAAGACACCTTAGGTAGGAAAGAGATTCTTTGGCTTACATTTTGAGGCCACAATCTATCACTGAAGGAAATCTGTAGTTGGTCGTTTTTACTCCTTACTCTTTGTTCTTCTGGGTGACCTGCCACCCAGCTCCCAAATAAATCACATAGAGGCTTATTCTTTCCTATGATGCCTGGCCTTAGCTTGGCTTATTTCTTGCCAGCTTTTCTTAAATTATCCTGTCTATCTTTTGCCTCTGGGCTTTTACCTTTCTCTATTTCTGTATATCTTTTCTTTCCTTCTTATTTCTTGTCTGGCTGTGTGGCTGTGTGGCTTGCCCCTTATTTTCTCACTCCTTGAACTTTCTTCCCAGATTTCTTCTCCTATTTATCCTCTCTGCCTGCCAGCCCCACCTATCCTTTCTCCTGCCTCACTATTGACCATTCAGCTCTTTATTAGACCATCGGGTATTTTAGACAGGCACAGTAACACAGCTTCACAGAGTTAAACAAATGCAACATAAAAGAATGCAACACATCTTTGCATCATTAAAACAAATGTTCCACAGCATGAACAAATGTAACACATCTAAAATAATATTCCACAACAGAAATTAGCAGTGGAACTCCAGTGGCACTGAAGCAGAACCATGGAGGAGTGTTTGTTATCTCACTCACTGGCTTTGCTCAACCAGCTTTCTCATCCAGCCCAGACCCACCCACCTACCTAGGGATGGAGCCACCCATAGTGGGCTAGGGTGGGTCTACTATATTCATCAGCAATCAAGACAGTCTCTCACAGACATGGTCATGGGTCAGTCAGATCTGGATCTGAACAATCACTCAACTGAGACTCCCTCACATGAGTCTAGGCTGTGTCAAGTTAACCAGAAACACACACACGAGGGTGGGGGAGAGAGAGAGAGAGAGAGGGAGGGAGGGAGGGAGGGAGGGAGGGAGAGAACACTAACATCAAAACCCCCAATTTATTCTGAAAATTATTTTCAAAGCTGTCCTGTGAGTGTGTGACAAGTCTGTCAGGGTGTCACAAGAACATGAATCATATACAAGCTAGCAGAGAGCTCACAGACCAGGGAGACCAGAGACATGGACATATGAGGACTTGTTCACCTCCTTGCCGTTCACGGTCAAGGCTGACTGACCCCAGACAGTGGTACATGAAGCCCTCTACTCTTTCTCCTGCAGTTGTGGATTTCTGCAAACAGAACAATGGGGGCTGTGCAAAGGCCGCCAAGTGCTCCCAGAAGGGCACGCAAGTCTCCTGCAGCTGCCAGAAGGGCTACCAGGGGGACGGCCAGAGCTGCACAGAGATAGACCCCTGTGCGGATGGTGTCAACGGTGGGTGTCATGAGCATGCCACCTGCAGGATGACTGGCCCAGTAAGTCCCACTTCCCCGGAGACATTTGGGATTGCAGCTCTTTGGGCCCAGTTCAGCCTGGTGTCCTCGTCCCTGGCCTCTGCTACACTATCTTCCCACCTTCATCTGCTTCTAGTAAAAGTCAGTGTTGATGCGATTTCGTATCCTCAGCGGAAAAGGACATTAGAGTCGAATTCAGTGAAATCCACGTAAGTTCTGTTGTTCAGTTAATAGGACTACACCAGGGTCAGTCTGTAGCCTCCCTACAGCTAGAGGAGATGCTCACATTAAGGGAAGCTGATAGGCTATAGAGTGGTGGTTCTCAGCCTATGGATCATGATTCCTTTGGGGAGTCACATATCAGATCTCCTTCATATCAAATATTTACAATTCATAACAGCATCAAAATTACAGTTATAAGTAGCAACAAAATAATTTTATGATTTGGGGTGACCACAACATGAGGGACTCTGTTATAACAAAGGGTCTCAGCGTTAGGAAGGTTGAGAACTGCTGCCATAGAGGTCTTTCTATGCCGCCTCTGCAACTTTCCCATAAGTCTGCCCTGACTCCAGATCTAAAGTTCATTAAAACAGAAAACTGATAAGAAATGCCGTAAAGGTGACACTTGCTTGAGTCTTTCAGGAACTGAGTCAGGGCCCCATTTCTCTGTTGGGAAGAGCAGCTGGTGGGACCCGATGCCCATGACCAGTTACAAACAGAGATTCAGAGTCAGGCCGCCTCTGAGACTCAGCTCTGAGCATCTACGTTGTGTGGCTAGAGAGTGGCCCCTCAGTGTCTCCGATTCCTCACGGGGAGTGGGCCTGATAACAGAGACATCGCAGGGTTTGTAAGACTGGATGAGGTCACTCTCTGGTTGGACCAGTGGCCACACGCAACAACAGTGAACTGTGGCAGGTGCCAGGGATATGGGGGGAAAAGACAGACTGTCTCCCTGCATTCCAGGAGCGTGTGCACAAGTCGAGAAAAGGGGTGGCACTTAATACCAGTCACAACCCTGGCACAGAGTGGGAAAGGCCACGGGCAGAGATGGGGCCCGTGTGCTGGAAGAGCGGTCAAGAGCTGCTTCCCGCACGGTGCTTTGGAGGGAGGGGCTCTCTGAGAAAGCAGCATGATGCTGAGAAGGATGGCAGCCTTTGGTCATGAGCCTGCACGGAACAAAACAACAGTCATTCTACTTGCGCAGGGCAGCACATCGGTCTTTCTGAACTGCTTCTGTGCTGGATGGGTGCCTCTGGCACGTGGAACCCTGGGGGCTTTTTCACCTTTCTCCGCCCTCTCTCCTCAGGGCAAGCACAAGTGTGAATGTAAGAGTCACTATGTGGGGGACGGACTGGACTGTGAGCCCAAACAGCTACCCCTGGACCGCTGCTTACAGGACAATGGACAGTGCCACCCAGATGCCAACTGTATGGACCTTCACTTCCAGGGTCAGTGTGGCTGGGGCCCTGGCCCAGCGCACCTTTCTCTTCAGGCTTGGGTGAGGGGGGTGTGCAGGGGGAAAAAAGAAAAATAAAACAGAAACTAAAGAATCCATACATTATCCCAAACCACTGAGGCAGGAGAGTCAACTCACCATGGACCTCGAAGGCTAGACCTGGGAGGGGCTCAAAGGACCTTCCCAGAGTTTTCCTCCTTTCCCATGTTGCTTAGCGCCTCACAGCCATTGGCTGGAATCGAATCTGGAAGATCAGCTTAGAGTGGTCAGTAACAAAGGAGAGCAGCCATGTCTTCACAGCTCTTGGCTTCTCACACAGTGGCTGGCGTATACCACATGCATGCATGTCTGAGGATGGTCCGAACGGTGTATAATACACAGGTTATTAAACCCGCAGTAGAAAGTAGAAAAGCCACAGTGCAGAGGCCCAGAGGGTGGGGCATGTTGAAACCCTACAGGAAAATCACAAAGAGCCCAGTTCAGAGCCAGGCAGAGAAGAACTTCAGTGATTTCAGAAGTGACCCAAGTTACTGTGCACTGTGTCCTTCGGTATTGACTGGAGATCCCTGCATGTTTGGCTCTCATTTACAGCAAGGTCAACTTAGAGAGTTTTTGTTGTTATGGTTTTTTTTTCATATCTCAATAGCAACTATTGATTTACTACTTGTCCTACACCAAACCCTGGGGCATGCCTCAAATCCCTCCCAGAACAAGACGAAGGAAGTGTAAGCAGAGAAAATGCAGTGACATGGAAGATGTAGACATTGCTGCAGGAAGAGAGCCAGTGTAGTGGGGACTTAAGAGGGTGAGGGGAACCGTAGTAAAACAGAAGACACACCTCTGCCCTGTGTTCCTGCAGCTACAATAAAAGAGCCAGACTGGGGAGGAAAGTTGAAAGTAGGGGCTCAGAAGTCCTGGTGTCTGCATGCCCACATCCACAGCAGCAGTGCGCAGAACAGCTCGAAGGCAGAAGCAGCAAGGGCTTCTGTGGGTAGATAAAGAAATGCAGCACACCCATGCAACGGGGCAGCGTTCAGCCGGAAAGCATCAGAAATCCCGATAGATGCTGCAGCGTGGACTGTCTAGCCTTGGCATATGGCATTAATGACCTAAGCTGGACACAAAAAGGCAGCCATTCTATGAGTCAGCCATCTGAGAAAGCTAAAACAGGTAGACTCAAGGGGAGAAAGAACAGAAGAGGGACTCCCACAGGACAGGAGGGGGAGTGGGAAGTGACTGTTGAGTGGGAGAGACCTGGTTGGAATTACGGAAATGTAAAAGTTGTAAGAAATTATCAAAACAGCCAATTTTATGTTATAAAATTGTATCACAATGAATCTTCTTTTAAAAACAGAGCAGTGGGTACGATAATACACGCCTTTCATCCCAGCACACAGGAGGCAGAGGTAGATAGATTTCTGTGAGTTCGAGGTCAGCCAGTTCTGTGTAGAAACTTCCAGGCCAGGCAGGACTACATAATGAGACTCTGTCTCAAAAAAACAAACAAACAAACAAAAAAAACCAAAAAGCAACAACAACAAAAACAAAAATAAACACTTTTTTTTTTTCCAATAGAGCAGTCTATCTAGGTGAGATGAGAGATATTTTCCAGGGATGTCCAGTAGTGGCCTGGGCCTACAGTGGAAACCCAACAAATGCCTGCATTGGTCAAACCCAGAGAACATGGGGGAGGCAGTGTGCTTAGAGAAAAAATGGACAATGAAAGGATTATTCTAGGTTAGGGAGATGGCTGAGGGAGTCACCACTGGTCCATGTGTGTGCAGTCCCTATAGAGGCCAGAAGAGGGCGTTCGATCCCTGGGCCTGGAGTCACAAACAGTTGTGAGCTGTTGTGTGGGCACTGCTCTGAAAGAGTGGCCAGTGCTCTCAACTGCTAAGCCGTCTCCCCAGCCCTCTTTACATAATTAGAAAGGATAAATGTTTCAACTGACATGTTCCAACATAACTTGAAGGGGAGTGGCCTCCCGGCGTACCCTGGGCTTCAGTTGGGAGAAGCAGCTTCCCAGAGCATCCTGGGCTACAGAGGGCCTCTACCTTGAAGTCCTTCTAAATCTTTCGCTTCAATCCCAAGTGGGCTGACCACGTAATTTCCGTCCTCTTCTAGACACGACTGTTGGGGTTTTCCATCTGCGCTCCCCCCTGGGCCAGTACAAACTCACCTTTGACAAAGCCAAAGAGGCCTGTGCCAACGAGGCTGCATCCATGGCCACCTACAAGCAGCTCTCCTACGCCCAGAAGGTGGGTTCCCAGTTAAGCAGATACTTTAGGCAGAGCCTGAGGGAGGGTGTGCAGGCAGCCTCCTGGGAAGCTGGAGAAAGCTCAGGTGGCTGGCTTCAAGCCCGCGCAGGAGACTCCTGCAGCAATGGTGCATGTCCAAGGCAGGCATCCACCGTGTGTCCAGTGCTGTGCAGGGTGTCGTGTTGGCATCCTGACCACGACCCTGGAGGTAGGTGTCCTTCCGTGTTACACGTAGGGAAACAGGCTCAGAAGGGTTAACTATAGTATCCAATGTCACCCAGAGGTGGTACATCCAGAAGGCAGAGGGAAGTGCTAACATCGCAGCTGGATGCCAGTAAGGCTAGGAACCACAGCCTAGGCAGGGTCTCCTTGAACCCAGAAACAGCCAGGGTCCTAGGGAACTGGTAAAAGAAGTGTGGGAACCGTAGGCTCCACCCCAGCAAGGAGGAATGGCGCTCTCTGGTCAGGCTGCTCTCAGCCTCTAGCACCAAGATGCTGCCTGCTGGTGATTCTCACAAGCAACAGGGGGAGGAAGAGCCCAGGGATCTGATTTTAGGAACTTCCTCCAACCTCCAACACAACCAGAGCATGCTACCTTTGTCCAGACCTTCCCAAGGATCAAAGCCCTTGATGCCAGGATCGGACTTCTGGCGGGTCTGAATCTTTTTGTTGTGACCAAACCACTGAAGCCTGTAGTCCTGGTGTGTCTGTACAGGAGTAACGGTAGTGCGTGTGTGTGTGTGTGTGTGTGTGTGTGTGTGTGTGTGTGTGTGTATGTGTGTGTGTGTGTACAGGACTATGGTAGTGTATGTCTGTACAGGACTATAGTAGTGTGTGTCTGTACAAGACTATGATAGTGTGTGTATCTGTATAGGACTATGGTAGTATGTATCTGTACAGGACTAAGGTAATGTGTGTATCTATACAGGACTATGGTAGTATGTGTGTGTACAGGACTGTGGTAGTATGTGTGTGTACAGGACTGTGGTAGTATGTGTGTGTACAGGACTATGGTAGTATGTGTGTGTACAGGACTGTGGTAGTATGTGTGTATACAGGACTATGGTAGTATGTATCTGTACAGGACTAAGGTAATGTGTGTATCTGTACAGGACTATGGTAGTATGTGTGTGTACAGGACTGTGGTCATGTAGAGTGCAGAAGGAACTCAACTTGGATTATTGAGAGACTTGGGATAAACTGAGTATGTCTGAATCTTCTAGGTACTGGCTGTATGACTTTGAGCAATTTATTTTGTTTTGCCTCAATCTTTTTTAAAATAATTTTTTGAGAATTTCATACATAAGTACCATGTTTACATCATTTCCACCCCTTTCTCCACGACACCACCTCTTCCATGTCCCCACCCTCCTCAAATTTATGAACTCCTCTTTAATTTAATACACACATGCACACACACACATCCTGCTGAGCCCATTGAGTATTGCTCATATGTGTATTTGTTTAGGGCTGACCACACGGGACTGGGAAACTTATCAGCGATCTTATCCCTGGAGAAAACTGATTCTTCCTCTCTCAGAACACTTAGCTATCTCTCAGCAGATGTCCTGGTCCTCTGGCTCTTCAGTCTTTCTGCCCCCTCCTCCCTAAGTCTGAGGTATAGGAGTTGTGTTGTAGATATATTAGCTGGTATTGTCTGCATTTTCGTCCATTGTAGATCTCTGTACGGGTCCCATCTGCTGTAAAAGAAGTTTCTTTAATGAGGAGTGAGAGCTATACTTATCTATGAGTATAACGATAAGTATTTAGAATGTAGTTAGAAATTATACTGGCTTAGAAAAGGGCTGTAGTAGTATACATGACGTCCGTCAGCAGCCACAGGTAGCTGGCGAGGTTTACAGCACCAGTCAGTGAATCCCCTCCTACTAAGCAGGCCTTAAGTCCAACTGGACAGCTGCTGGTCACCTCCAAGATGAAAGTGTCCTCATCGCTCCTTTGGGAGTGTTGTGCCGTGCTGTTTCAGTTTGAAAGCTTTATAGCTGGGTAGGACTACTAATTGCTTCTCTCCCTTGGCACCTGGCGTAGCACCTTCCGATACTGTAGGTTCCAGCTTGGTGCTTCCAAGTCCTGTGTCCAAAGTGTATGGTGTCTTCAGCAGTAGGGTCTCACCTGCAGGTTCTGGGAGACCACCAAGAGCAATGGCAAAAGCCTATATTGTTTGGGAATATCTAAGTCTTCTGGACTCCATTGCTCATCAGCTGGAGAAGGGTTTCTCCATGCCTGGCATTGGGGGTTTTGTTAGGTGATCTACGGTTCTTGGGGCAAAAACCATCACCCAGTGCCTCAGGCATCATAACCATCTGATAAGGATTTTATTACAGCCACACAGGGTGATGATGGTAATGATGAATTAGAATTAGAATTCCGTCATCGGTTAGAGTTTTGTTCATTCGTAAGCAGAAGAATTTGCCCTGGGGTAAATGGCTGGTGGTGAATTCCTTCTCAAGAGAAAAGTGAGCGTGAAAGGCCTGGACACCTAGAGAAAGAAAGAGCATCATGGTCATTCATCCAGTGGCCTGATGGACAAAGTTTAGTGACCTACTATATTCCAGACACGGGAGTACAACAGGCTCCTTAGATTAGAAGTCTGGGTAGGGATCAGAATTACCGAAATGATTCCACAGCCAACAAGACAGTATAACTAACCCAGTCATTGCCCTGTCTCTGCAGGCCAACTATCACCTCTGCTCAGCTGGCTGGCTGGAGGGTGGCCGGGTTGCCTACCCCACGACCTATGCCTCTCGGAAGTGTGGTTCAAACGTTGTTGGGATAGTGGACTATGGAATCAGGCCCAACAAGAGTGAAATGTGGGATGTCTTCTGTTACCGGATGAAAGGTCATTGTCCCATCTACTACAGGCTCCAGGCCAGACCGCCCTGAGCATCTCTGCCTGGCCAGCCAATCCCCAAGAGGGAGCAGGGTGGCTCAGGCCTCACCTCACTGGGCGTGGCCCCTGTGCCTCTCCTTTCCAGATGTGAACTGCACCTGCAAGGCAGGCTATGTGGGAGATGGCTTCTTGTGCAGTGGGAACCTGCTTCAAGTCCTCATGTCCTTATCCTCGCTCAGGAACTTCCTGGCGGTATGTATCCTGTCTGTTTGGCTCTGCTCCAGCAGGAGGCTTGCCTGCAAGCAGCTAATGAAGAAGTGAGGTTTTGAAGGAAACCAGAGGCTCACAGCTGAGGTTGAAAGCATAGACCCTCATGAGAGGAGGCTCCGTGAGCATCGCAGCCTCGCGGGGGTGGTTGTGATCTTTAAAGGACTTGATATTTTGACACTGTAAGCACATGGAAACTTACACAGGTATTGCCTGTGTTTGCATCTAAAACAGTTTAAGAAACTGATCAAACAAACAAAAAAATAGCATGACTATTTCTTAAATCATGGGCACATTATATCAGAAGCAGACACATTTTTGTCTTTCCACAGCATTAAAATTCATTAATTAACAGTAAATTCACAAGCTGTGTACTTTCATTGGTTGTCATTTACCATGTAATCCTCTATGCCCTTGATAATATGGCCACTGGCAAGCGTGGGTTCTTTTATTCCACTATCGATTACTAGTACTAACTCTTGGACCACCCATTATACTTCATACAGTAATATACACACTTACATAGGTAACAGAAGGGCTACAGAAGGGTTAAAGAGGCGTCATGGAAGGCAGAGGACTGACTCAGTGCCCAGTCACTCCAAGTGGTTCGATATTCAGAGAACCCAGTGACAGAGGCTGGAGCATAGCCTGGGGGCTCAAGGCAGGTGAGGCTCAGGGGTGGGCACATCTGGCTGAACTGCAACTGAATGGGCCTCGGCAAGCAGCAGTGACTATGCTGAGCTGATGTTCTCTGCCCATCAATCATGAGATGTCCGCATCAGATGGCTGGGAGACAGATCAGTGAGGACCGGTGTTAGGTGTCCCACCTTTTATGGGTGAGAAGGTTGCGTCTTCATATGTCTAGGATGTAGAATAATTGGTTTTTTTTTTAAACATTTTTAAAGGTTTATTTATATTTAATGTGCACTGGGAATTGAACCTGGGTCCTCTGGAAGAGTGGCCAGTGCTCTTAACCACTGAGCCATCTCTCCAGCCCTAGAATAATTGTTTATCCGCCCATGCTCCGTGGCTCCTGCTAGGCAGACACAGTGTCTTTGTGCGTCCATGAGATGCAACCCCAGCTGCTGCTCTGTAAGATGCTATCTTGTGGCAGAACAGGGCATCTTGGGAGGATACAGTGAAAAAGGAAAAGTCATCCTCATACTCCCCCAAAGGCCAGTGAGAGGAAGCACAAGGGAAGCCAGCCTGTAGCCCAGCATGAGGGTATTCTCAGAGACACTCTGCGCCCCCCAGCTCCTCCAGCCAGCCCAACCCCCACACCATGGTGGCCCATCTGACCACTTCCTTCTTCTCCCCAGGAGGTGCTGGCTTATTCCAGAAGCTCAGCCCAAGGCCGGGCGTTTCTGAAACACTTGACTGACCTGTCCATCCGTGGTACCCTGTTCGTGCCACAGAACAGTAGGCTGCTGGGAAATAAGGTGAGTGGAGTTCCTGGTACCTGCACCTTTAGACAAGAATGTGTATCTGTCACCACCTCAACACTCCACACCACGTGACAGTGCATGCCTGTCGTTTACTTGGGAAGTAAAGGTCCAGGACCTTGTCAGAGCAAACAAACAACAGTCCCTACCCCAGATACAGAGGGGTACTGTTCCCCCTCAGCACACACAGATGACGATGACGAGCAGCTGCCACTTCCGGTCCCGGCTGGCCTGTTGATGACTCTGCCCCGCAGGGTTCTCACGACCAAAGAGACGAACCCAGTCATGGCCCGGAGCAGCAGTGCTGAGTTCAAACCTGCTGTTTAGTCACAAGGCGAGCCCAAAGTCAGGGAAGGAATAAGGGGCCAGAGGCAAGAATCCCCGGGGGGAGAAGAATCAGGGACCCTGGTGCAGTGAGTCCACACACCAACCTTCCTCATGATGTGGTCTAAAGAGGAGGAGTGGACTCGTTCAACCCCCCACCCCACAGAGGCTGAGCAGCAGGCTGTGAGCCCCGGGCACTACCCAGTCACACACCTCTGCCTGCCTGGTACTCGCTCCAAGTGCTCTGGACCCCTCAGGGAAACCAGCTTTAGAGACTGAAGATGACTTTGCATGTGCCAGTTACATGTGACCCTTAGGAAGGACCCCAAACCAAACGCCTAAGGAAAACCTGTTATTTCCAGCTGTTGCTCAGACTATTCATCTGCTTTTTTCCCCTAGAGCCTGTCTGGGCGGGACATCGAGCACCACCTCACTAATGTCAGCGTCTCTTTTTACGATGACCTTGTCAACGGTACCATTCTGAGGACCCGGCTGGGGAGCCAGCTGCTCATCACCTCCAGCCAGGACCAGCTCCGCCAGGTAGGCAAAGCTTTCTGGGCTTATTGAGAGAGCTAGAGAAAATACATGCAAAGCTCCTAGCCTGCAGTAGACACTCGGTAGATGCCAACTATTATAACATGAGAGTCATCTTTAAATCCACAGATGGGGTTGGTATGAAAGCAAACTGTGCCTATGATATTACATACCAACAAGCCACCCCAGAACCTTGGCAGTAGAGTGGCCTCAGGAGCTGGCTTAATGAGGACTGAGAAGTGAAACTCTTTTTCGTTTTGTTTTTGTTTTTGTTTGGTTTTTGGTTTTTCGAGACAGAGTTTCTCTGCATAGCCCTGGCTGACCTGGAACTCACTCTGTAGACCATGCGAGCCTCAGACTCAGAGATCTGCCTGCCTCTGCCTCCAGAGCGCTGGGATTAAAGGCCTGCACCACCACCGCCTGGCCAGAGAAATGAAACTGTTTTGAAGATACTTCGTTTCTGTCCATTTGTTAGTCTGTCTCAGGCATTAATGTGTGAGCTTCCAAGTCAGATGACCTTGGGATGACTTAGGCTGCCCAACTCTTTGAGCTCTTTCCTCACCGGATATGTAGGGATGAGGATGACAGTGTGGTGGTGGTGGTGGTAGTGGTTATGATGGTGGTGGTAGTGGTGATGATGGTGGTGGTGGTAGTTATGATGGTAGTTATGATGGTGGTGGTGGTGGTGGTAGTCATGGTAGTTATGGTGGTGGTAGTTATGATGGTGGTGGTGGTAGTTATGATGGTGGTGGTGGTAGTTATGATGGTGGTGATGGTGGTGGTGGTGGTGGTGGTGGTGGTGGTGGTAGTTATGATGGTGGTGGTGGTAGTTGTGGTGGTGGTGGTGGTAGTTATGATGTTGGTGATGGTGCTTATGATGGTGGTGATGGTGGTGGTGGTGGTGGTGGTGGTGGTAGTTATGATGGTGGTGGTGGTAGTTGTGGTGGTGGTGGTGGTAGTTATGATGTTGGTGATGGTGCTTATGATGGTGGTGGTGGTGGTAGTGGTGGTGATGGTGGTGGTGGTGGTGGTGGTGGTGGTGGTGGTGGTGGTAGTTATGATGGTGGTGATGGTGGTTATGATGGTGGTGGTGGTGGTTATGATGGTGGTGGTGGTAGTTATGATGGTGGTGGTGGTAGTTATGATGGTGGTGGTGGTAGTTATGATGGTGGTGGTGGTAGTTATGATGGTGGTGGTGGTGGTTATGATGGTGGTGGTGATGGTTATGATGGTGGTGGTGATGGTGGTGGTGGTGGTTATGATGGTGGTGGTGATGGTTATGATGGTGGTGGTGGTGGTGGTGGTGGTGGTGGTAGTTATGATGGTGGTGATGGTGGTTATGGTAGTGGTAGTGGTGGTGGTGGTGATGGTGGTGGTGGTGGTGGTTATGATGGTGGTGGTGATGGTGGTAGTTATGATGGTGGTGATGGTGGTGGTGGTGGTGGTGGTGGTGGTAGTTATGATGGTGGTGATGGTGGTTATGGTGGTGGTAGTGGTGGTGGTGGTGATGGTGGTGGTGGTGGTGGTTATGATGGTGGTGGTGGTGGTTATGATGATGGTGGTGGTAGTTATGATAATGGTGGTGGTGATGGTGGTGGTGGTGGTTATGATGATGGTGGTGGTAGTTATGATGATGGTGGTGGTGATGGTGGTGGTGGTGGTTATGATGATGGTGGTGGTGGTGGTGGTGGTAGTTATGATGGTGGTGGTGGTGGTTATCATGGTGGTGGTGGTGGTGGTGGTGGTGGTGGTGGTGGTGGTGGTTATGATGGTGGTGGTGGTAGTTATGATGGTGGTGGTGATGGTGGTGGTGGTGGTGGTGGTTGGTAGTTATGTTGGTGGTGGTGGTGGTGGTGGTGGTGGTGGTAGTGGTGGTGGTGGTCGTGGTCATGGTCATGGTGGCAACATTGATGACCACAGCGTCTGTGAACTGTCAGGGGTTCAGTGATTCAGAGTTTCTGATGTGTAGAGACTAGCGTCTGGCATGCTGGGCCCTAAGTGGCAGTGCCTGACACCCATGCACATCCGAGCCACCTGCATCTGTCAGAATGCGACTCTAACTCTGCAGGTGGGACGTGGTGCCTCAATTCCACCTACACCACAAGCCAGAGCTCATATCAGATTGACACAGAAAACCCTCCCCTAGAGGTGTGAGGTGTGGTGTGAGCCAGAGCCTGAGCCTTGGGGTTTACCACTTGCTGGAGTGATGGAGTGATCGTGGACAGGCCATTTCCTTCTGATAGCTCGTCTGTCACACAAAGGTCTCTGCAGCCCCCAGAGCAGCTTGTCTGGTGGCGTGAAGTCAACGGGTGTTTGACAGCACACAGGGAGGCCAGGCTGCAGCCTCAGCCCTGGGTCCTCCGAGAAGCCAAGTGGGAAACCGCCTCTGTGGGGGAAGGGGAAGAGGTCACAGGTCTCACGCACCCTCTCCTCCTTTCCCTAGGAGACCAGGTTTGTGGATGGAAGAGCCATTGTGCAGTGGGACATCATCGCCTCCAACGGGCTCATTCATGTCATTTCTGAGCCTTTGAAAGCGCCTCCCATGCCAGCGGTGAGTATTCCAGTTCCTGGCAAGGAGCCAGGAAGCTCCAGCGTCAAATGTGCATTTCCCAATGTGCGTGCCCACCAGCTTCCAATCCCACTCATCTGTTGATCGAAAGGGAACAATGAGTCAGTATAGATTACCTAGGGTCCTGAGATTTCTCTACGTTCGGTGTGGAATATCTGAGGCAAAAATTCTACGTACACTGTGCTCTTATGTCTGTTAACTTTATTCCTCTAAGATAAAATTCTGTCTATACAGCTATAGCTCTGTCATGCATTCAGGGCAGGAATAAATGTAGATACACCAAGTGTTGGTTATATGGCACGCTGGTCGTGGCTGGCCACCTTGGGAGGAGGAGAGTGCTGATCGGAAGAATCACAGCCATGGTTACCTTTTTAGAGCTTTATTGGGGGAGGGGGAGAGAGAGAACAGATGGAAGGAAGGAGCGGAAAGGAAAGAGGGACGCACAGAGGGCCCACCCGCTTTTTAGGCTGGGACGCCTTTGCAGGCTGATGACGTAATTAAGGACTGAATCCTTACACTAAGCTCTTTGTCCATCTACTTTATTCCTCTGGGATAAGATCCTATCTACACAGCTTCAGTTCTGTTCAAGCCTGCCTAGTTCCTTTCTGTTTAATTCTCTCTATTTATCTGCTGTCCCCTCTAAGTTCCATCTTAATTTTCTCATCTTAGCTCTGCCCCATCTAGGTTCTCATCCATCCAGTTCCTTCCCATCTTAGCTCCTCTCCCGTCTCCTTCTCTCCCATCTCCTTCTTCCTCATCTTGTTCTTCCCCATCTGGCTCTTCCTCATCTTCCATCTCGTTCCTCTAGTACTCTCTTCTAGCCCTTCAATCTAGTTCTTCCCATTTAGTCCGTTGTTTCTCTCCAGTTCTTACCCAGGTAGTTCTTCCAGTCTCCTTTTCCTCTCTCCTCCTCTCGGTTCTCCGACTCTCTCCGTTGTCACCAAGTCTCTCAGGAATCCAGTTATAAACCCAGGCAAAAGCAATCCGCTCCAGAGCAAGGTCACCAGGCTTGAATTCTTACAGGGTCATAAAGGCAGGTAAGAATTTTCCTCTGTCAGTGACCACCAGGCTTTCTTTTACAACCCCAAATGGGAGTGGTAAAGGAGGAGGTCAACTGAGTGCTAATGTCCGGTTAGTATATCAAAAGGGGGATCTATGTGCTCAGTCTACATTCCTAGATGTGGTTAGGTAAGAAGTTAGGGGTGGCCGGGCGGTGGCACACACCTTTAATCCCAGCACTCAGGAGGCAGAGGCAGGCGGATCTCTGTGAGTTCGAGGCCAGCCTGGACTACCAAGTGAGTTCCAGGAAAGGCGCAAAACTACACAGAGAAACCTTGTCTCGAAAAACCAAAAAAAAAGAAGAAGAAGTTAGGGGTCTATTAGTAAGGTTGTATAAGAAAGGAGGGTCTCACCGTAAATTACACAAGAAATAAAGCTATCGCCTGACCTAGGAGACAGGTGTTGTTTTGTTTGAGCTTGGACGCTTGATTAGGTATTTTAGATAAATGCACTGTTAGGAGTTCTTGGAAGCACTCATAGCATTATAAGAAAAATCACTGTAGGAACCAGCTAATATACATACAAAAGCTAAAATATCACCAAGACTTCTTAAGCCACGGCTTGACCTTTGGAGAAGTCCTTGACTTTTCCAAGTAGTAGCTTTTGTATAGTAGCTGGATTCCGTTACATTTTCCTGTGCTCGCAAGGGGGAGGGGAAACGACGTGGGGACGCACACAACCAGTGGAAGGGAAGTGAGAAATCCTAGGCTGATTTCTGAGTGTCTCTGAGGCCGTCTTCTCATCTACCCAGTGTGTGCAGAGGGGTTCACAGTACTTCCCTGACCTGGGGAGACTGCACGAGAAACACTGAATCCCTAAATCAGCTCCAGATAGGCTGGCTGTGGTTATTGTTAGTATCCTAACGTTTCGCAGGGGCACATGAGGTAAGCTGCTAGCTACTAGAAAATTCCACAGCTGGTGGTTGTGCATTTAAGCTCAAAACCAGACAGGTCTTAAAGCCCACTGTACCTCCAGAAAGCTGTGTGGTTTGGGCAGGTAATTAGCATCTTTTTGCCTTAGTTCCCCCATATAAAAATGGGGGGGATGACTATCTATATCTCTTTAGGTTGTTATAAGAAATAGGCCCTGGCAGTAATAAGGCCTAGAACCATGTTAACTTGACATTGTTTTTATGAATCACTCCAAGGTGCCTGGGCAAGCAAGAACATGGTGAACTCAGACCTGCTCTCTGGGGGAGTCACGGCTTAAGAACTGCCCCTTTCCTTTCTGTACAGACTCCTGCCCACGCAGGCCTGGGGACAGGCATAGTCTGTGCCGTCGTCCTGGTCCCGGGTGCAATTGCTCTGGCTGCCTATTCTTACTTCCGACTGAACCGCAGAACAGCTGGCTTCCAGCGCTTTGAGGTAAGAGAGAACGAAGCAGGCAGTGATGGGCTGCCTCTCATCTGTTTCCTGTGTACAGGCAGGCCACGCACACCTGTAATCCCAGTACTCAGCAAGGGCGTGCAGCGGGATCATGAGTTCCAGGCTAATACCCCACAGCTTCAGGGCCAGCTGAGCTATGCAGTAAGATCTGGTTTAAAAACAAACAGCAAACAAATGAAAAACAAAAGCAAACAAAGGCTGGAGAGATAGCTAAGCCACTAAAATGCTTGCTTTGCAGCCAGAGGACCCGGGTTCAACCCCCACATCCCATGTAATAAAAGCCAGGTTCAGTGGTGTGTGCTTATAAAGCCAGCACTGGGTAGAGAGACAGAGGGTCTCTGAGGTTCGTTGGCCAGCCAGTCTAGCTGAAGCGGCAAACTCCAGTTTCAGTGAGAGGACACGTCTTTACAAAGAGAGTGTGACTAATACCTGAGGTTGTCTGCCACCTTCCACGGGCATAGGCTTACATTGGTGCTTGTATACCTGCACATGCACAAACATAAAACAAGCACCACCAAAATGTCTAAGAGCATACGGTTATTAGCTTGCGGCTCTGGAGACTGGGAAGTCCAAGGCTAGGGCTGGCACAGCTTGGCTTCTGACAGGGGCCTCATGCCACCTCAACTCACCGAAAACGGAAATGTAAGGAGGCACGTGCAGAGCGGCAGGAAATCAGGGACAGCCTCACTGTCACCAAGCCAGTCATGGTGACTTACACAGCTTCACCTTCCACTGGTGGCAATCATACCTCCCAATGGGTTCTAGAGGGTCACACCACATCAGGCCCACATCAACGGCCAGCTCCAGAGGCCGGGCTACCTCAAATGTGTCCTCACCCAGGAGCTGGTATTTGGTTATCGTAACTAGAATAACTACCCCACCCCATGCCCCTGCTTCCTGGGAGGAGTCTAGACAAGTGGCCACCACGGTGGCCTTGGGCATCAAGACTGGCCCTGAGAGTTGGGGTGGGGTCTGACACCCACCTGCATGGCCTCACTCTCTAGCCGGTGACTCTCCTTCCATTCTGTTTGCAGAGTTGAGTCTACCTCATGAGCAAGCTCCTGAGCCGACCCTGGGGTGGCCCTAGGTGTCAGTCCATTTTCCATTACCATGACAAAATACCTGAGATAATCAAGTTACGTGGAAGAAAGGTTTAAGTCGTGGTTTTAGTCCATGGTGACTTTGCTTTGGGAGCTGTGGCGAGACAGCACATCATGGTGGGGACACATGGCGGAGCACTCACTTCACGGTGGCTGTGAGGCAAAGAGAAAGGAAGAAGAGGAGCCAGGGTTCCCAAGTCCATTTCATGGACACACCCCTTAGTTACCAAACTTCATCCCACTAGGCCCCACCCCCTAAAGGTCCCATTGACTCCCAAGAATGCCCAGCAACAGGGTCCAGTCTTTAACCTAGCTGGAGCCTTTGTGAGACACATGTCCAAACCACAGTCCCCAGAGAACTGGGCTGGGCAGAAGTGCAGCAGGCGGGCAACTTTCCGTCTGTTCGCTGTGCTCTTCCTGGTCTCTCTTCTTCACTCAGGAAGAGCTGTGTAGTGCCTTCAGGCAATAGCCCATGCTTTCCAGAAGGTAGCTGGCCAAACTATACGCTCAGAGGCAACCCTCAAAAGCATCTCTTACTATAGCCAAAACCCCACAAGCTAGACCACTTTCAATCAACTCACAGATCTGAAAGGTGGGTGATCGAAGGCCATGTGGCCACACCTGGTAAGGGCTTTCTTGCTACAGGCGGCTCGGCCAAGTTCTCAACACAGTGCAGAGAATCCTAGGGTGACAGAGTCAAGTCCTGGCTTGAGCACCTGCTCTCACAGAGTCTCAGTCCCACTGGGTTCTGCTTTGCCCTGCTGTTCCCTTTAACCGTAACCACCACCCCAAAGGTCCTGCCTGCAAACGCCACAGTAGAATCAAGTCTCCTGCCCTCCTAATGGCTCAAAATGGGGACTAAATTTCAATGCATGTTTGGGTGAGAACATTCAAACCATCATTTGAGGCACATACATGATCTTTCTAAACTCAGGGACAGCCACACAACTCCACGGTAACAGGGCTCATCAGTGCTTATGGTAGGAGAGTTGGCAGCATGGGTCACGGATCATTTCTGGGTGATGGGAATGCCCTATGGGCCAGTTTGGGAGACACACCTGGGCAGACATGTAAGTTGTCACTGGGGCCCAGTGCCTCCTATCACATGTCAATCATCTCAGCCATGCTGCTGAAAAGGCTTCTGAGGTGAAGAGTGCCTTGGGGACAGTCCTGCCTCTCAACCCTTGTAAATCTCTTTCTTAACAGTCGGAAGAGGATATCGATGTCTCGGCTTTTGGCAAGCAGCAGCCTGAGAATATCTCAAACCCTGTGTATGAGACATCAACGTCGGCACCCCCTGAGTCCTCCTGTGACCCCTTCACAGTGAGTGTGCACTTCACTCGAGGCTGGGGTGCAGAATGCTGCCTTCCAGCAGAGTTCAGTGGAGCTGCACCCCCAGGAAGAGCTTCCCTTCTAGAATGTATCTCAGAGAGCAAGCCTAGAGGCCAGTTTTCTGTTCAGAGTGCCAGCTTTTGTGTAGCTGGTAGAAGCCTCAAACTAGAGGCTGCCTAGTCCCTACCTTGTGGCCAGGTAGGACACCTCTTGCAGAAGCAGGCCTGTAGAAAGTGCTTCCCTCAGCGATGCTCACATCTGACTAATTCTGCCCCGGGCAGAGCCGCTCCTTGCTCAGGGAGCTGCTTTTGCTTAAGGAGGTCTTCAATGGGTGATCTTCTGATCCGGTCTTCCCAGAAGGAACCGTCTATTTATTGAGTTAAAGTGAGGCATGAGCTCAGATAGGAGCTATTCTGACTTTAACCCAGGGGGACCCTGCGGCCGGGCACCCCATTCACAGGAAATGTGGGAGGTAACCTGCCTGTCCTTTCTCATCAGTTCTGGACTGGGAAGCTAGGGAAGGCATTTTCCCCCTTGCGTAACCATGGAGAAACGTAGCCTTGTGTGCTGAGTATCCTTGTCTGAAGGCACACCACCTGAGCTGACAGTGTTCTTTGGGCCAAGGCAACACTTGAATCTTGGCTTCTATGGGTTAACCCCTGTGTAGTATTAACCAAAGCCAGATGGCTGCTGTCAGTTTAGTGTTTAGAACACATATTTCTCCCACAAATCACAGTATAGTTCAATTTTTAAAAAAATTACTCTGCAAGTCCCATTAAATCAAAAACGTACAGTATTCATTTATTTACTCATTGAGACAAGGTCTCGCTATGTAGCTTTGGCTGGCCTGGAACTCACTGTGTAGAACAGGCTGTCCAGAACTCAGAGGTCCACCTCCTTCTGCCTCCCCAGTGCTGGGATTGGAAGCCTGTGCCACCGCCATGGCCACACCTGGTTGTATAGTTAAATACCAGTAACGGGACTCATGGGCCCAGGGCACCTCAGGCTGGATTCTCTGACCTGTATATTGAGTGGGGTACCCGTCCCAGCTCTCTGCACCCCAAACACCTTGAGAAACCTTTGCTAACTAGCGTGTAGCGTGCTGCTTTTCAGAACCTCGGTGCTACTCGGAGCCGATGACAGCCGGAAGCTCAACGGGGCTCTGGCAGGGAGTGGGGCGTTCATGCGGTCACCTGCTTTAGTACTTTCCATATGAAAGTTTTATGACTAATCACCACTGGCTACATGTAGCAGCTAACCCTCACACCTTCCTAGGGAAGTAAATAATCCTATGGAGCCGTTAGAGATGGGGAGCCAACCTCATTGAGGACCTCACAGGCGGCTTCAACAGCAAAGCATGTGCAGCCCCAGCATAAGCACCCCTGACTAGCACCCACCCACCCCCACTTCCACCCTCCACCCCCAACCTCTGCATGAGGCAGCAGCGTGTGGGAAGGCTCCTGTGATGTGCATGCCTGAGACAAGGCATGCTTTAGGCCCCAGAGCAGAGCAGTGTTCCCCCCAGAAGGGTACAGTTGCAGGAGGAACACCCCCCTACCCCAGAATCACAGCCCTTCCTCTGTCTTCCAGGACTCTGAAGAACAGGAGGTGGAGAGCAGCGACCCTCTGGGGGCACTGAGGGCCTGATGTGAGCAGCCAGCCAACAGCCACTGCGACACGAACCCCTGAGCCGTCACGGCTCCTTCTGTGAATTCTCCACACCGGTTGTCTCTTGGGTCATGTTAAGCTATGACACACTCAGGAACCATACCTCACCTCTCTGGTTAACATGGGGTTGTTCCCATGGGTAAGGCGCCATGTTAGCAGGACCATGCAGGGGAACCTCCTCCTCTGAGCCTCTACCGTGGTTCTCTGCACGTTCCAGATGGCACCTGCTCTGTTCTGTCTTGTCTTGCTGGTAACTGTGACCCTGTGGTATTTTCCTGTTGACTATGAGTGCCTAACGCAGGGCTTCACTTCATGTACTTTGTATCCAGTACCCAGAAGTACCTGCCACAGGGATGTGCTCAATAAATGTTTATGGAACAAAAAAAAGTCACTGTGTGCCTAGGAGGGGTCAAGCTATGAAAGCTTAGTAAGTAAGTAAGTAAGTAAGTAAGGCTAATTAGAGTCCTTCCGATGGGCCAACATGTGTCTTATGAATTCTTTAGTTTTGCTTCCTTGCATTTCCTTTAAGCCAATGAGCCCCCAGCTCACACCCGCTAGGAGAGCAATGACCAAGTGGTCCATCAGAAGACAGGCATTGGTGAGGGTGCAGAGCACTGGGACCCCATGCTCGGCTGGTGGGAATGTAAAGTGGAGGTACTGTGGGAGTCTCAGGGCTCCTCAGACAGTCCAACGGGGTTCCCACAGAACCAGAACTACCTCTCACTGGTGTGTACCCAAGAGAAGTGAGAAACATATCCACCCATAGACTCACATGTGCTCAAGGTGACATTGTTCCTAACAGCCCAAAAGCAGAACCACCGGAATGGCCATCATCTGATGTGACCGAGCTGAGGTGTACCCATGCAACACACCCCTAAAAGATGCAGCATTGCTGTGTGCACTAATGTACCTTGAAATCGTTAGAAAACGAGGTGTTATTTGCACCCGGACCACAGCATACTGTGCTTCCCTCACCCCGCTTCCACCTCCTCCCCTCTCCTCTCTGTATGACCCAGGCTGGCCTTCAAGTTCAGATTCCCCTGCTTTGGCCTCCAGAGTGCTGGGACCATGGGCCTAAGCCACCATACCCAACTGTGCTAAAATGGTTTTCTTGAGACTGGGGAGCTGGGGAGTCACTTTTACAGATAAGCAGTGGAGGTCCAGATCGACTGAGAGCAGCCTCGGGTGACATAACTTCTGGGACTGGGCTGACTGAGGCTCTGTCTGTCTCCCTGAGCCCAGCGTCAGCAAACTCAGCATCTATGAACTTGAGATGAAGATTCCAATCTACTGTAAAAATCCTGCTCCTTTCTCCCTGTGGGCAGTTGCTCACACTCAGCACGCTGTAACGGCCATCTCTGTAACATCCAAGCACCAGCTAGCAGAAGGGCACAGTGTCAGCATGATGGAGTCACTATGGGGGACAGAGTGGAAGCCTGGGGTGAACAGACCTCAGGCTCCCCTCTCTTGCCTATAAACCCCAAATCACATCATTCTATTCCATCAGAGGTTTGCTGAGTCAAGTCTAAAGTTCTGGAAGCCATAAAATGTCTCGTAAGCTCTCTCAACCCCAGGGAACTGAAGCTGTCCCAGTTCTCTGCAGAGGACAAAGTCACCACTACCTTTGGGACAACACATCATGCAGGAGCAATACCACATTTCCAGGAAAGCACCCCAAAACGACAAGGGTAGGACAGACTAGCTGGTAGCTCTGAGACATCCATCATCACAACGGAAACGTAAGTGATCACACTGGGGACCGTGGGGACACAGATGAGGGCTCGTTCGGCACAGGAAGAGGGAAGTGTCACAGACGCTAAATCTATACACGCACAAGACGTAACAATAAGGCATTCGAAATATTTATAAACTTGTCCAAACCCAGCAGCAAATTTTTATTGTTTGTTGTTTTTGTTGTTTGTTTGTTTCTACACAGGGTTTCTCTATGTAAGCCTTGGCTGTCCTGGTGCTCTCTCTATAGACCAAGCTGGCCTTGAACTCAAGAGATCCGCCTGCCTCTGCCTCCCGAGTGCTGGGATTAAAGGTGTGTGCCACCACTGCCCAGTGAAAATTTTCTTAATACTCCTCAATTCCATATTTCCTTAGCTTGTCCCAGCTTCCCAGGTGAATGACTATAAGCAAACAGGTGACTGCCACTTCTTGTTCCCCAATATGGTGCACCCCACCCACCCCCACCGTTCCCCAATGCCTGCAGAGCTCACACAAGTTCTGTCCAGGACCTCCAGTCTTAAAGCCCCAGAAACATTCTACATTTCACCCTTTCTCAGTCCCCTTCTGTGGTCCATTAGATTGCTGCTTTTGAGGTTCTGGGATTCAAACTCGAGGCCTCAAGCATGCTGGGTAAGCAGTCTACCAGGGAGCTGCACTCCCAACCCTAGGGTTGTATTTTATTTTTGAATCTTGGATTTCTCTTAGCAGAACAACCTCAAATCCTGGGGGGAACCATGTTTTGCAACTGACTTAAGTACATGCAACTGAGGGTGCCACAAACCAGGAGATACAGCTCAAGCTTTTATTTGACTGTAAGCTCATTATCACAACATATACAATCAACATGTAGAATAAATAGCAAGTTCACATTCCAAATAAATAGTCAAGCTACTTTGCACTTACCGTGCCCGATACCACACAGGCACACTCGATCATTCCACTACACAAGTACTACACTGGAGCGCAAGCTTGCGTTAACAGAAAACACAGGAGCACTGTTGAGGGAGGAGCCTGGGAACAAATGCTTCATGCAGGAGGGTCTTACATGGAGTACTGCTGGGAGCAACATCTGGGAAGGGAAGGGGCGGACCAGTGGGTAAGGTGGGTTCTGAAATGCAAGGCAAGTACAAGGAGGTCTTGGTGGCCCCAGAGGGAGCTCTGGAACTGTCCCAAGTGTTGGAGAGGCCGGAGTACCGTCACATGGAACAGTCATGGATCATACATCCCCAGGAAAGGCGTGTGCATCAGGGAATTTCTCCAAGAGCAACACATCAGCCAGAAGCCACGCCCAGCAGCTGGGATGATAGCCCTCCGTCCTGGGCCCAGCTAAACAGTGACAAGGGCAACAGGTAGCTGAAATGCACATGGGGACGCAATGTTGGCAGGTACTGCAGACACAGTACTTACACTGCCATATGGAGAACCATGTGGCAGACAGTGGCTCCTAAGGGGCCACGGCACACTGACCCAGACCTTACACTAGTGTCCCCGGGCTGGGAGGCTGCTCCTCCGCAAGCTCCCAGCAAAGAATCTTGCCACCCAAGCAGGATCGAGCAGGCCATAGCCAAGAGCCCCGCCTAGCCCACAGCCTGTGCTGGTGAATGAAATCCCAATGGAACTGTGCTCCCATTTCCACAGGGGCCGCAATGGGAGCCGCCTGCAAAGTTGAAATCATTCTCTTATTAGAAGAGCTCCATCGCTGGGCGGTGGTGGTGTACGCCTTTAATCCCAGCACTCGGGAGGCAGAGCCAGGCGGATCTCTGTGAGTTCGAGGCCAGCCTGGCCTACAGAGCGAGATCCAGGACAGGCGCCAAACTACACAGAGAAACCCTGTCTCAAAAAAAAAAAAAAAAGAAAAAGAAAAAAAAGAAGAGCTCCACTCCTCTTCCTTCCCTTGGCTTAGCCTATCAGTGGCCTGAAAGGGTGGCTGAGCTTGGCCAAAAACATATATACATAATAAATAACAAGAAAACAAAGAAGAAAGGAAAAAAACCCTTCCAAACAAAAGGAAACCATGCCAGGCATGGTGGTATATGCATTTTATCCCAACGCTCTGAGGCCAACCTGTTCTACAAAGTGACTTCCAGGCCAGCCAGAGCTACATACTGAGACCCTGAGGGGATGGGGTGTCACTGAGAAAGGGGAAAGCACGGATCGGCTCCCTCGACAAATTTAGTCTTTTGAGCATTTTAGTCAAGAGCCCCCCAAGTAGGTTTTTGGCAGCCAATGAGTGTTTAGACAAAGTGGAATTTCAGTATTTAGCGCTTGCTCAGGGGAGGGGAGGGGGAAGCCATTCCATTCACCAGAAGCTAAATTAGGTAGGAGGCTTGAGTGCCTTTCGCTTCTCCCTTCCAATAAATAAGAGGGCTGATGCATTCAAAGCAGCTAGTAATTTAGTCTGAGAGCTGACCAGATCAGGAGGAGATTATTAATGGTGAGAGAGGAGGGAGGATGGGGGGGTGAGAGCAGAGGCCAAAGAAGGAAAGGGGAGGAAGGGAGGGGGAAGAGAAAAGAAAGAAAGTGGGGAGGGGAGAGAAGGAAGGGGGAGGGAGGAGGGAAGGGGGGTGCTATTTTAGGAGGAAAAGCAAGAGCTTCAAAAGCCCAACACCTAAGGTATTAAGGCCAGTTCTCCCCTGAAGAAGAACTCACGGAAAGGCCAGCAGTAAACATTGCTCAGGCAGCCCCCGCTGGCACCACAAACCTTGCTGGGTATCACACTGGCATGGACTGCCCTTAGAGTCAATTTTTGTTCACTTGATTCTTAGAAAATCAGTCTAAGCAATATCAAAAAAAAACCCTATGATTTTAAAGATAATAAAAATAATTTTATTGCTGGGCGGTGGTGGCGCACGCCTTTAATCCCAGCACTTGGAAGGCAGAGGCAGGTGGATCTCTGAGTTCAAGGCCAGCTTGGACTACAGAGTGAGTTCCAGGATAGGCGCAAAGCTACACAGAGAAACCCTGTCTCAAAAAAACAAAACAAAACAAAAAACAATGTTTGCTTTACAATTTGGTTTTTTAAAAGGTGGAAAAAGATCTACCTCTCTTTTTAAATCTATAGCCTGTCATCAATGAGCACACAAAAACAAGACACCAGTAGAGTAAGTCAGACCCCAGCCAAGAGTCCCTGTGACAAGTTAAAACCTGTCCTGACGGCACCAGACAAGGACAGTAACACAGCAGAAACTCCCGTTCTTCCTACAAGGACGCCACACCAGGCCACACTGCCAGGGCACGGGTCTGAGTGTGCAGTCTGCAGCTACTTGTTTGCTGATCCCAAGACTGTTACCCTCCTTCACAGGAATAGACTGTAAAATTCATTTCTCATACCCAGGAGATGTTTTTCTCCCCCAAGGCTTAGGTCACCTGCGGTAGGCATTCAAGAAAGCAGTTCTACTTCATTCTTGAGTAAACAACCCCCCCTCCACCCGGAACTGGCATCCAGTCGATACTGAAGGGTATCTGAATAGACCACAAATTCATTCTGTGCCTACGAAGCACAAGTCAGGGGCATCCTGGGCAGCATCTGAGCGGTGCTGAGCATCACCTGCTGGCGTTAGATGCCAGCCGCCAAGAGCCCCTGGTGGCTAACACTGGGGAAAACAAGGGAACAGAAAAACGCCCATCCTGTCCTTAAAAAGCAGAACACCGAACCCCAGTGTTCAGAACACAACACGGGAGGAGGGGGTCTGAAGGGTCAGCTTTGTGATGATGGTCAGCACAGCAGACATCAAGGAGCGCCGTGGTAACACACGGCATGGCGGTGAACGCTGGACAGCCCATTTCACCTCTGTGCTGTGGCAGACAGCCCACAGAAGGCCACAAAAGCGGTCTGTCAGCAGCCAGGGGCAATCTACTTATTGTAGTAGAGATGTCAACTAGCGAGCGCTCGCCACAAGCCTCCTTCATGCTCGTGCCATTCTTTAGACTCACTGCATGCCACACCACAGTCGCAGGCCCGTAATTCACCACTCAGGAGACTGAGGCAGGAGGATTGAGTCCAAGGCCAGCCTGGGCTCCGTAGCAAGACCCTAACTGGAGATGGGGGGGAATGGAGTGGGAGAGGAGGAAGAGGGGGGAAAGAAGAGCAGCTATGGAAGCAGCGGCGCCACATTAGCGCAAAAGCTTAAAATGAGCCAGGCCACATGAGACCAGGCTGATCTAGCCACGAGGACTCACGTGGCATTCACAATGAAACCATTTAAACAGGACTGTGTCCTCTAACAACTGCCATTGCTGTGGCCCTCGGGGCATCGAATATGTTCAAAGATACTGCAAAGCAGACATAATAGAGGATTCTGCCCCCCCCCCCGAGAGGGGAGGGAGGAAGAGATGCCCCTCGTGAGCTTGGCTCTTGGCATTAAATGTGAAATTCCACCAGTGAGCTTGTGGACACAGTGTGTCCCAAGTGCCCCACACACAGGCTTGCACTGGCCGCGGACGGAGCCCCCAGGCTTTGCTGCCTTTCTTCTCCTACAATGTCCGATCCACCAGCTTAAAGGCAATTTTAACCAGAGCTGCCATCTCCTCACCCACGCCCAGGGGAGGAGGGAATCCGCCCATCACCCCCGTCGGCAGCTCAGGGCCGGCAAAGCAAGTTCACACTGAGGACAAAGTCTTGTTCTTCCTCAACAAAGTCATTCTGGGAGGCTGTGGTCTCTCGGAGCAACGTGTAGAAGTCTGCAAAAGCCTAGGACCAGAGGACCGGGAACTGGCTGCAGATGTCACCGTGCTCTCCCGGTCCCCAATGCTCTGCCTGTAAACAACCAAGAAATGTCTCACAGGATCAAGACGTGTCCTCTCTTGACCTGCTGAACACAGACAGCGGCAAGCAGTCTCGCTCGTCTCAGAAGGCCTGCTGTTGGTTCCAGAGTAAACAAGGCGGCATCCGTGTTTCAACGCTGTGTGTAGAGGACACGACCCAGGGCCCCCGCTCCTGTCTCCACCTGGACAGGACAGTATTTGCGGTAAGGTAGAAAAAAATACAAAAGGTGTTATCTGACTCTTTGGGAGAGCAACTCTCAGGCCCACTGGGCCCTCGGTGGGGCCGTGGCTGCTTCCGGCTTTTTCCTCAGGCAGACACAGATTACTTGGCCTGAGCCTGCTGCAGCAGCGGGGCTTTGAAGGCAGACGGGCTGTCTGACCATGCGGGGAGCTCATGCTGCAGGGGAGTCCTCCTGGGGTAGAACGTGTGGTGGACGTCATAGTTCAGCAGGCAGCTGAGAGAGGCCATGTAGATGTCAGCAAACCTCGACAGGCGCCTCAGGAAGTAGGTCGGGTTCTGGTCTGTGCGGAACAAGCTCCCGAACTGGGCGTTGAAGAAGCTTTTGGTCATTTCTCTGAAGTGTCAAGAAATAAAAACAAAGTCACAGAGAAAGGTTTTAAAAGGATTTTTTTTTTAACTTACTGAAGTAAAAATATATTTAAAACAAAAAGCTACTGGAAAGAAAAAGTATCCAGTTAGCCAAGAACAGACCTAATTACCAAGAAAACACGGTGTGAGGCAGGTATGGGCCCCATACCTGTAACCTCAGCACCAGGGGGCTGAGGGGAGAAGATCAGAAGCCAGCCTGGGCTACACAGTGAGACCCTGTCTTACAAAACAAATAAGGAAATCACAAAACATCATCTGTCAGGCCATCTCTCAAACAGCTGGTCACATTCCCCACTTAATGGCAGTTCAAAGACACTACTTTGAGGCTGCAGTGTGAATTGCATGCTCCCCAAACACACGCACTGTGTGCCAGAGCAGGCAGAGCTGTTTTAGAGGAACTCAGACGAATAATTCTCTGTGTTTCTAGACCAAGAACTAAACAAGGTACAGAAATAAAAAACTGTAAACCCTCAAGTCTTCCCATGGAAGAATTACGGATTATTACGTTAGTCACCACCCTCCATGACGGGCCTTCAAATGCTCTGCACGCTCCCTTCCAGCCTAGCCCAGAGCATCCTCAGTCACCCAGGCCGAGGCAGGCCTCTGCAACAAGACCTCTGTGCAGTCTCAGCTCGGTCAACATCCTCCACACACAGACTATTCAGCAAAATGACTGATGCCATCTGAATGGCGCAAAGTCAGTTACAGATACAGCAACCGTCTAACTCCTTTGCACAGCTGTGCATGAAAACCACGCAGGAGTTAGCAATTGCCGCTGTCACTGGAGAATGACAGTCGCAATGACCAAACGGCCACAGCTGTTGAAGCCCCAACTAGGTCTCTGCAGATGAGCCACGCAAACAGTACTTAAGCCTCTACTGCAGCATCCCATGGGGATGAGAGGGGGGAGGGGCTGGATAGATGGCTCAGTGGTTACGAGAGGATTCCCAACTCCCACGTGGCACAGCCCACAACTGTCCAGAACTCCAGTTCCAGGGGATGTGATGTCCTCGTCTGACCTCCATGGGCACAAGGCATGCACGAGGTGCACAGACACATATGTAAGCAAAACACTCCTGCACATTAAAAAAATCTAAATAATACTAAGAGAAGAAAACCAAAAGAAAAAGACGTGTCGATGTTAGAGATGTGGAGCCAACAGGAAATCTGTGGCAGGTGAGGTGCTTCCTTATCAAGCCATTCTAGGTTCCTGAAAGTGAGTGACCCGCGCACCGTGGACCCCAGACCTTCAGAGACGGGCCCTGAAGTCAATCCCATCGTCTCCTTTTCCCACTTTCCCTCTCCTCCACATTTTTATAGCAAAAGAATCAAGTCAGAATAAGCCTGAGCCAGCCAATGGGCTGAGGAAGAGGCAGGATGGGACTCAATACAGGCTGGGCTTCTGCAGAACCTTCAACAACATCCCTTGTCAAGTCAAGCTGCCACTGCTCAGGGACCAGAGCCCCAGAAACAACCCGTTTCCAATCTCAGGCTCTGCCAGGGCGCAGGAACAACCACACACAGTTCACAGAGAGGGTGAAAGCACCAATCATAAGAAGCACGGTTGTCACCAAGGCTCCTGTGGACAACTGTTCCCTAAGGACACGCTCATGAAACTTGTGACTACAGGAAGGCTTTCTGGACCAAGAAAGGCTGGGTGCGCATTCCTGAAACAGCAGGCAGGGTCCCTGTGTCCAGAGCCCAGTCCCAGCACAGTCCCAACAGCCACATGTGCGGACAGCCACCAACCACTGGGCTCCAGTCAAGGCAGGGAAGAGAAAGAGATAAAGCCACCTCCCCCCTAAGGCTTCCAATGGCAAGGGCAGAGGACAGATGGGGATCACAGCTAGCAGAGAAGTGATCCTGGATACTCAGGAGTCACGGTCACACCTGGTTTCCCGATGTCACCTCAGACACACAGAGCACACCAAAGCTAGGGTCGGCATTCACAGGTGGTGGCTATGATGCTCTTACCTCATCTCCTTCCTCTCCTTTTTCCACTCCTGCAAAACCAGCTGTGACTCAGCATCTCTGTGGACCTGCAGGGACACAAGCCAGGGCTTTGGTTTCAAACAAACTCCTTAGCAGCAAGAATTTCTTAATGGGAAACTTTTCTTGTAGGAATCTTACTCCTTAAGTAGCACTTGTGAGAAGTAATGCATTTTCCCAAGTGAAAGCCTGGCGTCTTGGCACACACACACACACACACACACACACACACACACACACACACACATAGAAGCTTCAGTTGTCTGTTATTAGAAGCCGAGCTTAGGGCTGGAGATGGCTCGACAGATAAAGACGCCCACCTCCTGCAAGATGTCCCCTGACCTCACACAAATGAGGTGGCAAGTGAGCACACACACACACACACACACACACACACACACACACACACACACACGATAGATAAATCTAAGAATGTAGCTTCACAAATTAAGATGTAAAATTATGAAGCCATGAAACTGTTACTAAAGGTTATGTATAAACACAATACATGTACATCCACATACGGTACGGTACGTGTGCCATGCCCATTACACCCATGTATTACATGATCAATACACAGTCCGTGATGCCTACTGCCCGTCCTCCCTGGGTGTCAACACAATGGCCGAGAAGTGGGCACAGTGCACGTGGCAGCACACCCACGGATTCTAAGCCCACGACATCTGGAAATCAGCACTGAAATGTTTGACTTACACAGGACAACAGGACTCAGATACTCCTAATTTTTATATCCCTAATGTCACACTAGCCTTGATGACAAGGACATGTGAAGGGTTGTCTGATGAGTCAAAATTTGAGCCAGTGGTAAAAAGAAAGTGACAGACAACTCCGCACAAGCCGGTATGTGGCTCCTCACCAAGGTCCTCACTGCTAAACAGCAACAGTGGAGCCAGAGTCAGGGCACTCATGACCAGGGGGACACGTGGCACTACCTCATTCATGACCACGGGATAACCTTAGGACTCAGAGGACAAGACTACACAGCAAACCACCTGCCTCCCCATGAGAGCCAAACCCTGTTTGTCACATCTGCCCAATTCAACAGTCAACCAGACAAAACCTGTCCCAGCTGAGCCTAAGACTTGGGTTTCCTGCCTAATATCTGTCCAAGCCAGGAAGCAGCTGTCATTGAAAATATCCTAACTGAGCTCTACAAATGCACCAGGTCACTGAGCCAGCACCACTGTGAGTTTTGATGAGGGTACTATAGACATGTTTTTATGTCTGTGCATCACATGCATGCAGCACCCACAGTGACCAGAAGAGAGCATGAGATACCTAGGGACTATAGTTACAGATGCCATGTGGGTGCTAAGAATCCAACCTGAGACCTCTGCAAGAGCAGTCAGTGTTCTTAACTCCTGAGCTCTCTCTCCAGCCTTGGTGTTCATATTTTAAATTAACAAATCACCCACCACAGAATTTAGAGATAAAATCCATAGGACACCTCAAGGAATTTCTATACATGTAAAATCTGTGTGTGTGTGTGTATGTGTGTGTGTGTGTGTGTGTGTGTGTGTGTGTTTATTCAGTACCCACTGAGTACCAGGCCTTCCTGTGACGGATACTGAAGACACACGAGAGAGAGAGAGAGAGAAGATGGCGACCACTGTGGGAACAGGCCATAGCAAAACAATGTGACACCACAATCTTTAAGAGAAAACTTGAGCCTCAACTCGGGTCACAATTCCATCTTAATCCATAAACTAGGCCCCTGGAAGGAGCTCATTAGAGATAGTGTGCTTGCATCCCTCCAACACTCCCAGGCAGAAATGCTAACCTCCAAGGTCATGATGGCATCAGAGGCTCTGGCCTTAGCGAGGTAATTAACTCACGTGTGAGGTTCTTATCAACGACATCAGTGTCCTGATAGGAAAGATCAGAGGTCTCTAACCTCTCTACCACATGAGGCCGCCAGGTAAAGCCAGACCTTACCCACAGTGACTGCTGGCACCTCGGTCTCAGGAACTGCAGGAAAAAAGTGTTGGTCCCAGAGCCCATGGGACAGGGCCACACTTGGAAGAGGGAAGAATCTCGGGAGTAGAGACGAGGCTGAGAATCACCAAAATTACTCTATCTCCTGTCAAAGTAACTAGAAGCCATGCCAATTCTCCTCTCCACGCCAGCCTCAGATGGAGCCCAGGGCAGGCTCTGTAGACAGAAAGAGCCAGCTTCACCAGCTATGGAGCGGACAGCGCGTGCACGCCCCTGGGATGCCTGCCTCTGCTTTTCTACTGGCCCTGATTTTCTTTCTAGGTCTGTTGTTGTTGTTTTAACATTTTATCTACTTGGGGAGAGGATGCATATGTCTCAGCATGTGGCGGTAACATGCAGGGACAGCTTGCAGGACTAGGCTCTCTTCTGGGCTCCCAGAACTGAACTCGTGACATCACACTTGGTGACAAGCACCTTTATCCAGTGAACTGTCTCTCCAACCCTGGTCCTGAGCTTAGAGGGCATCCAAGGATGATGGGTGGTCTCCAGGAGCCCATGACCACAGGCTGTTGAAGGGAAACACAAAGAAAGGCAGCATTCCCAGAGCAGGGACGCCAGCTCTGTGGCTCTGCGTCTGGATGCAGCCCTTCTTGGGCCTGGCTGTGGCCACCCTCCAAGACTTTCTCCATCACTGAGGCTCACGTCACCAGCACCTAATCGTGCTCGTCCCTGTTTGAGAAAACCTACCTCTCCTGTGCTGTCCCTTCTCCAGATCTGTCCCCTACAAGGCACACTCTGTCAAACAAGCCTCGAGTATCTAAAGTCTACTTTAAAATATTTTGGTCTATTAATTATTAATCACAATATTACTTATTGTTATTTCATTACATATTAAACGTTATGCAATTACTTATTGTTATTACTTACTTCACTTCCTCCCGAGTGAGCAGTTAGCATGGGAAGACTAACCAGAAACACACAGGCTCTCAGTCATTCTTTGTCCCCAAAGCTGTCACTCAATATAGTCAGCTCTTTGTGGGCAAAGCGCAGGTTGGCTAGCCCATCACTGCCCCACCCTCTTTGTCTGCACAGGATGCTGCAAGCAGGTCACCTAGTGCCCGACACCAGGAAGCCAGATCCAGGCAGTACCCCTTCTACTGAGCTGACAGACGGGTGCTCTCTATGAAATGGCTGGGAAACAAAAGAATCATTTCATCACACATGGAAATGGGATGAGAGCTGTATTTCAGCATCCATGGCTGACTAGGACAGCTACAGCACTTTGCTGGCACTGTCCACGACTGTGCTGAGAAAAACTGAGTGCTTATGACACAGTCCACAGCCCATACACCCTACTATATGCCCTCTCTGGCCTTCGAAGAAATTTGCCAATCCCGAGTCCACATGTGGCCTGAAGGCCCTTGCAAAGGTCTACAGACACCAGCTCTCACCATTAGTCATGACCAAGGAATTATTCCTTATAGTCACTTTTTTAAATCCAAAAGTTATGTTCTTCTGCTTAATTCATCAGACTTAAGTCCAAATGACTCCCTGCTGCTCTTCCCCAAATTAAACCCAATCTCACAGGACACATTTTCTTAATAATGGTCTGCATATTCTGAAAATAATCACTGCAGGGAAGTTCCAGAAGCACGAGTCATCAGCTCAACGGAAAGACATGGTAGGGCAGTGAGGAAAGGCACTCGTCTGCGTATGTTTAACTGGTCAGCCCCACCCTTTGATATGTGGTACCCACACCCAACAGAGCTTGAGGGGATGCAGCAGGCAGGTGAAGACCGGAGCCAGAGGGACCTGCTGGTGTAAGGCCAGCCCCAGGGATTTCTCCGCTGAGCTCAGGGAATCACTGGACACACACCCCAGAGTTTGGAGAGGAGGAAATGAACACCAGGCCCAGCCTTACATCAGTCAGACCTCACGTCCAGCCGGCTCCAGGCTGCAGACTATGCTGTAACTGGAAAAGTTCCCTTAGCTCTGAGCCTGTTTCCTCTCCTCTAAAATCAGGGTGGAAACACACACGCCAACCCCTCTCTTACTTCCCTAGTCTATGTCTTGTGTGATCGTACGTCACAGACATCTTTTCAATGCTACCTTAGCTATCTATCATTTTCCAGGGTCAGAGGAAAAATAAACAAGATCTGTTTCCAGAGCCAACTGGATGCAGTCACTGAGTCAGTACACGCAGGCCACTTGTGCATTTGACCAGATGCTCAGTCACTGGAGCCATCCTCAGGGAGATGGTCCCCAAACCCATAACCTAAAGCGTGGGCACTATCAAACCCTATATATACATAGACTGTTTTTCCTATGTGTGCATACCTATAACAAAGTTCAATTTCTAAATCAGGCACAAAATAAGAGATTAATAACTAATGATAAAACAATACCTTTAACAATATACTATAAACATTATTTAAAACTTATGAATTGTTTATTTCTGAAATTTTCCCATTTCATATTTTTTACCCACTTAACCACAGGCAACTAAAATAAAAACACAGAAAGAGAACCCACAGTTAAGACTATGGCAGAGGCTTAGCCCCACCTGACAACCGCCAAGGCGGAGGCACCCCAGGGTGGTGCTGGGCAGCCCAGACAAAGGCATCACAAGCCCGACGCTGAGCCTCCCTGTACCATCTTGTGACCTCAGACACGTCACTAGCCTCTCAAAACCCAGCTTCCTTACTAAAAAGAAAAGGTTGCACCTGCACACACGGAACAGCTGTGACTGATGCGGTGTGCCATGCAAGCCCTTGGCACAACGACGGGCACGCAAGGAAAACTACCGCCGTGTGACAGGCGGCGCAGACTCAGCAGCACGAGGCCAGACTCGACAGCCGATATTTTTAGAAAACCACCTCACAGCACACACGGTAAAGACAGCAAAACAAACCCCAATCAGAAGAGCCAAGGTCTCCGGGGCCTAGCAGAGCCCAGGCCTGGAGGACGTGTGGGGCCCCATGCACTGGAATGTGCACCCTGGGAGAGAGGACACGGCCTGGCCTGCCTCTCCTCGAAGCTTGGCAGGAGGATCTGTGGGCAGCGGGCCATGACCAGAGGCTGCAGGTGTGCCCGCCAAGAGTGGCCATCTGTGCCATCTGTGCCCCTTAACCTAAAAGCATCTCACTCACTCACACGGACAGCATGGCCGGTCGAGCTGCACAGTGGTTCATGAGATGGGGTGAGAAAAGCCCTGAGAAGCGGTCACAGCTACCACAGAGGGACAACAGCTTGGGCTAGGAAATAAGCATAACAAAGGCATCCTGTCTTAACTGCCCCAGACTGGCTGTGTGACTTGCCCCAAGCTAGCTGCATGACTTGCCACTGAACTCGGGAAAGCAGCTAATCACAGTGCCACTGAAGCTCACCCAGGATCCCAACTTGCTTTGCGACTCTTAGGTGGCTAGATTGGCGTGTTCATTCCCAAAGACCCTCCATTTTACAGATGGGGAAACTGAGGCCAGTACAGGGAAGTCCCCTGGTAATCTAAAGGCAAGGAGGGTGGCTGAGGATAACTGAGTGGGAATTAGTGGGCAAATTTTCACCAACAGGGGACCAAAAACAGCACCTGCCTTTAAAACCCTGCAAAGGCTCTCGGGAACATTTGTAAAGGTCCCATCAAGAAGAAAGGACAAAATTATCACTAGCAACTCTACAGTCTGCTGAGGACTACTTAAACCTTATACTTCATAACTACACAGAAAATACAGGACATCGTTTTGTTCGGTAATTATCTTTAGGCTTAAAAAAAAAAGAGAGAGAAGGGGCTGGAGAGATGGCTCAGTGGTTAAGAGCACTGGCTGCTCTTCCAAAAGACCCTGGTTCAATTCCCAGCACCTACATGGCAGCTCACAACTGTCTGTAACTCAAATTCCAGGGGGGCCAGAACCCTCACACAGACACACATGCAAGCAAAACACCAATGCATGTAAAATAAAAATAAATAATTTAAGAGAGAGAGAGAGAGAGAGAGAGACAACACCCCAACCTGCATCTGCTCCAGGAGCCCAGTCAAGGTCTGCAGCCAGGTCATAGTCTGAATGTACTGCTCCGTGTTCATGATTCTGAGCTCGGACCGCAGCTCGGGGATGATCGCTCCAGTGCGCCAGCCATGCTTCAGCGTCAGATCCTGATCACAAAGACCACGGGATGCCAACATCAGTCCCCTCGGAACTCAACAGTGTGTTACCTCTCCCAGACAAGGGAGGTATTCGCTCAATAACTCTCTAATTGTAATGGTTAGTTATTAACCAAGTTGAAAGCGATGAATTACACTTAATTAAAACCAATTTGGCCCCAGGCTTTGCCCAGTTCACCCGGAGAAAGTTTCTGTTCTGGAAATAATGGCTGTGATTCACAGCTGCTTCAGAGATTGGGGGGCAAGTTGGGGTGGTGGTGGTATGGAACCACTAACCATGGTCTGTGAAAAAAAAAAAGCCACAGTCTGTGAGGTCAGGGACAGGGAAAGACTCAACCGAAATGCTCTAAATGGTCCTCACATGCTGAGTGAGGTGCCCCTGGAGTCCTAGCATCCCACTGTCCAGCACTAGATTTCCAGGACAGCTTGAGCTACACACATGCGATGCAGTCTCAGAAACACAAGGACCGGAATGGAGATCCGTGGTCTCGCACTTGCCTGGCATGCACGAGGCTGGGGGTCAATTTCCAGCACTCCGCATGTGCAGGGAGTGTCCCACTCAACACTGCAGTGCTTGCCAGACCTCTGGGGGACATTACCATCCACCAGGCCCTCTGGGCTACAGGGAACCACAGGACCTCAAGCCTAAAGTGGTCAGATAATGTGAGCACACTTGAATGCATTTTTATTCCACATGTCTCAACCCCTTGAGTTCACAGTAGGCCAAGGTATCAGTTTTGTTATATATATAAAAAAAAAAAAAGCTATCTTTCCACAACTCCCATCTTTCCTGTTTTGTGTAAGTGAGCCATTCAAAATTGTGACCCCCTCCTAGTTTCTAAGGAAAGCATAAAGATGATGTCACAAGAAAGAGAACCCCCTACTCAGTGAAAGAACATGGTCATCCCCACTGAGGGAAGCAGGCTCCTCACCGCCAGGTCACTGTATATGTGGTCACCAAAATACAGCACTTTGGAGCCTCTCCATCCTGTGAGCTTCAAAAATTCATACAGATTGCCCTACAATAAAAGAGGAACATAGATCATGTCGGAAACCCAGTAGCCCATAGTCTACAATACCTATGCTTCAAAACTTACAAAAATTGTTTTTAACTCTTATGACTTATTTTAAACATCAACATACAAAGCTAAAACCACATGTATTCTGAAAAAATTTCATAGTCAGGCATGATGGTGCACGACTTTAATCCCAGCACTCAGGAGGCAGAGTTAGGGGGAATCTCTGTGAGTTTGAGGCCAGCCTAGCCAACACATTCCAGGCTAGCTAGGGCTACACTGTGAGACTGTCTCCAACAACATTTCAGATTACATAAGCCAATTGCTGAGACCATCATTCCCTATAAATGAATTCTAATTTTATTGTAATTACCACAGTTGATTCCCTCCATAAATGCCATGATCATTCACAACCTCACCTACTCTGAAAACATTCTTACAGCGAGTTTTATTAGCCACATCTAAATCTTCTAAGTTGTTAGAAGTAAATGCCTGAATTCAAACTAATTTTTCAAGGCCTAGAGAACACATTCAATGTTAAATCTAGCAGGCTATTACAAACCCACCAAGAATGTTCTAGAAAGAAAACAACTCCAGTGACGTAAAAATGATCAACATGGCCCAATCTCCTGACAGCCTTATATGATGATGCCAACATGTTTAAAACTGCACATGTAAATAATAATAAAAAAATTTTTAAAAAATGTGTCTCAGCAGGAAATACATTGGATGAATAATAGACCAAGATTAATGCTCCTCAAAGAGAAATCTCCAAGGTTTACTACTGACACTTTACATTTTATAGAGGGTAATGCTTTAAATGTTATTTTTAAAAACAGTCAACTTTGAGTTAATGTAAATAAATACCAGCAGACTGCAAAGACATTGACTCTGGCCTAAGTTTTACCATCTAATTATACGCAGTCGTCAAGGATGGACCGTGCCCAGCGCCTGGACAGTCTCAGTACCCACAGCCCTGCCAGTGTTGATGGCAGAGCAGAGCGGCAGGAAGGACGGGGAAGCACAGATACCTGCTTGTAGATCTGGCCTTTCTGAAGCTTGTGGATTTTATCCCAGAGTAAGACACCTTTCTCGTTCACCTTCCGGAAAGGTCTAACAACAGAAAGGGGAACATTACTAGAACACGTGGTAAAAGGAAAGGCTGTCCGCTCCACAAACTACCAAACGGGGACTCACTGAGAACGTGAAGTAGCTCTTGAACCCCAAACCTCACTGCATCCCCTGGCCCAGGGCGCTTCGTTCCGCACTATGCAGACCCCACCACAGACCCACCACCCACGGGTAGGTAATGAAGAATAAGGAAGAAAAAATAAATAAAAACAGAATCCTAGGGTCGACCACCCTTGGCATACACAAGCCCTTTAGTCGGGTTTCCCCAGGGCACTTGGCAGGGCAGAGAGCATCTCCTTCTCGAGGGAAGCCTGCAGGACACTGCTGCCACCCTGGGTCAGATGCCAGGTGGAGGGCAGGGGCACTAGCTATGACGGGACTGGGAGTGGAGCTGGCCCCATCCCTCACCCCGAGGGCACAGCCCGTGGGACTCACGGCGCCTTTTTGGGTAATTGCTTCTCCAGTCACAAAAATAGAAAGTCCCTGTAGGTATCAAAACCCACTTCCCTTTTCTGAGGAACGTGAAGATCTTTGTACACTTTTATTTATATCTCTTTTCTTTCAATCTTGTCAGAAGTCTCTCCCTGTGATGTCATATTCCTAAGCACATCAGCAGTGAGACAGGCTGGCTGCTTTGACTCGCCAAATTCGTCATCTTTAGTGGCTGCTTAACATTTCCTCACATGGATATGCTGAATTAACTGAGTCAGCCTCAACTGTTGGGGTTTTTATAAATAACAGGAAGAATGGGAATGTCTCCGCTATTATTGCAGACATCCAGAACCACGGAGGGGGAGGTGCTGTGCTGAGAGTTCCTCCCAGGAAGAGCCGGGGCTCTGACCCCTCACTGTGGACAAACAAGTCAGAAAAACCTGGGTGAAGGGAGCCCCAGCTTTCACAGGAATCTAAGAACTGCGTGAGGTCTCTAGAAGCAACATGGTGAGCATGGAGCTTTCGATTACACTCTGGCCTGCATCCTCATTCTCTATGCTTGGTTTGGGGGCTGGCCTCTTCTTCCAGGAGCCAGTGTGTTCCTAGGACACCGGAACTTAGCATCCCCAAAGGAATGTACACATGCTGCACTAACTTCAGATACTACCTTTGGATCCTTGGAACTACCACAGAGGAAAGGCTGCTGCTCACCAGCTAAGGACCAGGAAGGTCCCAGAAAACTAAGCCATTAGACAGAAGCTATTCTTAGAACGCTATCGTAAAAATCCTCAACAATGTGGGTCTCTAGGAGTGGGGGCCACCTAGTCTGTCCCCAGGTTAAAAGACATTTTTATCACTCTTGTACTGACCCCAACTTTCCCTCTTCTCCTCCCAAAGCTCCGGAGGCAGGAGGACATTACATAAGACATGGCTGAGACTTGCACTGGATGGCAGAGAATTCTGCAAAATCCAGCTGCAATTTTAAATGCACCAATTAGCTTTATTTCAAGAGATGCCACCAGGCAACCTGGCGTCAGTGGGGCTCTCTCATACTGCACAAGGCATCTGGAGCCACAGACCTTCTTTGCTGTGTGGTATTAATCCTTGTTTTCCATCACAGTCTATCAGTTTCTTAAAGCCTGACTCACGTGACCACAGCAACACACTCTGACCTGAGAATGCTCTCTATGTGCCCATCCCACTGTTACAAAGCTAAATGTTAGACGGTTACAAAGCTGTGTCCCAGATGCCTATGATTTTGTGACTGGATTTCACTAACGCATGCTCTCTCTGTACTCACAAAATACAATCAAGTCCCCAGCAGACGGGCCTCACCTCCGCTTATCATTGAAGAAGTTCGGCTTCTCGGCCTGAACTATGACCACATCAAACAGGTCCCGCCAGTCCTTCCCCACGATATACCGCATCCCTTTGTCTCTGGAACAAGGCAGCCAGGTGAGCTGACACCAAAGGGACAAACTTTTTACATTTCTTTCCAGCTGCTAAGACGAATGGCATTTGTACCATGAGCCAGCTGCGGGCGAAGGGACGGAACTTACACGAAGCTGCTGGGGCTGTTGGTGATGAGGAACATCTTCTTGCCGTGGGCGGCCAGCTTAGCCAGCACCGCACGGGTCTGCTCGGCATAACAGATGTACTTCTCTAAGAATGAGAGAAAAGTTCACATGGTCAGAATGAAATAAGGCACTTACGAGGTGGGCACCAGGGCTAAGCAGTGTCCTAGGCACAGTGGGGAAACTCAGGTCCAAGGAAGATTGGTTAGGGGAAGCATCTGAGTGTCCAGTGTATGGTAAACGTGCCCCCCAACAAAACACACACATGCACACATACACAACAGAGGACAGTGTGATGCAGCGGCCATCGCCTCTTAACATTAGGCTGACAGACACCAAGTTCTAGAACTTGGAGAATGTGGAGGAGACACCTTCACTGCCAGGATCAGGGTCCTTAAAAAAAACCCAGGAGACACCTGTGGGCCCTGTTCAGCCCCTGGGGTGTGATGTCTAAATGCCCACACAGCAGTAGAGCAAATGTTGCTGAGTACGTACCAATATCCGCTTCAATTGCTCGGTACATTATTCCTTTGATGTGGACATCCCTTATGGAGTCCTGTCAAAAGGGAGATTTGTCATCAGTGAAAAGGGAGCTGGAGTTAGTCCCGGTGAATAGCATCGGTGCTCACTTCTGTCTTAGGAGCCTGCCGACCCAAGCGCCACACATCTTAACACTAGCCCCATTGAGCCCAGGTTGCACTTTAGGAAAAGCTTGCGTTTCCACGGTGACAGAGACTGTGGCCAGTGCAATTTCCAAAGGCCTCGTTTTAAAAAGGTCACTTGAGCATTTCTGAACGAAGTCCCCCATGACAAACAGTAGTTTACATGCAGGATGGTGACCACAGACAGCAGCCAGCCTGCAGGAAGGGCTCCCTGTTCGAATCTTTGTGTCCTTCCTTCCCGTCTCTAGATGCCAAGAGTTCCGTAAGGCAAGAGGCAAAGGCAGAGGGACAAGAAAGACACCTCCTCTCTGGATGCCACCAATAGGGCAAGAAACTGCCCAAGCCATTGTCACCAGCAGTAACAGGTCCAACTGGCAAATGCAAGAGAGGAAGACAGAAAGTCCACTGCAGGCTCAGGGCTGTGCCAGCACGACCCTGCTAGCTCTCGCTGCAGAGTTCCGCTGCCGGGGTGGGGGACTGGGCAGCAGGCCCCTTGTAGACTCTTGAAGGGCCAAGGGAACTTTCTGGTACCAGGAACAGGGCTGTACGTCTTACACTGTTGGTGGACTTCTTGCCCACCAGAGTGGGTCACTCTGGACTAGAATCTTAATCTCAATTACCTTCAGCATGAGCCTGTTCTAATGTCACACGACACAGAAAGCAATGGTTAAATGCAAGCCAACCTGCCCGGATTGAAAATCTAGGCTCTGCTACCTACTAGCTGGGTGGCCTTGGGCAAGACACTCAAGCTCTCTGTACCTCGCTGTCTTTCAATGGAGTGATGATAACAGCAGTACTTGCCTCCAGGCACCAATGCAGAGATTTGATGAGCCAATCTGGAACGCTCAAAGCAGAGCCTAGAACATTATAAAATCTACACAAGTGCTTGCTGTCGGTGGTAAAAGTCAACTATGGTGGTATTTTATTTGTGCTGAAATGTGATTTTATTTGTATTTTAATAAATAAAGTGGCCTGGGGATCAGAGCTGAGAGCAAGCCATTTAGCAGAAATCCCAGTGGTGGTGGCACACGCCCTTAATCCGGTCACATGGCAGGCAGAATCTCTGTGTGTTCGAGGGCACAGCCAAGCGGTGACCCGAACCTCTAATCTCAGTACGAACCATAGAGACCTGGAGGTCTATATAGACAGGAGGTGATGAGGAAGTCATGTGGTTGGGTTTAGAACCAATGAGAAGACAGAACAGAAAGTCAATAAAAAGACAGGACACAGGAAGAAGGTCTCTCTCAGGGGAAAGACGGCAGCTGGTGATAAGATAAGGTGGTCTTAGCTCTTGGCTACTGCTCGATCTCTGGGCTTTTAACTCTTTTATTTGGCTCTGTGTTTCTTATTTAATAAGACCATTTAGAATTACATCTACAGTCAACCTTCACATGAACATTTCTCCTCTGTTACAAATGAGTCTTAAATATAGCATGTCTGAATGCACAAAAGGAGAATTAAAAACTAAACATTTAAACAGCCCGATTCTTATCAAAGTGATGCTGAGAATCTACAATGCATCCTTCAACTCTAAAACTCAGAAATCAAGACAATCAAAATTTTACTTTGGATGTGGGAACTACAAAGATGGCTCATTGGGTTAAGAGCACTGGTTGCTCCCCCAGGGGGACTGGGTTTAATTCCTAACACCCATGTCGTGACTCACAACAGACTAGGATACCAGGCACAGACATACATGCAGACAAACTACCCATACACAGAAAAAAAAATTATATATATATTATAGTGTGTGTGTGTGTGTGTGTGTGTGTGTGTGTGTGTGTGTGTGTGATTTATTATTTATTTATTTTTAAAGCTAGGCATGATAGCATATGCCTTTAATCCTGGCACTAAGGGAGGCAAACACTAAGCAGGTCTCTGTGAGTTCAAAGCCAGCCTGATCTACATAACAAATTCCAGGACAGCCAGGGCTACATAGAGAGAGAGACCCTGTTTAAAAAAAAAAAAAAAAATTTACACTGGCCCTGAGCATACAATAAAAGTATTGTGGTATAGAAACATAGATCTTTAAAAATATAAGAATTTTAATTATTTTCTCCAATGGAGTCTCACTGGGTGTATAATCCACACTCAAGGACAGGCCCCATGCCCAGCAGAGATGACCAACACCAAGTGAATGCAATGGTATTGTTGTAGACTTCTTGTCTCACATTGCTTTGTTTGGGCGCTTTTTTTTTTGTGTGTGTGTGTCTTACTGGTTTTTTGCTTGTAAATTATGGTTTCTGATCTGTGTTTATATGGATTTCAGTTGTGTGCATGTGTTTCTTGTATTTTTTTCTTTGTTTTTATTTTTTATTTTGTTTTGTTGTTGTTGTTACTGTTTGTCTCTAAAGAGAGCCAGAAAAAGAGGAGCTGGGGGAGTGGAGGAGGAGAGAGGATCTGGAGGACTTGGGGAGTGGAGGAGGAGGAAGAATCTGGAGGACTTGGGGAGTGGAGAGGAGGGAGGATCTGGAGGAGTTGGGGAGTGGAGGAGGAGGGAGGATCTAGAGGACTTGGGGAGTGGAGAGGAGGGAGGATCTGGGGGGACTTGGGCAGTGGGGAAGAGGGGGGATCTGGAGGAGCTGGGGAGTGGAGGAGGAGAGAGGTTCTGGTGGAGTTGGAGAGGAAGGGGGAAGGAGGATCTGGAGGAGTTGGGGAGTGGGGAGGAGGGAGGATCTGGGGGGAGTTGGGGAGTGGGAAACCATGATCAGAATATAGTATGTGAAAAAAAATTTTCCATTAAAAGAAAATAGTGGTACAAGCCTATAATCCCAGCAGTCAGCATGCAGAGGCAAGCAGATCTCTGTGGGCTCAAGATCAGCATGGCCTACATAGCAAGTTCCAGGCCAGCCAGGGTTATATAGTGAGATCCTGTCTCCAAAAACAAACAAACAAATAAACAAATGAATGAATGAATGAATGAATGTGGCCATAAGAACACAAGATAGATATATTATACATAAATATGTGACTATGAACACAAACTAAAATACACAAACTTATAAAAAGTGTACATATGCATCTAAGTGTTTGCATCTGTCTGTAGCTCTCCAGTGGGATTCTGACATGGCTTCTGCAGGCCTCAGTGAGCCATGGATATAATGAATAGATGGATATGAGGAATAGATGCCCTATTCACCAAACTCACCCTCACCCCTGGGCATCTTCATGGGGCATAGTGTACAACAAAGCACACTGTATCCCATAAACGTGTGCAATAATGATCTGGCATTTGAAAAGCAAGTATTTAAGAAGGGCTCCCTCTCACTGCTGGAAGCATGGGGCATGGACAGTGGCTTCTCCTGTGTGAAGAGGAGTACCCTCCTCCTGGGCAGGCTCAGGGTAAGACAGTACGCAGGACTGTCAGAGGATTAGAAGTCTAGGTCACAGCGGGCACCATCTGTGATAGAGCACACTGCCCTGGTTATTCTGAGACAGCAGTGTCCCTTTATGACTTCCACAGTCAGTCACAGAGACCGGTGACCCCAGAGAAGGACTACTTGACCCCCCACCCTGGACACAGCTGGGAAGACACAGAGCCACAGCCTGAACTCGCCCTGGCCTCTGCCCTCACCTTGACATCTTTGTACAGGTGCACCGGCTCATAGTCAATGTTGTTCTTTAGGAAGTGCTCATTCACACAGGACAGCAGGGTCATCTCAGGCAGGGAGAAGATGTCCATGAACTGTTTCATGGTGTTCCCGTGAGAACTCTGCGAACGGAAGGCAGGCTTAGCAATACACACCCCATCTCACAAGGAGACAAGCAGCAAGAGGCTGCCGGGAAGCCAGGGGGCTCCAGGAATCCACACTTGGCTCCCTCTGGGCACAGGGACCTTCAACAGTGAGAAAGTAACGTGCTCCCTTGTTCCTGGGCCTCAGCAGGAGCGATTCTTACCAGGTCTGCGTGCCTGAGAGCTGGACTCCTTCCCTCCTTCCTTCCCTTCTACTCTCCCTTCCCTCCCCTCCCACCTTCCCACGCGAACATCACTCCCCACTCCCTCTCAGGAGGTCAGGGTGAGAAAAGCCAGGGTCATGCCCAGCAACGGCAGCTGAGCAGACCTCGGTCTCAGAATGCTTCTGCCCGTCTTAGGACAGCTGCAGCGGCTCCTCTGCAACCCCTCGGGACTCAGAAAAAGAAGTGGAGCCACACCTGCAGGGCTGTGGTGACAAATGGGGTGACTGAGAAGATGGAAAGGGCCTCTGTCAGAGGGAGAAAATCATCAAGAGCCAACAGGGACTCCCTCTCTGATCTACACTCTCTCCAGACCCGATCTCGGGTCCCATCAATCACACCGATCTCAGGGTCCCATCAATCACACACACGGTAGGCGAGACCAATAGTTAAGTCTCTTTAGATACAAGTGCCCCAGCCCCAAAATGCATGTGCTCAAGGCTTGGCTCTTACCAGCCATTAGATCACAGGCTGCTAACTTCATCAGTAGCTTAATCTCTTGACTAACTCAGTTGACTATTAAGAAGTAGGGCCCAGCTGTAGGAAGCGGATGTATCTCAGCCCCCCAAACCCTTGCCTTTCTCCCTCTCTCTGCTTCCCCCACCCCCCCTTCTTAATGATGCCCTGCCTCACTATAGACCCAGAAGCATCACAGCCATGACCTCTGAAACCAGACGCTAAGTCCCTCCTCCCTAAGATGTTTTCCCAGCCACTAAACTGCCAATCAAAGGAGAAAGGCGGCTTCTTCTGATGACCCAGTGGTCCGCCTTACCTTTCCATAAAAGTCACTCATCTGCTCCAAGGGCACGTGGGATCCCTCGTACATGTCGATGACTTCTTCATCGGGGACAACACTGAGGCCTCTGAAAAAAATACAGATGGTGTTGTCGCAGTCCTCAACTAGAGAGGGTGACTTCTGACTTCTCTCCACTGATGGAGTTTTTCCACTCCGGCAGGAGACCTGTTGGAGGCCAAGAATGACATAGCAGCAGCTCCAGCCAGTGGGCAGGAAGTTCTGTGAGGCCTCTGTCAGTAACAAGAACCAGATTTACAACAATAACTAATCCTACATGACATCTCCAACGTGCCGAGCAGGATTTCACCTGGGCATCCAGCTACTTGTCAGCTGTCCTAGGAGTCACTGTTCCTCCCACAGGAATGATCACGTGCCTTCCTCAAAGTTAACAAGGTAGAAAGCATTGTGTCAGGGTTTTAAATCCAGGCTCTCCAAGGCTCTCAACCCACTGCGATGCAAGGCTTCCCAAGGACTTGCTTCCAGTGGAGAGTTTCACACATTTGAGCAGAGAAAATGTTTCTGTTTCTAACTCATTCCTTTTCCTTTGTTACCATCTCCCACATTGAGAGCTGAGGTGGAAAAGTCACGCCCTATGGCAGGAAGCTCCACAAGAGAGGGAGGGGTTCCATGTGACACTGAGAGCCAGCTTCCTTCTGCGCACACCTCCATCTGCCGGCCCCTGGAACTTGCAAATTAATCCAGTTCCTGCACATCCAGGGGAAAGGTGAGCAGCTGTCACATGCTCATCTGAGTTGTCCATCCCAGAGGGCTGCTCTTCTCCCCTTCTCCAGGGGTGAGCATTTGAGAATCACAACCAGCAAGTAGGAAACTGCAGAGGGCCCCGCTGCCTTCCACAGGGGGCAAGTCAGTCCGCAGAAGTTCAAGCCAATCCGTGGAAGTTCCAGCAGGCTGATTAGGTACCAAGCTGCCTGACAGTAAGAGGCACACACAATGTAGCTGGTGCTTGGGCCTGTGATGTCTTCCAGCCTCCACTCCCCACACTAGGTTTAGAAGCACCACGTGCATTCGCTGACATTTTGCCTGACTAACCTGTTCCAATTCCTGGCCTTTGAGAACAAAAAACACCACTGTGCTCCAGCAATCAGATAAGACCTTGTAACAAACCACATCATTCTAGACTGACCTTGGAGAACAGCTCTTGCAAAGCAGCCATCTACAGAACCATACAAGGAAAGAAAGCAAGCAAAATCATGAGGGGCTCTGATGAGGTGAGGATCGGTCATACATACACACACAGACACACAGAGACACAGAGACACACACACACACACACACATACACACAGAGACACACACACACAAACACAAGCACACATCATACACACACACAGACAGGCACACACACACACAGGAGAGACACACAAACACACACACATACACACACAGACACACAAACACACACACCATACACACACATACACACAAAGACACACACAGAGAGACACACATACACATATAGACACACACAGAGAGACACACAAACACACACACACACAGACAGGCACACACACACAGGAGAGACACACAAACACACACACATACACACACACAAACACACACACACCATACACACACATACACAGACAGGCACACACACAGGAGAGACACGCAAACACACACACACGCCCCAGGCCTGGCCTTGCCCTTCAGAAGCCACTGCTGTGGCTGAAACCCAAGCCCAAGGGCCTAACCTGCAGCAGCTCTGGGACCTGCTGCGTTCTCCCCTCCATTCCTTCTCACCTGGTTCTGGGGGACAACGGCACTTTTGCCTGCCTGTGCTGCTACATGCCAAATGCACCTCCACTTCACAGCCACAGCACAGAGCAGGCTCTGGAGCTGCCCCTTTTACAGAGAAACCAAGGCTTCCAGAGCACCAAGAACTTGCTGAGACCCAGGATGTGGAGGCAGCAGGGCTGGGGTTCACCTGGGGCAGTCGGTAAGACCCCCAGACAGGCACACAACACTGCACTGGGAACTCCCTCTGCTCTGGTGACAGAGTTTGCGAGGACTCACAGCTGACTGTCCTTTCTCCTTAAACACGCCATCCGGCTCCTCCTGCTGAGTCCCAACCCGGCCCTTACACCTCCTGTGTGGCTTCTCACAAACCCAAGCTCCTGAAGGCATCCCTACAGCCAAACCCTCAGCGCTAGCAGGACTCAGAGTGAGTGAAGGAACGGTGATCCACACCCAGCCACTTCCCTCATCCTTGGTCAGTTAGCTGGGCCTGAAAGGCGACACCTCTGGGTTCCACCTGTGAGCAAGATGACACTTTCTCTTACCTGTAGACGGTTCCCATCTGGATGTAATGAAAAGCATCGATCTTCATCAATATTGCCTTTAAAAACATAAACATGTGCATACACGTGAATAACAATTGGCATACAAAAATGAACAATGCAAGGGCTGTTATAAATCCTATTGATATTATGTTTCCCTAACACAGTGGTTCTCAACCTTCCTAATGTTGTGACCCCTTAACACAGTTCCTCATGTTGTGGTGACCCCCAACCATAACATTATTTTCATTGCTACTTCATCACTGTGATTTTGCTCCTGTTATGAACTGTAATATAAATATCTGTGTTTTCCCATGGTCTTAGGCCAACTCTGTGAAAGGGTCGTTCAACCCCCCCCCCCCAAAGGGGGTCACGGCCCACAGGTTGAGAACCACTGCATGCACAGTTTCCCAAAAAGCCTTGCTTATTAAGTGAGGTGCCTTTTAAGGAAATGGCATATGAGCAAAAGAAAAAGGAAGGAAAGTGTGGCAGCTGGCTCCTCCCATACCCGCATGACTACCAGCATTAACTGGCACTCCCAAACAGCGCCTGGGATGCACGCCTTCCTAATGCCCCCCTCTTCAACTGGCTCTCCTTCACGCCCAACCATTTACCAGGGAAAGCACCAGTGGTTGTATGAATCAGCACTGTATTCCCAAACACCAAGAAACTACAGAAAAATAGAAGACCAAACTCACCCGCTGGACGTCGTAATGGAGTCCACGGATGGCGAAGTTCGGGTCATAGTCATACTTCCTGATCTCCACAGGATACTGAGAGAGAAGAGAGGACACCTGGCTGAGCTAAAGATGGAGGAACAGGACGGGCATGGGGGTGCACTCCTGGGATCGAAGCACTTAGGAAGCTGAGGCAGAGGGATCAGGAGTTCAAGGTTATTCTCCGCTACACACTGAATTCAAGGCTGAGTCCCTGTCTTTTAAAAAAAAAAAAAAAAAAAAAGGAAAGTTAAGGAGCGGCAGTAAGTTCGGGACGGGCACAGATCCGCCCTGTACAAAGGCTCGGGAGGCGTTACACTCTGGGGAGAAAGGGACGCCAATAGTGACAGACCACAACGTGGTCCTCTGCTTCTCCATCCTGCCCTGGGCCCAGGCTGAGGTTAGACCGCATCCCCTTGATCCCACTTCACACCTAACACCGTCATGTAGAGCTCTGCCATGGCCAACCTCAACTGTCAACCTATCACCATGGAAACGAACCTCTGGGCATGTCTGAGGAGCTTCCAGATTGGGTTAATGAGGAGCAAAGACCACCCTGGACATGGACAGCACCATCCCATAGCGCTGCATAAAGAGAGAAAGGGAACTGGGCACCAGCATTTCCTGCTGCTGCCTGACTACAGATGCGATGCGACCAGTCCTCCTGGTCCTGCTGCAAAGACTCCTCCACCATGATGGACTGTGCCCTCAGACTGTGAGCCAAAATTACCCCCCACCCCTCCTCTTTGTCAGCTACTCTGTCTCAGCTTCACACTGCCACGGCCAGGTTCCCTTGACATCCAGAGGAGCTCTGTGCAGGTGGGGCCTCCACACAACTGCCACCATTGTTACTGTTCTCACTGTGCTGGCTGGGGACCCACAGCTACTGTCCCAGGGAACTTTCTCAGCCTGGGGCTCCCATCCACTTCCGCTGTTGTGAGAACACGAGGAGCTTTTGGAGGCAGCCTGGTCTCTACTGTTTCCTAATTACACAGCCTTGCTCACATTACACAAAAATTTCAGTCCCTCCTCCATAGTGCATGAGATTCCAGGCACTTCCTTCCCTCAGACCCAGAACTGAGGGCACCCACCGGCCAGCTTCCGCTGCCTGGGGGTGCTGCCATGCCCATTTTACGGAAATAAAAGCTGGACCGGCATGAAGACCCCCAGTGAGCCTGCCAAGCCACACTGCTGCCGGCTTCCTGGAACCACCAGGCACCGCCTGCCTGAAGGCACATGGCAAGTTTTCAAGTCAGGCTGCACGGCGCACTGACTTGAATGTCACATTTGGGCTCATTTATCTTACACCCGGGTGTGTGCCAAGAAATCCCCAACCTGATATTTCTCTTCGTGGGTGTTCTCAAGACTTCTGAACACCATGTACAGTTCTGCATATTTATTGAGATACTTGCCAGTGCCCACACTAAACCAGCCATGGTGATGTGGTTCTGCTCACTGAATGAAGGCCAGAACTGCAGCGCCTGCCCCTGAAGCCTCCCCTAGTCTGGGGGTGGGGTCAGGAAGATGTGTTTGGAGTCATGAGCATCCCTCAGCTGTGCTGGCTAGCCTCACTGCCCAGCACGAGGGAGACAGCCCCTCCTGCCTGCTTATGGCTCAGAGTCTGTGGATCAGAGTCAAGGCACTTGTCCAGGGTCACAAAGCTGCACACTGGTTGAGCCAGCACTGGAACCTGGATCTGTGTCCACCCCTAGCCCACTTAACCCGTTCCGAATCAGCCCAGAACTCCCATCTTAGTTAGGGTTTCTCTTGCTACATAAAACACCATGACCAAAAGCTGCCAGGCAGTGGTGGCGCACGCCTTTAATCCCAGCACTCGGGAGGCAGAGGCAGGCGGATCTCTGTGAGTTCGAGGCCAGCCTGGTCTACAGAGCGAGATCCAGGAAAGGCGCAAAGCTACACAGAGAAACCCTGTCTCGAAAAAAAACAAAAAAAAAAACCACCATGACCAAAAGCCACTTGGAGAGGAAAGGGTTTATTCCAGCTTCTAACTCTCAGGTCATGCCCCACTGCTGAGAGAAGTCAGGGCAGGAACTGAAGCAGAGGCCATGAGGGATGCTGCTTACCTCGGAGCTTTGCTCAGCCTGTTTTGTTATAGCTCCCAGGACCACATGCCCAGAGGTAGAACCCAATCAATAAGCTGGGGCCTCCGGCACCACTCAGTAATTAAGAAAATGCCCTGCAGACTTGCCTACAGACAACCTGATAGAGACGTGTGCTCAACTGGGTTGCCTCTTCCCGGATAACTCCAGCTGTGTCGAGTTGACACAAAAACTAACCAGGGCAGTCCCTCTCCTGGAAGCTTGTGCTCCCCTGTGACAGCAGCAGCTACCAACTCAGAAGCTCAACAAGCTGGCTAGAAGTGTTTCCAACTGGTCAAAAGACAAGAGTCCGTGGCCTTGAGGACATACGGACACATCTGAGCCTCAATGAGGACAACGGCTTCAGGAAGAACATGAGCATCCTGATAAAGTCCAACGTGTCCCCTGTACAGAACAGCCCTGGCGACATTACTACCTCAGTTCACCGGAGGACTCGGGTGTCCTCCCCATGCATGGGTAATTCCCACAGCCCTGGAGCCAGGCTGTGTCCCACCGCAGTTCTCTGAATGGCTAATAATGTCTACAATGCAACCGAGTGTTTCAGAATGCCTGTAAAGGGTCTGGCTTTGCAAAGCTTCTAGTCTGGGATTTCACGGAGCCTGGATTATGAGTCTAGCCGAGAACAAAGCTCTTTCAAACCTCACAAAACAGGAAGCAAAGACCGTACAGCCTCTACAGCATGCTGGCCCCAAACAAAGCACGGTGCTCCCATCCACCCGCACAGTGCACGCACCTGGACAGCAAGCATTTGCTGAGCACGTACTTTGTGTCGAGTAACTGTGCCAGGGACAGAGGATACCACTGACCGTGTCTGTTCCAAGGAAGTCCACTCTACCCTGACAGCCATGCCACAAACAAGCAGACACTCATGGAGCACAATGCCTCGCAGTGACCCATGCTATAAAGAGGGCTCAGTGTGCGGGCCAGACAGCTGGCAGGAAACAGCGGCAAGCCCGGTGTAGTCTGGGGGCAAGCGAGGAAGGAGGCCGAAGGTAGGTAGCACCGTCAGGCCTATTAAAAACTCACTTTCGGGAGTGGAGAGACAGAGAGCTCTGACATGTATTTATCTTAAAATAAATAAAAGTTAAAAGGAAGGAAACTGGAGAGATGGGTCTGGTTCAGTCAGTTCCCAGCACCTACATCCAGTGACTCCGACCACCTACAGCTCCAGCTCCAGGGGAATCCAATGCCCTCTCTAGCCTCCCTGGACACCCACTCACGTGTGCAGAGACATGCAGATACATATAAAAAGATAAAGTATCTCTTTTAAAAAGACTCACTTGCTATCATGTGGAGAACAAACCTAGGGGCTGAGAGGAAGGTAGCTGGGACTCTCAGAGGTGACAACTGCTCGGAGGAGGGCAGTGGCTTCAGGAGAGAGAAGCAGCATGTGGGAGCCAGGGGGGCGGTGGTGGCGCACACCTTTAATCCCAGCACTCGGGAGGCAGAGGCAGGCGGACTCTGAGAGTTCGAGGCCAGCCTGGTCTACAGAGTGAGTTCCAGGACAGCCAGGGCTACACAGGGAAATCCTGTGTGTTTGTTTTTCGAGACAGGTTTCTCTGTGTAACAGTCCTGGTTGTCCTGGAACTCGCTCTGTAGACCAGGCTGGCCTCAAACTCACAAACATCCACTTTCCTCTGCCTCTCGAGTGCTGGGATTAAAGGCCTAGGCCACCTTGCTAGCGTGAGGACCTGAGTTTGCTCCCCAGAAACACGTAAAAAAGCCAGGTGTGAGGGGCTGGGGAGTTGCTCACCAGATAAAGGGCTTGTGTCTCACACATGAGGATCTGAGTTAGGATCCCAACACTCATGCAAAAGCCAGGCCTGGTGGCACACACGTTTGCAACCCCAGCTTTGTGGAGGGCAGGGACAGGTGGGTGCCGGGGACTCAAACTCCGCCAGCCTAGCTAAGCCCAGGCTCAGAGAGACCCAGTCTCAAAAACCACAGTAAAAAGTGATAAAGGGGGGCCGGGCGGTGGTGGCGCACGCCTTTAATCCCAGCACTCGGGAGGCAGAGGCAGGCGGATCTCTGTGAGTTCGAGGCCAGCCTGGTCTACAGCGCGAGATCCAGGAAAGGTGCAAAGCTACACAGAGAAACCCTGTCTCGAAAAACCAAAAAAAAAAAAAAAAAGTGATAAAGGAAGACACCAGCATTGACCTCTGACTTCTATACACGCGCACATGCATGTGCACATGCACACATATACCACATACACAGAATTTAAAAATAAGTAAAAATAAAATAACAAAAATAAAAGTCCAGACATGGTGGTGCATGCTTATACTCCCAATGCTAATGCTGGGGAGGCAGAGACAGGTGGGTCCTTGGGGCTCACTGTCCAGCCAACCTGGCCTAGTGGATGAACTCAAGACTAAAGAGAGACCCAGTCTCTAAAACAAGGCGAAAAGCCTGGGGATGCAGCTCACTAACAGAGTGCTCGCCTGAGCTCAATCCCAGCACCCATAAAACTAGGTGTGATGGCGCACACCTGTAACCCCAGCACTTGGGACACGGAGGCAAGAAGATCAGAAGTTCAATATCAAGGACTATTGGGGACCAGCCCCTCGACAGCCCTCTCCCAGGGTCTGTGGAAGAATCTACAACCAGCTGATAGTCTAATCTTTGACGATATTAAATGAATCTATGTACACAAAACCCTTCAGTTCATTCACTTTATTCTCTTGAGTCAGTTCTCTCTCTACACTGCTTCTATCCTGCTCTCTTACTCAGCTCCCTCCCCTCTAAGTTCTATCTTAATTCCTTCATCTTAGTTCTGCCCCATCTTGGTCTTTCTCATCTTGTTCTTACCCACCTAGTTCTTCCCCATCAGGCTCTTCCTCATCTTCCATCTTGTCCTTCTGGTTCTCCTCCAATCTAGTTCTCCCAAGTTTCTGAGGTTTACAGTTATACACCCATGCAATAGCATGCTGTGGTTAAGGCAAGGTCACCAGGCTTGAATCCTTACAGGGTCATCAGGCAGATAACAGTTTTTCTCAGGCAGTGACTGTCAGGCTTTCTTTTACAACCCAAAAGGGGAGTGGTTAAAAGAGGAGGTCAACTGAGCTAAAATCGGTTAATATATCAGAAAAAAGGGTATTTATGTGCTCAAACTACATTCCTAGAGGTGGTTAGGTAAAATGTTAGGAGTCTATAATGTTAGTATAAATTATTAGTTTATGTATTAGTATAAATTATTAAACTAGTCTATAATGTTAGTATAAATCATGAATGAAATAAAACTGCTTATATTTCTTTGGGGCTTTAACTGTCTCAGTACCTCGGCTGTGTCAGTTACTGGCAGGGTGGGGATCTCTAGACAGCTGTGTCTCAGCTTGATGTATCTGGTGTGCAGAAAACCCTTTTGTTCTAAGTTAAATGTCAAAAGGGAAGTTCTAGACTGAGCTTAATTTGTACAAGAAACAAAGCTATGTACCTAATTTCCACCTGACCTAGGCAGTGTCTCCGTATGGCTATTTACCTTAATTCAGGAGATCAGCAGATGGTCTCAAATGCTTATTCTGTCTGCTGTTTTGGCCTTGGATGCTTGAGAAGTATTTCAGATAAAATCCATTGTTAGAAATGATTGGGGAAGTTATGAGAGCACACATGAAATTCATAGCAGGAAACAGCTGATATATTAAAAGGCACACCAAATACCCCTTGAGATTTGGCTTTTCCTCCAGAAGAATTCCTTGATTCTTCCAGGTACAGCTTTACCATATACAGCTGAATTTCTACTTCATATTCCTGTGGCTCCTGGCAGTTCAAGGCCACACAGCAAGTCTGAGGCCGGGTGGTGACCCATGGTGGTTTGAATGAGAATGCCCCTTACAGGCTCATATGTCTGAATGCTCGGTTCTCAGTTGGTGGAACTGTTTGGGAAGGATCAGGAAGTGTAGCTTTGTTGGAAGAGGTGTGTCACTGGGGTTGGCCTTTGAGGTTTCAAAAGCCCATGCCAGGCCCAGTGTGTCAGTGTGTGTGTGTGTGTGTGTGTGTATGTGTGTGTGTGTCCGTCCATCTGTCTGTCCATCCCTCCGTCCGTCCCTCTGTCCCTCCGTCTGCCCGTCCGCCTACAGATCAGAATGTAAAGCTCCCAGCCACTGCTCCAGCACCATGCCTGTCTGCTTCCTGACATGATGATAATGTACTAAACCTCTGAAACTATAAGCAAGGCCCCCAATTAAATGCTTCCTTTTATAACAGTCACCTTGATCATGATGGTGACTCTTCACAGCAAAAGAACAATGACTAAGATAACCCCTGTCTCAAAATATAAAAATAATATGGACAGCATTCCAGAGAACAACTCAGGCTATCTCTCAGTGTGCATGTGCATGCATGCACATGAGCATGCTTGCACACACACATGCACACAAAGGAAGACATTGACAAAGATGTGAAACTGGATGATGACAAGAGCTCTTCTAATGTCCCCACTGCTCATTAGTAGATGCAGGAAATGAAAGCACTGGGTTATTACGCAATTTTTTTTATTTCTATCTTTATGAAAAATTATTCTTGCTTAAAAAAAGTAAAAAGGTATTTTTTAAGGAGCTGAACATTTTATATTTGCTTTCTGAAAGGAGGTTAAATTTCAAACTGACTGTTCTATCACTGTGCATCCCAAACGCAGATGCCTTTCCAGCTCACAAGGTTTTGGCAGGAAGAACGGCACAAAACTAACCAAAACCTCTTGAAAGAAGTGCTTGTGTGATCAGAGCAAGAGGAAAAACCGCATCTGCATCCCTGCCTCTATTAATATGCCTGATACAATTAGTATTATAATGATTCTGTTATCAAAGCAACAAATAGATACAAGGAGATTTCAGTGATCTCCAGCGTAGTGGCTTGTCAATCATGATTCCACCTTCTACTTTATCCACTGGCTCACTCTTCTCTGCTCCCAGATTTCATAAAAGTTTTATGCTCATAAGTTACGGTTTTCATAGATCTTTTAATTTTCATGTCAACAACAACAAAACCCCAGGGCAGAAGAAATGCATTAAAGCTCTGAAGGGCGACAGGGAGTGGTGGAGACGAAGTCTCTACCCAGACAGACCCGAGAGCAGATCTGACTGTGCTTCCTGCTGCCTGTGGTCTCTTAAGCAGAGCGCAGAAGCAGGCGGGCTGTGTAGATGAGAAACAATGGCACTGGTACTAGTTCTCGCTGGGCGTCTTCTAGACACCACATGTCTGTAACACAGCAACTCACATAATGACCACAACACCCCGAGGGAGACGCTGTTCTTAAACCTGTTTTCCAGAGACACATGGATGAGTGGATTTGGGCCACAAAGGAAGCTACCCAAGCCATCAGCTGGGGAATACACACTTTCAGCACTCAGCCAGAAGTCGGGTACGGAACAGACAGGAAACTAGGACAGGACCATGCGTGCCAAGGGACACACGCTCAGAGCACACTGCAGCCGGCCAGCACAAAGTCAGCAGCCGTCCAGAACCATCTCCGAGTGCCTGCTAAAGGACAGTGCAGGTGGGCAGCGAAGGCAGAGCCACCTGGTTACTCAGGGCCTGTTCCCCTTAAGTAGCACAAATGAAGAAACGTGGCTGACAAAAAGTGTTAAAACAGAAGAAAGCTGATGCTCGGGCTTAGCAACAAGACAAAAGGGTATTTTTGCCAAACGCCACTCCCACATTATGGATCAGGACAACATAACTGCTTAAGTCCACTGAGAAATAAAAGCAGAAAATAAACTTCACCAAATGTTCAGGATCTAAGCTACTGGGAACTTTGGCCCCTCTGATCAAGTATCTAGTACCGGGGGATGGTTTCTCCACTATGATCACACCTCCCTTCCAGTCACATCTGAGAGTGGACAAACTGCAGATTTCACAACCTCGGTTTCCAGGTTACTCACCACATCCCAGCCACCTCTGCTGGCCAACCAGACTGAATTACACCCCTCTGCTGTTTCCCCCAACTCCCTGAAAAAGCTACTTTTCTATCTGATGTGCCTCCTCAGCCCTCTGCTTGGTGTCTCAGGAGTCTACCAGATGGCTTCACAACTGACCGTCCCAGTACCTGATTCCCTCCAGAACAATGTCCATGTCACCCCCTACGACCCTTCCTGCATTCACAGTAGGCTACGGCTCATAAAAGCCACAAATAAAGAAGAGGGAATGGATGAGCAGAAGAGCTCAACAGTGAACACCACCAAAGACAGAACGCTCCGCACACAGAGAGCTTCGGAACCAGAGCAAAGCCCTGGGGAGACGGGCTCTGGTTGGAGACAGAGACCACAGCCACATTTCTTGGGTAGTATAGGGCGTTTAAAGGGCATGCTTATAATTCCAGAACTAGAGGGCAGAGCTTGCCGACCATATAGTCTAGCTTAGTTGGTGAGCTCCCAGCCAATCAGAGACCCTGTCTTAACCGAGATGGACAAACACTCCTGATGATGACATGACACCCAAGGTCGTTCTCTGACTCCCGCCTGTACACGTACCTGCATCCATCCATGCGCCTGCACACACATGAGCACTCATGCATGCATGCACACACACACACACATGTGCATACATACATGCAACCAGGTTCTAGATAAGTAAGAGTCACCTGGAAAATTGGAACGGACCAAAAACTGCTCATTCACCCTGCAGGCACTTGCTACAGGGCTTCTGTACAAGTGCAGCGCCTGCCATGATTGCACAAGACTGTGTACTCTGCATACATCAAAGGGGTCAAGGGGAGAGAGGACAGAAAGGTCTCCGTGGCCTTACCCTGTGTTCATTGATGAGAAGGTCCCGAGCAGCGTTGAAGATGAGCGTGTGGAGATGTTTGGAGTAGAACACCAGGGTGTAATCATAATCAAAGCCGTATATCTCAATGTCCGACAGGCTCATCTCGTTGTTTGAGAAAATGGCATCTGGATTCAGCAAGTTGCTCATGATGGAAGGAACCAATTCTAGGAGCAAAGAAAAAAAGAATCCGTTATCCCATGGCATGGATATGGATTGAATGGCTTCTAAACTAAAGGAGCAGTTTACACATCTGTGTGAAGTTCAGAACAGGCAGGTCCAAGGCCAGGGATGCAGCTCGTAGGGAGAGTGCTTCAGAGAAGGAGAGAAGAAGGGGAGAAGGAGCAGGGGAAAGGTAGGTCCGTGGGGACAGAGAGCAGATTGGTGGCTGTGTCGGATGGGTGAGGAAGTGACTGCTACTCAATACAGAATCTCTTTCCAGGTGGTAAAAATATTCTCAGTTTGACTGTGTTGATGGCCATGGCAGAATGCCTTTTATGACTATACTAAAGTCCATGGGTGGGGATCCTGGGAGTCTTCATGTGAGCTCAAAGGTATCTACATGACATCTCAATGCAACTGTCCCTGAGAAAGAACATGTGCTCCAATGTCACAGAGACAGACCTTTTTTTTTTTTTTTAATGTATGCTGGTTACAGATTTTATAAGTATACATCGTGGAATTTAAGCACACCTCACTATCAGGAAGGAAGGAAGGAAGGAAGGAAGGAAGGAAGGAAGGAAGGAAGGAAGGAAGGAAGGAAGGAAGGAAGGGGGGAGGGAGGGAGGGAGGGAGGGAGGGAGGGAGGGAGAGAGGGAGGAAGGAAGCAAGCTAACATTCAATGTATTGGCTACCAATGCTTTTCCGTATATATCCTATAAGGCTGACCTTACTGTACACACAGGCCTGTACAGCAGTCTCTGTAGCTCCTATTCAACCACAAGTTCACATTACCGCAGACTCAGACTGCGACCTTACACATCTACATAAAACTTCGATATATGTATTGAATGTGTGTGCCATAACCAATATGTGGTGAGCAGAGGATCTATCAGAGGTGGGACCACCCCACCCACTGTGGGGGGTCCCAGTACACAAAAGCAGTTTTGCACTCTCTCTCCATTTGAAGGACTGCGATCACTTCACTTTTATTCTTTCTTAAAGGGATTCCACAAATTCTTTCTACCTTACAATGTTTGTGAGTTCAAACGAACCCTTACCACAGTCCGAGCTGCCAGATGAGGGCTGTGGCTTAGAGCAGAGTGCATGCTTGGCATGCACATGGCCATTTGATCCCCAGTACTGAAAAAATGATCTTAGGATGAAAGAGAGAATGCTCGTGACCTTACTTCTGCATTATGCTGGAATACTTTCCTATTTTTATCCCCCTAGAAAGTAATTCACCTTTAGCCATGGGTTACTACCACCTATGATTTTTAACAAGAGTGAATTCAGAAAGCAGGAGAGTGGCAGGCACTAGTGCCATGTGCCATGTCCACACCCAGCTTCCACCTCGCGACATTATTCTCAGATACCGTAGATTGTCTGAACGCGTCTGAAGACAGCATCCCGCAGCCATGTTGATAGCTTTCCCAGAACATAATGGAGAATTTGTGGGGTTTTTTTTTTCATTTCCTACCCCAAATGACAAAAAAAAAAGCCTCTCAAAGCTGTCAGATGTGCTGAGATGCTGCACACGATATATCTCTGTGGTCTAATGGACTGGAAAAATCAACTAACCCGTGAGATCTCGGGCTCCGGGGCTCCCTGGAGGGTCTTCAGGGGCATTTCAGATCAGACACTGAACAGTGTATCGTAAGACAGAAAGGAAATACTCATCGAGGCAGCCATTAACAGTCCCTGGAGAGCAGCCTCCTGTGCTGACCGTGGACAAACACAGACCGTCCTACACTAAAGGGACACGTGGTTGTATTCTTTTACCTTTTCCCACTTCCGGGATCAGACTCCGCAGGAACCAGCTCATAGGGCACCAAGTGCTGAGGCAGGGGCTTTCTGAAGCTAAGGGCAAAACCACCACACACTCTCACAAAATTCAACCTGTCTGGATTCTATGACTCAGGACCAGCACCAGCTCCATCAGAACAGCTGTCAACTCTGTGAAACAGTCTCACTGTGTCACCCAGCCTGGTCCCAGACCTCTGGGCTCAAGTGGTCTTCTAGCTATAGCCTCCCAAACAGCTGGAATCACAAGTGCACACCACTATGCTGCAGCTGGCAGCCAGCAGTTAATAAGTTAATAATTGTCATGTCCTGTATGCAGTCACAAAGACTTACCTCACTTAATCCTTTCAGCAAGCCCATGGAGTGCATACATACTGTTATCGCTATCTTACATGAGTTCAATCGAGGCACAGAGAAATCACATAATTTCCTGAAGGCCACACAACCACCCAAGAAGACTAGCATTTAACCTGAGAAATCTGGCTCCGGAATCTGTGTTTTAACTCCCTTCCCCCAAATCATGGGATCTGACTGCAATGGTGAACAGTGGACATTTTTCTAAATGATTTAGAAATGATTTTCTAAATCAACGGGAGGACCGGCAAGGTGGCTCAGCAGACAGGAACACTTGCCGAAAGCCCTGAAGACTTGCCTGTGATCCCTGGAACACGGCAGAAGGAGAGCGCCTACTCCTACAAGTTAGCTCTGACTCTGCAGGTGTGCTGTGGTATGCATGTGTGCATGCGCCTGCCACACCCAGCCAATCAATATTCTTAAAAACAAAAACATAAATACATCAAATGGAGTCCATCTATTATTTTTATTTCTATGAACAGCAGCACAGTAGTGGCCAAGGGGCCACCTGGGTAATCAAGAGGTGCTCCCCAGACCTAGTGATGGCTCCAGGCACATGACCAGACCCCCGCTAGGGGTAGAGTCCCAGCTACAGCCCTGGGAGCTAGATCCCAGATGGTAACCCTGGTACGTGGTCTTCCCACACCCACCAACTTCAAAACCACACTTCACACCCCGCAGTCTCCAGGCCGGCGATAGTGAATGCAGGAATGAGCACAATTGTGCTCACGCTGACACTTCACATGGGACTGAATCTGCACTACTCCCCACATTTTCATTAGCATCCCCCATTCAAAACAAGGCAATTGCCTTGGGTCTCAAGGTGACGGGGTGAGAGGTTCTTTCGGTCACCAATGTGGCACAGGTCTGAGGAGAGCAAATCAACCGACATTTGAAGAAAACAGGAGGCAGACGGTTCACCCAGGAGAACTCACCCGGGAGGGCAGAAGCCAAGCTCCTCCGTGTCTAATACCAGAGATGCCCGCTATGTGACCGGGGCTGCTGTGGGTGATGCTATTTTCTGAGTGTGACAGGATCATCCAGATGACGTAGGTGAGGCAGGCTTGCTTATGAAGGAATCAAAAGCTCCTCTTTCACAAGTGACCTTTGTGTGGGGAGCTCCAACAGTCTGCTTTCATTCAGGCTTATATTTACAAAAAGCCTGGCAAGGAAGCCTGTTTCACTACCGGACACGGTGTCACCGTGCACGGGAAAACCCCCACAAGTCAGCGCGAGAGAGCTGCCCAAGGCTCCCCAGGGCTGGATCCCACCTAAGTGTCACCGCCTCAACACCTGGCTGGGTCACACGTTCTCATGAACACAGGCACAAGGGGAAGCGTCAGAAGCCTAATAATGTCACCAAAAATGTGATGTCACGAATACAATGCCCCTCTCCTAGTCATGGAACTAACTCTGCAAAAGTGAAAACAGAAGCAGCGTGGTGGTGGCGCACGCCTTTAATCCCAGCACTCGGGAGGCAGAGGCAGGTAGATCTTTGTGAGTTCGAGGCCAGCCTGGTCTACAGAGCAAATTCCAGGACAGTTACACAGAGAATCCTGTCTCGAAAAACCTAAACCAAAAAACAACAAACAAAGCAAGCAGGAACAGGGGCGGGTGCAGATTAGAAAGCGAACCCCTTTTGCACACAAGAGAACAGCAACGTGTACAATTGGTGCTGGGAAGTGGAGAGGCGGCTCTGAAGCTGGCCATCAGAGCGCCACAAGCCACCACGAGCTGGAAGCTGTGTCCCCCAGCAGACAATGCGGGGTACTGGGAAGCCCCAGCACACTGGGTGGTCTCTGGTCCTAATCTGCTAATCAATTCCACAAAGCACTGGGGAACAGCCTTTGGCAATCCCAGCACTCAGGAAGCTGGGGTAAGTGTACCAAGGCGGGCCAGCCTGGGCTACACAGTGGCAGAAACCTGTCTCAAAAAAAAAAAAAAAAAAAAGTTGTAGGCATTCTGTTTTGATGTGGCCTTGTGGTTTCTTGCTGTATGATGATAAAATACACCTGTCACAAAATGTATCATCCTAATTATTTTTAAGTGTAATTCGGTGGCTTCAAGTACATTCTCTCCCCTGGGTTCCCACCACCACCATCCAGCTCCAGAGCTCTCTCTTGCAACACTGAAATGCCACACTCACTAGTAGCACCCCGCCCCCACCCCTGCAGCACACTCCGCCATGTCTCCCGGAGTCTGCCTGCTCTTCAGCATGTCTCAGAAGCAGGTCACTCAGCACCTGTCCTTCACATAACGTCCCAGGTCCATCCACGGTGAAGCACTCACCATTTCCTCCCCTCTCCTGACAGTGCCCAGAGGCTGGTCTCTTCTGCCAATGGGCCCCGGGAACCTGACTTAGGTCATGAGGCTCGGCAGCACACCTACCCGCCTTGACCGGCGAGCCGTCTCCGACCCTCTAGTATATACTTCTGACAAAGTCCTGCACTGTTATCTTAGCAGCTGCACCCTTCCTCTGAATCGCTTTTCTTAAGACCCCCTCAGAACATCATTCCTTGACTAAATTCTGTCTTTACTGCTGACAAGAAAAGAAAATGAACAAAAGCAAAATTTGGGTAGAGTTGGTTATCCTCCCTCTATTTATGCAACTATTTTAAACTGCATAAAGATCTGAGCTTGGGAAGCACAGCGGGTCAACCTTGTTTGTCCCCTTTATATTCAGAGACGCTAAATGACTCTCCATCAATAAAAAGCATTCAGTCGGGCAGGGCTGTCACCGTCACAGAGCAAATGTGGGGAGGGTGCCAAGTAGAAAGCCAGGGCCTGAGGTGCATCAAGGGATTTCCTCACATATTCAAAAGGCAAGGTGGGGCTGGAGAGATGGCTCAGA